AAAAGTGCATGCTGCAGGAGAATCAGTCGGTGAGCAGGGTTGCGCGGAGTAGGTAAAGTAGCAACCCTGGTCCTTGTCCGTACATGAGCAGGGATTATCATTGACCATGCTTGGCCAACATATTGCGGAATACATCATCGCTGCAGGCTCACTTCACGGCGGAGGACAAGGTTCAGAGAACAGGAGTAGCTCAGGGGGTCGGGCCAATCAGCCTCGTCGGTTGGATGTTGCTGGCATCATACCCAAGAGGGATTAGCGTGGGTGGGGACCACCTGGGCACATGACAGTCTTAGGTCCAGGCTCTAGCATCAACTAGGCAATACTCGGGTTACTTGTGGCCGACAATATTGCACCCCCTGGATAAGTGCGATAGTTAGCTTCATTGTCCAATCGGTGTCCCCTGTCAACTTACTGAGGAAGGGTAGGGTAAGGTAGACTACACCGTATGCGTATACAGTAGGTTGCATTGTTCTTCCCCACATCCAAGTACCACGTTGTTCACCACGCATTCCGGCCCGCGACCATGCCGAGTAACCTGGTTTGCCTCGAGATGTCCGCATTAGGCGGTTTGTACTACATGTTCGTCCGCCCTTCGTCATTGTCAGCATCATCCTGGATTCGAGGCAGGTTTGAATCTCAATATGCATGCTGCAGAAGGGCGAATAAGCTGTTTGAATTCTAGCTGATCGTGGCTTCGTCCATGGTCCATGATCCCTGGGAGTTCCTGAGTCAGGAACGGTTTGCCTGAAACTGGGACAAGAATCTGACGTCGTGCTGCATGTAAGGAAGCTCCAGAAGACCATCGCATCGCCATGATCACCTCGTCGTCGATGTCAACCTTGCAGTTTCAGAACTGCAGACGTTCGACCTCCAAACGTAAAGATGCCCCTTTTTGCTGCATGAACAGGATTCTGCCCCTTGCATTAGGTGACCTCCACGTGAAAAAGCCCACGATGGGTTGACTGCCACCAGGAACCCAGCCCTCAAAGTGGCTGTACCTAACTCCCATCGACTCCATACCAGCCACGCGCTGGCTCGAAAGATCGACTAGCTTCGAAGAACCAACACGGAGTATGCCGTGAATGACACTGTGTCGACCTCCTGGCCGGCGAACGGACAGCACTTCTTCTTCACCTAATGCACACTAAAGATAGACGGGATCCATCTCGCCAGGACGCGAGGCCCGGTTTGGCGCGGGTGGGATCAATTAAAATCTGCAGGACGGTAAGGACCTAGTGTTGATGGTGTTATTGTTGCTGGCGTTGTTGTGAAATCGCTTGGCTGTGATTGTCCCGGGCTTCAGGCCAACACCCGGGACCCGAACTTATTGGAGGATTCCCTGCTGAAGTGGAAGGCCTGTAGAAGCGCCGTGGAAGCCCGCTTACTCTGCAGCTACGCTTGATCCTTGTCAGATTGTGCAGAAGATGGTGTTACCGATCAGCATGATTTGGAAACATGACCACTGGCATGGATGATGTCCTGGAATGTTTCAACTATTCTCTGACTTCTCGAATCATCGAATGCCCCCTTCCTGTCATGGAAACTCTCTTTGATAGCACATGGACCCCACCCAAAGGGGCAATGATCGACGGGGTGAGGTCGCATACGGCGTTACTGGGGAAAGCCGACAAACTTTCCCCCAGACGGTACAGTACGTTGCTCTGATCCCGGTGCTCCCCTAGTGTTTGCGCCTTTCCCCGCCCTGTCTGCCATTGTTATTGCCATTCATCATATTTATAATTAGTTACAACGACGATAGCGATTATTATTTTTGAATGGTCATCAAAGAGCTCGGGTAAATCAATCAGGAATTAACCAAATTAATTAATTTATTACTCCGTACTACTCCGTAATTTGTCAATGCAGACCAAGGACTGATCCACCAGATGAAACAATCTAAAAGCACGTTTTCCTCGCAATCTGACTTGGAATGCTGGCAGGGAGGAAGGATTGCCCCACAGGGCTGGGGAAGCCTGCAATCAGTCTGAATCATCGACCACGTTCCCGAATTCATAGGCAGGCGGTATGCGAGTCGAACTTGTAGGGATTCAGGAATCCATGGAACCTAAGGAAACAAGGGGACGCATGAAGCGCCTTTCGTTAGGGCATTCTTAACCAACAGGCTGATCCAATGTACGCAAGACTCTTATTGGACAAATCGGTAATATTAGAGGGACGGTCGGGAGTGGAAAATTAGCAGCATTTGTTGACGTCTCGACCAGGCGAACCGGATTAGCAAAGTTCTCACTTGTCAGTAGTAAGGTAGTATTATCATTATCCCGGTGGTTTACCGGAATTTCCGAGTAGGCCCACGCTTAAGCGATTGTACGGAGTACGGAAAAGGAAACACTGCAGTTCTCTACTCAGTACGCAGTCTTCGTTTATTCTGTAGGCACTAGAAATGACTTTCCCTTATCTGCTACTGAATACCTCGTGTCTTACCTCGTTTCCATTTGTTCCCCCCATCTCAGATGCTTGGTGCTCCTGCCGGTGTATTTCCAGTGGGTTCAGCTCCTTAGGATCATTAACATTTTCGGAAAGTGTACGCTTTCCTAAACCTGCCCCGAGCAGACTAAATCGACCAGGGTATGGCTTAGTTCGGGTTAAGACATGCAGGGTCTAAACCCGGTTGGGAAAAGACCCTCGATAGGCTGACTTTTCCCGTAAATCATGGGGTGCCTTGAGGTGCCCACCATCCCTACCATCACGTGTTGCTACTTCCCCCCCTCCCCCTAGTCGAAGTCGGGATCTTTTGCGAGCAGTCCGTCCTCCGTCCTCCGTACTTGCAGTTAGTGACGATGATATGCGGACAGAGTGAGGTGTGCATACTCCGTACATATTATCAAACAGGTCTATATTTATCCACTGTTGATATGCATGTCCGTACTCTGGATAGAATTGTAGACCAACCATTGGAGGGTTGGAGACTTGAACCGCACTCGCCTTTGTTGACGGGAGGTTGTTGGCGGAATCTACCCTACTGGCCGGTCCGGACTTGGGAGCCGAAAGAAAAAAAAAAAAATCAATCCAGTGGATATTCGATTTACGGAAACCAGAAGGTAAATCATAATAAAATCAAATAAGGGAGCCGACGGCCAGATCGATCGCTGGAGGGTGCTATGACACGGTGGATAGAACGGACACGCCTATCTCCGGTTACCTGACAATCTAACTGCCGTGGGAGAGGGGAGAGCACCGGGCGGACAGTCACAGCAGAGCACAGTGTAGGTGTACTCCGTACGGTGTAGAAGAGGTCGGACGGTCGGACTCGGACATCGGAGTCCTCGACGACCTGCTCCTAGTAAATTGATGAACCTGAGATTGCCCACCTGGGCTAGCGGGGCACCGTTGGAGGCTTTGCTTGTGTTAAGGAGGGGGAAAGTGTGACAAATTCCATTCGCTCGTTCGCTTCACCCCGAATGGCCTGCCAATCTTGACTCTTCCCTGCCGTCGTTGCCCGTCCATTCAGGCATCGTCTTATATGCAGCAAGTTATTATTAGCAGTTTGACAGGGTTAGCTGCTATTCTTGAAACAATCTGCTTCTTGTCGCAGATGCAGGCGGTGCATGTTTGCAGTTTCTGACGCAGTGTTCGATGACTGGGTTAGGTAGGAATGCGCGACTTCATTGTCTGTCTTCATACTATGATGCTATCACACGGGGGGGGTTTTATTTGATGTTTTTCCTTTTTTTATTTTCTCCCTATCTGGCCTGGCGATCTGTGTCAACTTCGAACGGGTCGACTGGGCGACTCCACTGCTTGGTGGGGATTTCTTTTTCTTTTTCTCTCTCTCTTTTTTTTTTTTTTTTTTTTTTTTTTTCAATTTTCATTTTCTCTCTCTTTTTCTTTTTCATTTTCCTTTTTCTGTTAGCCTTACTACCAGACTACCAGTACCACCATAACTCCGCTACAGATAGCATAGTGGACCGTCGAGGCTCGGAAACTGAGAGCCTTAGAGGGTCTCCAATTTCCATTTTCGAGTCTTTACTCAGTAGAGTATGTAGTGAGTACCTTGTCTAGTAAGTGCGTATTGCTTTTATTGTAATTATTCACTTAATCATTAACCCTCACCTTGTTGTCAGATTTCCTGCCTTTTTTTATTCATTTTTATTTTATTTTATTTCATTTTTTTGGCCCCTTGCGGACCAATCAGGCGCGATCTACATCCAACAAATCCTTCGTGCCATGTGCAAATTCCACATTCCACCACCACGCTTTTCGAGGTTGTTGGATACTACCCTGATGAATCCCATGGCTGTCACCGCTTCATTGTCCGAGATAACTCCTGACAAAGAGTGCGCTCCTTGCTTCAATGCCTCAGATTGTTTCTGGAATTATTCTCTATCATCCGGTGTACATATTCCCCGCGGTTAGGGCAGCCTCTCGGGTTACCAGGAATAGCAAACAATGCTGTTTATCCATTTTGGAGCTGACGGGATCGACCTGGGATTGAGTCTGGGCCATGTGGTCCTGGAGAAATTTAATTACAGTTTTTTTTTTTTTTTTTTTTCTTCTCTCCCACTATCTCTAGCTCAAAAATCATTCAATTAATTTATTGTTCATATTCTCACACGGAGTACGGATATACACCTCTTCATTTATTTGAATTCATTATTGCAGGGTTAATATTCCTGATCCTCGTGGCGCTGGGGATGAAGACCCAGAATTGACGGCTCTGCCAGTGAGGGAGTGGAATCAACCAACCGACAACCGTTAGAGTAAATCGTTGCGCTGGTCGCCGATGACCGTACATTTCCGTAATTGTAGGCTTTCTTTTCCCCGACTTTGCAGGTGCGGCTGAGGCGCACCAGTCACGTCAATACGGGCCTCGTGCAGTTGGTTTTCCCGGTTTGGCTGGTCCAGCGCAAGTCCCGCCTGTTGGTATGTAAAAATATCCTAGAATAAAATTAAACCAAAATAAAATAAAGCAATCGGTTGGCTTCTTTTTTTTTTTTTTTTTTTTTTTTTTATTCGAACAATAAAGAAAAGAAATAATTTAATTGTCTTCTCCTGCCCCGTTCACCACGGTTTGTTAGCTTCTCCTACCTACAAATCGTCCTCGTGCTGGTATGATCATCCTGCAGATTGATCACCAACTCCTCGCTTACTCTCCTATTGCTGCATCTGCGTACGAATAAACTGATAGTCCTGCTCCATTGCCTGTTTGACAGAAAGCTCGGTTCAGATCAGTTCGAGATTGGCCTAGGTGATTTTATTTTATTCGATATTTTATCATTATTTTTATCCTGTTGGATTGATTATTTTATTATTATTTCGGACTTATTTCTCACTCCCTTGACAAGGGTCTGCAGTAGATCTCTTGCACCGGTACCTCGCAATATCCACTCTGGCACTTCTATATCAATTCCTCAATTCTCACCTTTTTTTTTTCTCCCCTTTCCAAGCCTCTACTGCCACCATTCCGTCCGTTTCAGATCGTATATTTTCTTTTTCCATTTTTCTTGATCCTTATCCACTTTTCCCCTGCCGTATCTGACTACATCGAACCTGACCTGCAGATGCGAGGCATTTTTTTTTCTAAATTATTTCTTCAGAACCGTCTGATCTCACCCCTCTATACCTAGTCCGCTTTTTACATCACCTTTTCACAGCCCACCCTAATCCTCCTCCCCCCCACACACCCATACCGCACAGGGCTCTGTTCCTGAAATACTCCTGAATTATCCGTTGGATGGCCAAGGGATCTTCGTCCAACTCAAAAACTATATCTTCCCTCCCCCACCCGCCAATCCATCTCGGATCAGTTCTACAATCCTCACAGACATCCTTCAAGACCAATTCCTTCTCTCTTCTTCACTCTTCCTCTTCCTCTTCATCAACTTCTACTTCTTCACTCTCCCTGAACAATCCCTCACAGTCCTTACCAATGGCCGCTAAGAAATCCTCTGGGACTACTACCATGCGTCGCTCCAGCCCTACCACGGAGATCCCTCTCCCCATCACCTACACGCCCACCACCCACCGCATCAGCAAGGCGAAGAAGGGAAAGCGTGTTCATGCTTGCGAATATCCCGGATGCAACAAGGTCCGTTTCACTGGCAATGTCGATTTCAAAAGACCCTCCAACTGATAGTCTTTCCCCAGGTCTTCACTCGCGCAGAGCATCGCAGACGCCATGAGTTGAACCACAACCCCGAGGCACTGTTCCGCTGCACGCATCACAACTGCAAGAAGGCTTTCCACCGTCCTGACCTACTGGCCCGCCACATGGAGAGACAGTAAGTTTCTCATGGTCTGCTTTCTCAAGCTCTTGTTAGCAGTTAGCTAACAGATTTCTCAGCGAGCTTGAGGCACAGATGGACAACACGCAATGGGAAAGACACAGCCGCGCTCCCATGGTCTCCGAAGCTCACTACGTGCCTAAGTGCGCGCCCATCGATCCCACCGCCGGATCTTACCTCGCTGTCACTCAACAGCCCAACTCCATGTCCATCGGCTCGCTCGTGGGCCCTGCTATTCACCCCGATCTGACTGGCGACTGCGGTATGATGTGGAACGGCATGCCTCTTCACTCCGAGCACCAGACGCCTCTCTTCCCGGGTAACCACATTCACGAGTCGGTGGAGGACACTCGATTCTATGGATCTCCCGAAACCTGCTCTTCTCCCTCTTCAGACGGTGCCACTCTGTCGATTCCTTCTCACCCGCGATCTTCCCTCTCCTCGACGCCCGTTGTTGTCGACCCTTACCCCGAGAACATCATCGAGTCCGACCTGTCTTCGTCTCCCATGTCTATGCCCGCCAATGTCCGATGCTGGGATCAGCACGATGCCGGCCTGCACACGACGAACTTGGTTCCTCTTTCTCTCCACGACAGTCTCGTCCAGCCCGTAAGTCTCCTCTGAATCGCGTTGCCTTGCACGCAAAGAGCCCAAAGCTAAAGCGAGTGCCAGCCTCTTCAGTGCCACTACCCGTCTCCCGCCTGGTCAGCACCCCACCACCTGGGATACGAGGAGCACCCTCTTCCCCCTGTCACGCACTACGCCTCCCCCGTGGGCTGGAAATCGTGGGCGATCTAAACGCCACATCAAAAGTTGAAAAGCAAAACGATGAGACTTTCACCACACGACCTAATCTAATCATCGCATACGCTCTTATTGAACCGACGGGTTTCTAATCAGGGCTTATGAGTCCTTTTCTCTTTGTCTCTATAAACGAATTCGACGCATCTCACCTATCACGCGAGTGGTTACACCACCACTACCTATCTGCACTGGAAATCGGGTGACACGAGCGTTTTACCTCGACGGGATTTCTATCACAGGACCGAACTATCGACGAATTGATTTCGACGAAAGAAAAACGGTCATACAAAAGCTCATGCAAAGAAAAAAAAAAAAGAAAAAAAAAAACCGACACCCCGGAGGTTCAGCAAAACCGTCGAGGTGAGACAGTGTCACCCGAGCCAGAACCTATCAGCTTTTTTTTCCCTTGTGTCTCATTTCCTTTGTTTTCCCTTCTGATTTGTTTCCTTGACTTTTTTTTCCTTTTTCTCACCGGATAGAAAAGTGCAACGGCTGTCTTATGTTCCATGAGTCTTTGGTTTCAGACTTATATTGTTGCTTTTTTTTCTCTTTTTTGTCTTTTTGCATTGGGTTTGGTTAGCGATTACCCTTCTTCTGAATTCCCCTCCCCTTTACCTTTTTTTTTTTTTTTTTTGTTTTCATTTGTCGATTAATGTTCTCTATGCTCTTCCCCCCCTTTTTTGCCTGCTTCACGAACTCTATACCCCCGAGCAAGCAAATACCTTTGTATACTGTGTATATATACATTTCTCTTCTTCTTCTTTCGATCTGGTTGAATATGGCTTCTTGCGCACTTCTTTTGTTGAGCTTGCCTGTTGGATGCAATTGCGAGTTTCCCCGGATGTTTACTATAGACTTGGTTGCTCTGATTTCTGGATAAGAATATACTATTATACTACTATATCTTCAAACTACTTGCTTCTGGATACATTGTACATTCTATTCTAGCATAGTCAATCCTATTATATTCAATGATTTGACTTAGAAGAGCCACTGAAACAGCAACGGGAACTGTAGAATATTACTAAAAAGTTCTAGTGGTATTTGTTCTACCTAGCATGTAGGTCCTCTAGCTAGGTAGTACCTACACCAATAAATTAGGGAGATAGACATGTAGCACCTAGGGTTAGTTAACTCAACTCCTAACTCCAGCACAGATTAGACGGATGGCCTGAAAGGTCCAGACGGTCTGGACAGTATTTTTGCTTTTTAGTTGTTGGTTCTACCACGTAGCATGCTGTTGGTTTTTTTTTTTTTTTTTTTTTTGGGAAGGGGGACTGCTGTTTGTCAGCTGCTTGCTGACATGAGATTGAGATGAAACAGAGCTAAAAGATGAAGGATGAGAGAATGGACAAGGGGCGAACCGGTGGAGGGAAAGGGGGGATGAATGGACAAGGATGAATAGAAATCGAGACGAAAACTTTAACTCTGGTACTATTTTGATGAGATTTCGAAGAACAATGAAATTGTAGTTTGTGCGTAGAGTACAATCTAACAGTATGAGTGATTACAAATTTATCCTGGGTCTATCCTCCACTCTAAACAGTCCAATAGATCCAACCTTGCAATTTTGAATCCTTTGCCCAACTTACTTTCTCCTGGTTCCCCTTCTTTGAAGGAGTTGGTACCTGCAGTAGGCATCCTGTCGTTCCCATTAGACTCGTTCCGAGTTCAATGCAATGCAAACCAACCAATCCAACAACTCACCATCACCATCCTCCATACCTAGGCAGGCACCCTAGTTCCCCTTCACTTTCTTCGTCTCCTTCTTCCCCTTCGGCACCCGACACAACCAATACAAAAACACCGCCGCACAGACATTAAAAACCACATACACCCACACGAGCCCGAAATCCCTCCACCTCGTCTCAACATCAATACTCACCCCCCGCAAGAAATCATTCGTCCACGTCACACTACAAAACCGGCACTGCTCCTCACCACGCGCAGTTGGGTTCAACACCTCCCCACCCATGGCCTGCACATAGGGGCCAAGGTACTGCCCACACGTCTGATTCTCCGGCGCCGCGAACCGTAACACCTCGTTCTCCGCGCAGTGCATAGGCGCATTACCCAGGCTCGTGGACAGCAGGCCCGCGGTGACGTACGTGAAGGGATTGACGCGGTACATGAAGATCCAGAAACCGGGGAGGGCGTCGGGACCCGCAAGGATACCGCAGAAGGCGTAGAGCATGATGGCGAGGATGTTGGCGAGGGCGGAGGCCATTTCGTCGCTGGAGATTCCGGCGATGAGCATCTGCGCGAGCGAGCTGCAGAAGAGAAACAGGACCCAGACGATAAGGAAGGCGAGCGTGCTCCGTGAGTGCATCGTGTGCGTGTATTGTGCGTTTTGGTACAGGCCGATCGGGTAGAACCAGACGAGGAAGCAGAAGATGGCCATGAACTGGGAAGATGGGTTGGAAGGTTAGTTACTATTATTCTCGGTTTTGGTGGTTGGTGGAAGAGAAGGGGAATTACCGAGTTCCAGGCAAATTCGACCGCGATGTTCGAAAGAACAAAGGCTTGCCATGCGTAAGTTTTGGACTGCCGTTCGCGTGCCTCGTAGAGGGTTCGTTGCACGACGAAGACCGGGATGATTTGGAACATTAATTGAATAACGACGAAGAAGAAGATCAGGATACCGAACATCTGGTTCTGCATGCCTTGGGTGGTGTTTTCGCTTTTGAAAAACGAGAAACCGATGAATATAGACTGTGCATGGTTAGTTCAGCTGTTCATCTTGGGAAGGGATCTATGACATACAGAGCCAATGGTAAGCAGAGCTTTGGAGTAAATGTAAGAGGGGGTGCGCCAATATTGCTGAAAAACTCGCAGCCCGACTTGGTACATCTGTGTCGTCCAGGGTGCCGCGAACTCCTCATAGCTAGATTTGTCGTTTGGATCAGAGATCGCGGAAGGTGAATTGGCCAGCTCACGTAGGCGACCAAGCTCTGCACGAACTTCCTGGCGCTCATTGCTGTTTTGCCAAACGACAGGCCAGTCGATGTCTGTATGAGAGCCAGGCGCAGCACCGATCACTTCGAGCATGTATTCTGCCGGATTAGCTCCAGGTGGGCATACTGGTCCACCATTGCGAACAAAATAATCTTTCAATATTTCAGAGTCTTTGCCGATTTCACCAAAATAAACAGTCTTGCCGCCCTTGGCGAGCAGAAGCAATCGATCGAAGCGCTGGAAGAGCATTGCAGACGGCTGATGGATGGTGCAAAGGATGGCTTGACCGTTGCGAGTAAGCTTTTCCATGAGATTGCAAATGGACCAAGAGGTTTGACTGTCCAACCCAGAGGTGGGCTCATCCAGGAAAAGAAGCAATTTCGGGCGTGCGGCGAGCTCGACGCCGATGGTCAAGCGCTTTCGCTGCTCCACATTGAGCCCTTCGCCGGGAACTCCTACTATAGCGTCGGCATATTCGTCCATATTGAGGAGGCTGATGACCTTGTCGACATAGTCTAGTTTCTCTTGTCGGGTGAAGTGGCTCGGTTGACGAAGAAGAGCACTGAATTCAAGCGCCTCACGAACAGTTGATGTATGGAGATGCAAATCTTGCTGCTGCACGTAGCCCGTCTTGCGCTGGAACGATTCATCGCGTTGTCGACCATCTACCAACATGTCGCCCGAGATCACCCCGACTGTTGTGCGACTGGCAAGGACGTCAAGAAGAGTAGTTTTGCCCGCTCCGGAAACACCCTGTGAGATGATTAGTGTAAAGAATAAAAACCAAAGGATCTATTGCATACCATCAGTGCAGTCAAAGTGCCAGGCTTGATCCAACCGTCAACATTGTCCAAGATTCGCCGAGGTTCGCCCTTGATTTTGATGTCATAGCAGACATTTTCCCAATGAAAGATGGACACTTGCTTCTCCACATCAGCATCCGATTCAAGGCCGCTGTCGTGTTTCTCATGGAGTTCAGGAGAACCCGACTGCTCCTCGTCCGATTGTGACTGTCTCGCCTTGGATTTCTGTACCCTTCCACGACGAAACACAAGGACTTCTCCTTTGGAGCGCTCGGAGGCCACCAACTCAGACATGACTAAGTGACAAAAAGCGAGGAAAATAGTGAAAGCAACAATGATACCGAAGTTGCGCCAGCGGTGGCTGTTCGAATATTCGTAAGAGCTTTGAACGAATGCCGAGCCACTGACCGTATCAAAGCCAGGAACGGAGCCCGCCGTAGCGCACGCGCGCTGGTCTGGGGAGATATCCTCATAACCCGGGCCAGACGGTACGAATGCAACGCACGGGAATTCGCGTCCATTGAACTCATTGACCATGATAGCCTCGAATCCGTAAGAGATAGGGTTGATATAGCGGATCCAATGCGCCCAACCACGCATGTAAGCGACCGGCAACGTGAACCCGGTATACAGAACAAGACCCAGCATGATAATACCGGATGGCGCGAGAGCTTGAGAAATGGTTTTAGTGATCGAGGCAAAGAGACGGAAAAACATCGACATTGACATCATCGTGAAGAACGAGATCAAAAGGTAAAAGAAAAATGGGCCAGGTTCACGGCGAAGGTTTCCCATGAAATACAAAGTCGTATTCACGATCAAGGTATTGGTAATCTTGTAGGGCATGTCAACGATCAAAGAAGATATTGCTTCAGCACTAGGATGATATAGTGCATAGCGATTGTGCTTTTCCACGATCTGTCTTTTCGCATAGAGCGATAGAATTTCAAGTAAACTCGAGAACGCGTTCAAAACGACCATCAGGAACAATAGCGCACCCCGGGAGAAGAAAGACGAGGTATCGTTCGCGAGACCATAGAAAATACTGGCGATGATTAAAGCTTCGAAGAAATTTCCGATTAGCATGGCGAGAGTGACGCTCGGGTCATTTTTCAGCTGCTGTACTCCTCGCCACATGCACAGCTGGATTTGGCGCCAATAGGAGAGAGTGTACGGTGACTTTTGGCGTTGCTTGGATGACTTTTCCATCTTTCGCGACTGATCGAACTTCTCAAAGTCGGCACCTTCAAACGGGTGTTCCTGTGCGTACTGGTCGATCTGGCGCAAGAGATCCTGGCGCTCGGGGCTATCTTTCCATCTTTGAGCAAACTCGTCGGCGGTTCGAGGCACCAAGTGCTCGAACCCAGGCTTGACCACTCGTTCGACGGGACTTGTCATCGAAGTAAGGAAATCGGCAGTGGTTTGAGATTCAGGACAGTGAAATCCGAGTCGTTCGAAATAGGACTTTGCCTCGCCTGCCTTGCCGAAGTAGATTTGCCGTCCTTCATACAACACAGTCACTTTATCAAACAACTATCCTAGTATTTAGCACGAAGTTGGATCATTTGAACATGCGTGATTGACATACCTCGTACGCGGCCTGGGGTGCCTGATAGATTGCAATGCACGAAGTCGTTCCGAAAACATCGCTTTGAGTGCGCAAGGTCTTACAGAATTCAACAGCATTGGCACTATCAAGACCCCTGGTGCTGTTATCCCAGCATTGCAATGGGGCGTAGCTCAGCGCGGCCTCAGCAATTGTTACCCGCTTCCTTTCGCCCCCACTGACTCCACGGACAAAATCATTGCCCACCCGTGTATTGATGGTGTGGCCGATGCCGAACATGGCCATGATCACGTCGCGCAGATGAGTCGCATACTCGTTACGATCGATGCCGCCGGGAATCTGGTAGGGTGCACGAGCAAGAGCAGCGAAGTAGAGGGTGTCGCCCACCGAAAGCATAGGAAAGTGAATGTCAACTTCCGCGGTGTAGATGGCCTCGCCGCGAAATGCGGTCGTCATCTGTCGAGAAGTGATACCGTGGTAATTGATATAAGAATCCGGGTGAACCTCGAAACCATGAGTGTCGCCGGCAATCGTCTTCAACAGTGTTGAGCAGCCCGAGCCAGGCGGACCGAGAGCGCATAGCTGCTCGCCCGGTAGGACTAGACCGTCAAAGTCTTGAAGAATGTCGACCTTCTGCCCGTGCTTTCCGCTGAAGAAGCGAAGAGCCATGGACGGAAGTTTGAGCAAGGCATTACCGACGCTCATTTGGTAATCGGTAGCGCTGCCGTATCCATACACCTGGAGACCCTTGAAGGCAAACCCAGAGAGCCGCGGCTCAGAGTTACCCTCTGCCTTGTATCGTACATTGTAGAAGGCTTTTGCCCAAGATTTCGCGCTGAAATCGGGGCTCTGGGGGTCGACTTTCTTGCCAGGGTTTGGTCCAAAGAGCGGTTGGTGATGCGAATCGATCGACCTAGTCGTGAACTTGCGAGCAAGGTTGAGTACCTCCTGCTCCCTTTGGGCTTCGCTGTCCTCATACACATCGGTCTCAAGCTTCTGCCCGTGAGATTCCTCGACCTGACGAGCTTGAGTAGTGGAGGTGACCGTTTCGTTCGACGAGTTGTCGCTGGACGGGGCTAGATTACCCATGTGATGTGTGGGTGTACTAGTAGCCTTACCTTGGAGCGACATCCCGAAGTCACAGGGCAACAACGAGCATAGAAGAGAAGGGAAAAAGGATGGAAGGATCGGCTATTGTCAGCGCCATACTATATACTAGAGCCTCTCATACGGCATCGGATCATCTGCGCCACGAAAATCCCGATGGCGGGAACCCGAAGAGGTAACATTAGGGGTGAGATTAGCTCCAAGCCTGCCAAAAGCAGCCAGCCAAGCCATGATCACGAGGAAACCAATGGATGGCGGAGACTGTGACGAGGGATGCAAGAAGATTGGCAGCTTGTCAAGCCCAAACGGCGGAGTGGATTTGATGCCAAGAATAGGCCTGACGCGCCGCGGAGTCCGAGGGGTGCGAGTGGTCCGCGGGCCCCGACAAGGCAGGAAGTGACAAAGAGCGAGAAAGTCTGGACAAGACGCGGTGAATCACCGAAAATACGAGTTTCTGAATCAAACTTCATCTTTGATGACTCATGAAAGCCACCCATGCCCGTATTTGCCCCTTGGCGCTAACGTGTCCCATAGAAATACCTTGTTGCTGAAGTAGGTGATTTGTCTATTCCCGTTAATTAGTAGTCTATGATACATAAATACATTTACATTTAATAATAATACAGTCGACCTGCTGGTGCCCAGCCAGTCCGTTGCGACGTGAAGCAGCTAATTCAGCAGCTTGAGTACCAGCTCATACGTTCCCAGCGTGATCGCCGCCGAAGGGACGGTACGGATCAGATGCGCCGTCAACCCGCCGTATAGGGCGACAAATCCTTCTTCTTTAACCATCAATCGGAGGCATTGCATCACTCCGGTATATTTCGGGCGGCCGTCGGCCATAGGGGCTTGTCGTAGTCGAGTCCGAAGTACCTATCTTTTGTTAGCCGCTAGGTCAGACAAAGGACTCCTCGTAAGGTCTCACCTCGTGGGGGTAAGCGATTAAGACAGCGATCAGCTTGGAAAAACCAGCTGCGCCGCTGAGAATCAAACCCTGGGCTAACTCGTTGTTTTTCTTCTCCTCATTCTGCAGCTTGTTCTGATTTGCGAGCATGACCTTCATTCGTTCGTAGGACGCAAGATGGAGAGTAGTCTCGATGACTCCCAAGTAGCTCGCCGCAAGACCCCGATATAACCCCTTCAGTCCTTCCTGCTTGACGACCTGCTTCACGCAGTCATAGCTGCTCTTGTACCGGGGTTGTCCGCCGCTTTCCAGGTGTGACTTATCGAGTTGAAGCCGGGTCTTGACGAGCCAGATAGGATTCGTCGCGGTCCCGGTTACAACACCGGCCGTCGCCGCCGAGAGAGCGTGTACCGACGTAGAATCGGCATCGTATCCCAACAGGCCCGGGTAGAGACGTTTGCAATTACCGTACGCGTAGAATTTGATGGCAGTGGCCGGAACAACGCCCGTCAGACTCGGTCCCAGTCCCCTGAAGAGACTGCGCCAGCCCTCGACGCGGTGTATCGTGAACAGAATGTCGAAAGTTTCGCGGAAATGGAGGAGAAAGGATCGTGGTAGAGACACTCGGGTGTGAGGCGGGGGAGCGACGGCGGATTTGGTCTGCGAGCGATAGAAATCTGATTGTAAACGAGTTCGAAGCACATCTAGGGGCGACGTCAGGAGGGCAGTAACCATGCCACCGGTGCTGCAGGTTGGTTCATTAGCATCTTGGAAATAGACTCCGGGATCGTCGGGGATGCTCACGCGCCAGCAATGAAATGCGTCGACGGACTGGTGGCTTTATGGACATGCGGAGTAACCGGGTCATCGGAAGCGGAAGATTCTGCAAAGGTCTTTGGAGCTGGACCATTGTCGATGTTCTTGCGGAGTGCCTGCATCTCCGGACGTTGGGAAGGCGAAAAGATTAAGATGGAGAATGAAGGGTAATTTAAACCCGTCGATAAGAAACAAAAGTCAGTTAATTTAGATTGCCGTTATCGTAACCCATGTGAAGCAAAGAATGAAAAATTTCTCCCCCAAAAAGCTAAAGACAGAAAACAAAAAGTAGGGAAACAAAAATTTGACAGCTGGGGAAGTTTGAGATCTTTTGCGCCAAGCAAAGCCGGCCAGGGACGCGGCGAGAGGCGTTCGTTCTGGAATTTTTATTGCCAAGCCTTCCCGGGATCACACGTTGTTCCGCGCCGAGGTCCAGCCGTCAAGGCCGGATTACTCACCGTGCACTAGACCGAAAATGGATGGGCTATCTATATCCAGAGCAACTATACGGGGTACGCGGACAGTGACTGATAGTCTACTTATGGTTGCATGATGTTTTGTTTTATATCTGGCCAATATTTCTGACGTCTACATAACTATCTTTGGCGCCATTGAAAATGTATACCTGTCTTGAACTGTTATTGGTCGGGGTATTCGCTCCGAATCTTTATGATCATTATGATGACACTGATGTCGGTCGTAGTTTGACTGATGCACTCAACATATACCCCACTCCCTTCCTGTACGCTGTAGCCCATTGCTCTTGAATCCAATATGGATGGTGCTAGCTCTATCCCCGCAGAATATCTGGCCGAAGACTGGGAAAAGTATTATATTTGGCCCAGTCGTCTCTGCGGAGGTCGTTGTTGCTGCTACATATGTGGCTACAAGTTTTGTGCGGATCGTCCTACCCGTCGTATAGATAGTTCTGATCAAAGCTACAAGCGTTTTGATCGAATAAGGGTCGCTCAGAACGAAGGTATAGAGAGATCCAGATTGCCCTGGCAGATGTCAAAAGGCTGGTGGGCTTTTCAGCGCATGAGTGGGCTCCATATGAACTCAGCAGCGTGAATATCCTAGGCTAATATAACTTAGTACTCTATAACCAGGAGCACTCAGCATATTATATGTCTGACGTGTACATGACAGGCTATCCTGACGGAGATACTCCAAAAGGAGGTGTTCCTCTAAAGATGGGAAGCGACACGGTCTATATCAATCCTACTGTTCACAGACCCACCAAAAGCAAATGCCGACCGTTTGCGTGGGTGGGTTATGTGGTTCATGATCGCTGCTGGGAGCTTCTCTCCTACCATGCGTTGGGACAAGCCGCAAAGAACAACTTGGCCGTGGTTTTGGCTGCCCTTCGTCACAGACGCATGATGATGGGTACGCAATGCAAGGGTTGGAGACTGGAGATGTCTGGGGAAGGCAAGACTCCCATCTAGAACTGGCGCCCATGTTCTTGCAAGCTACTGACAAAGTCTTTGCCTATATCAGATCCTGTCCGCACCAGATGTGTCTCGGATATAGTTAACCTCGCACTACAGCAAGCGAGCGGGAGAAAACCAAAGAAAGAACCTAGCAGACCTTGTCGCCCAAAGGTGGCGCAGCCCATAGTCTGCAAGCTTCCGATGGAGATTATTTACATAATCTTCAATTATATAACGTTTTCAACAAGCGAGCCGCGCCTACAAGCGAGCCGCGCCCTTTCCACCAAAACTCCTACTTCCTAAGGCTTTTCAACCACCAACGCCATTAAATTTGACTAATTAAATACATGAAATAATAGCTATTTTCTAGGGCAATTTCGAATTGTATGTCCGACTGTTCCACACCCACTACAGCGTTGCGGAGCTCGTCGACGAGGCGCTGGAGTAGATTCCGCAGGCTGCTCATTAAGCTGCGTATCAAGCTGCTGAACGCGATTTTCACCTTCCTGTACATTAAGAAGGCGGTCATTACCTATCTCAGCACGTTTTCTTGTCTTTCTCTGACGTTGCCGTCCATTTTCAGCTCGTATAGCCTTAATTTCTTGTTCTAAAAGCAGCTGAGTTTGCATCGCTAATTGTGCCGCTTTCTCAAGATATCGAATATGAGCAATAAGACTGCTAGAAAGCTGCCATTTTTTGTTAAAGCTATTCTGTAGGCTTCGGACCTTTCGATTTAATTGACGAGTATTCTGCGGAGTTTGAAAAGCAGAGGAAATTGAGCCTTCAACTAGTGATGGCGTAGGTGTACGTAGTTAAAAAGTAAGCTTAGAAAGAATATACTCTGGATCAAGCGGCTTAAGCCCTGCTCCTCTAAAACCGCTGCAGATATTAGCTGAAGTAAAGACTTCCTTATGCGCATCTGGATATAACGATAGAAAGTCTTCTTTATCAATGTGGTTGTTACCAACAGCCATACGGTCTTCAAGAAGCTTTCCGTACGCCCTTTTAAGCGGGCCAAAAACGCCCACATCAAGCGGTTGAAGAAGATGCGAAGTATGAGCAGGCATGCAGAGACAAATTATTGCATTCTGCTTGCAGAAATCATCGAATTCAGCAGTTAAATGACTGCTATGACCGTCAAGAATAAGCAACCGCTTTGCACCAGTCATATAGCGCTTAGAAAGCGGTTCAAAGACATTTTTTAGCCAGAGAAGACCTATTTCATCAGTCGTCCAGCCATTCTGACTAGTAGAAATCCACCAGTCGCGAGGGAGCTTAGGTTCTTGGAACCAGGCAGCTTGTTGATAGCTCGCTTTTAATATGATAACTGGCGGTAGATGTACGCCTTTTGATCTGATTGTTTCGATGATTGTAACCCATTCACGATTGCCCTGAATGACTCTGCGCGGTCGCTCGCTTCGCTCAACTGCAGTAATCACTTTTGAAGTAGAGCAAAGTCCCATTGCAAAGCCAGTTTCGTCGAAATTCCAGATGTCATCTTCATGTATGCCGTGCTCTTGAATAGTCGCTCGTACAGCTTCGAACCACGAGATTATAACTTTCGGATCCTCCTGCTTTGCGCGCTGATAAGTAATACGTCTTGTATATCGCGTACGTAGCTGAGGATGGCGTTTAACGAAGTTATAAGGCCAGTTAGTTCCGATAACTGCGGTAGAGTCGTGTACACGATTGCGAAGCAAAATCTGGGCCATTCCACGTAGAAATTCGGGTCGAATTGGAAATCCTCGCGTATCTGCATCTAGTAATCGCCTTAAAAGCAATTCCTCTTCAAATTCGGTCAGTTTATGACCATTAGCGCGTGTTTCTGATCGTGATTTGGCGCCATGAAGCCTGTCGCGTACAGTACTTTCAGGAACTGTAAAAAGAGCCACAGCGCGTTTAATTGATTTAACTTGGCCTTTTTGATAGGCTGAAATAGCCATCTGAATACGCGATTCTTTAGAAAGAGGCATATTGAATTGTGGTGACGAGAAAAGACGCGTTGAATTAAGAAAGCAGATATTTTGGTGGAAAGGGCGCGGCTCGCTTGTAGGCGCGGCTCGCTTGTTGAAAACGTTAACGTAATCCACAAGCGAGCTGCGAATCTAAGCGAGCTGCGAATTTTCAATCAATGCAACCACTACTTGAAGTTATTTAACCACTAACTCCATTAGATTTGACTAACTAAATATATGAAAAAGTAGCTATTTACTAGGACAATTTCGTATAGTATGTCCTACTATTCCACAGCCACTACAGCGGGCAGGAGCTCGTCGACGAGGCACCGGAGTAGGTTCCTCAGACTGCTCATTAAACTGCATATCCAGCTGCTGAACGCGATTTTGGCCTTCTTGTACAGATAAAAGAGTATTCTCTCCTAGTAGAGCACGTCTTCTTGCTTTCTTTTTGTATTTTCGCTCGTTTTCGGCTCGTAGAGACTTGATTTCTTGCTGTAAAAGAAGGTTGGTTTGCATCGCCATTTGAGCAGCCTTTTCAAGATGTTGAATATGAGCAATTGGGCTACTAGAAAGCTTTCGTTTAGCACTAAGGCTGTTCTGTAAGCTGCGTATCTCTCGATCTAGCTGGCGAGTATTCTGTGGAGTCTGGAAAGCAGAAGAAATTGATCCTTCAACTAGTGACGGTGCAGGTGTAGGTGTATGTAGTCGAAAGGTAAGCTTCGAAAGAACTCGTTCTTGATCAAGTGGTTTAAGTCCTGCTCCTGCAAAGCCACTGCAGATATTCGTAGGAGTAAAGACTTGAGCCCGGGCGTCTGGATAAAGCGATAAAAAGTCTTCTTTATCAATATGGTTATTACCCGCAACCATACGTCCCTCAAGCAGCTTTCCATATGCGCGTTTAAGCGGGCCAAAAACACCCACATCAAGCGGTTGAAGAAGGTGTGAAGCGTGGGCAGGCATGCAAAGACATATTATTGCATTTTGTTTGCAAAAATCGTCGAATTTAGCAGTCAAATGACTACTATGGCCATCCAGAATGAGTAGGCGTTTTGCACCAGTCATATAACGCCTGGAAGAGGGTTCAAAGACATTTTTTAGCCAAAGAAGACCTATTTCATCGGTAGTCCAGCCATTTTGACTTGTTGCAATCCACCAGTCTCCAGCAAGCTTAGGTTCTTGGAACCAAGCAGCTTGTTGTTGGGTCCCTTTCAGTATAAGAATGGGTGGTATATGTACGCCGTTTGAGCTGACTGTTTCGATGATTGTAACCCATTCACGATTACCCTGAATAACCCTGCGTGGTCGCTCACTACGCTCCACTGCGGTAATTACTTTAGCAGTTGAACAGAGCCCCATTGCAAAGCCAGTTTCATCAAAATTCCAGATATCGTTCTCGTGTATGCCGTGTTCTTGAATAGTCTTGTGGACCAGTTGAAACCATGGTATTATAACCTTTGGATCCTCTTGTTTTGCACGTTGATATGTAATTCGTCTATTATATCGTGTGCGTAGTTGAGGATGACGTTTGGTGAAATTATATGGCCAGTTAGAACCAACATTTGCTGTAGGATTTCGAAGACGCGCGCGAAGTAGGATTCCTGCTATTTCGCGTAAGAATTCGGGCCGCATTGAAAATCCTCGCATATCTGCATCTAGTAATTGCTTAAGAATCGTTTCTTCTTCAAACTGAGTAAGTTTATGATTATTGGCGCGTGTTTCTGATCGTGGTGTTGCACCGTTGAGTCGATTGCGTAGGGTACTTTCAGAGATCGCAAAAACCTGCGCAGCGCGTAATACCGATTTAATTTGGCCCTTTCGATAAGCTGAAACAGCCATTTGAATACGTGATTCTTTAGAAGGAGGCATGTTGTATTTGGTGTTGAAGATATGACGCGTTGAATAAAGAGGGTGGAGTTTTGATTGAAAATTCGCAGCTCGCTTAGATTCGCAGCTCGCTTGTGGATTACGTTACCCTCTCAAACAGTTGCTGATGTTGAAAAAGCGTTGGGTGTCTATTTGAGTAATACCTTCTGGCACACTAGGGTCTCTGCTGACTTTTTCTTTGAAATACAAGGTCTTACTGATGAGGATGTGGATTGGAAGAGACTGTGTTTGAAGCTGGAGAGACGACAGAAGAGTTCGGAGGCATTACGTGTGCGAAAGTATCTACTGACTTGTCTAGATAAGATATTGAATGCCGTGGAAATTGTGAAAGCCGGAGATATCCAGTCACCTAATTAGCAAAGGAAGAAGATGGGCTATACTGAAATTTAATTCACCAAAAGCCTATCAAGACTTCACTGGGGACAGTATGTGAATATGTAGTAATTTGATCTCTTCTACCTACCCCCCCCCCCGCCCATTCTACTTCTCCAATTCTCTTTCTTTCGCCCCTCATCATCATGGATCCATCATCATCTACTACGCGGCTTCCTTGCTGCTCCTCAATCGGGAACATATCTTACCAGACAGAATTAACACTCAGTCGAGGGTAAGGACGTTAAGACTTCGAAATCTCCGGCAAATGTTGCCAATTATGTGACAGAAATGTGGAATGTCATTCTCCAGCACCGCATCCGAGTGTCACACAGGGCAGGATATACGTCAGGGAGAGGGTAAGAACGCCGAGAAATAAACAATGTCAGATGGTGGAGCATCTCTGCGAAAGACGAAGCATTTGATGTGCCAAAATGGAATGAGCGCAGGAAACCAATCGAACCAGGGTATAAACGATATATCCGCATAAATTGGCACAAGGGTTTCTATCTGGGGCATGGGTGTGATTTGAGGAAGAAACCTCGAAGAATTCGAAGCAGAAGATGAAGCGATCACCAATGCTGCTCTTGTTGTATTTCCAGACTCAACCGATTCACGAACATCCCACCCATACTCTTGAACCGGCCCCTGCTCCCGAATCGAGCTTGGCCCCAGAACCGACCACTGAGACGCTTGTAAACACTTCACCACGACTAGAACATGCGGTCCTCTAGCATGAAATATTTCGGCCAGCATCAATCGCCCGTCAGGACTGTACCCCGTCGGCACGTAAAGGCGTACGAAGATCGACGGAAAAACATACGGACTTTACGGCGTCTTTCATTATGTGTTAAATTCAAGAAAAAAGACCTCGTCGTGAGGCTTCCAATGCCTTTAATATTGGATTTGCTACCCAGTAATCAAGTTGACGGACAGGGAGTCCGATTTCCCTGTTGCTTCTGTGGAAGTTGATCACGTACCAACACTGCTTAACTCGCTCAAGCTTTTATTTGTAGAGGCTTTAGATGCCTCTTCTGATATTGTGCAAGCAAGGCACACTTCAGGCCTACTAGAAAACGGTCATGGGGATACCATAAACCGACTAAATGCGGAATAAAAGAGAAAATGGCTAGATCTTCAGTATTGCCACGAAAACACGAAGAACCCAAAGGGAATACTTTGCACCTCATCCACTGCTGGACGAAAGCCTTCCAGACTTTTGGCCCACAGATCGTCATCGTCGAGGAAGCTAAACAGATATTCAATCGTGGGATATCCGACTCCTAATTCGACTCTATCGCTCCGCGAGAAGTTTTATCTTGGGCAGTCACAATTCCATGGCATATATCCTAGGGCATTATAAAGCAGAAGCGAAGCATAGGACAGAGACTGAATTCCGTTATCCGAAAGGCTGACGACCCGGAGCCTATATCCCTTCCGTATTTTTGAGCTCCGCATATACCACCGAAGACAGGGGTATATCAGGTGCATCTGAGAACTCAGATTCGTTGGATTTATCTTATATGAAGGAACCAGATGATGGAACAAAAGTATGCAATGGCAAGAGCCGTCCATCAGGGCTATGTGTCATTATAACCCTTGGAAGTGCGTGTTCCCTGAATAAAAAACGAGGCCCACAAAGATCGAGAAACAACATTTCTTTCAAAGATGTCTGCCTCCGGATCGGCCTCCGCGTCCCCAGCTGCGAGAGGCCATCTTGGTCACTCGCGCGGGGTGCCAGCCTTCTGCGGGTCAGGAGTGTGGATCATGCCGCGATCCGTATGCCTCGTTGACGTTCGCGGTATGCATCTCAGGGGGACTGGGGCCTCTAGATGCAACAACTGCCTGTATCGCAGACACAAGTCCTGCTCGCCCCAGCGCTAGTCGCGACAGTTGGTCTGTCCCTACTGGACATTACTGGACTCCTTCCAGCGGTGGCCTGCGTCTCGCGACTGAGGTGAGAGCGGAGGAATAATCAGGGCCTGTACCGCGGGTCGAACTATTGTGCCCAATCAAATCACGCACATGGCTTTGGGACCAAAAGTGTTGAAACAGCAATTTGCGATGTTTCGGACGCTGGTTTCCGCTTCCCTGAAGCAAGCAAAAGCGCGGCCACCGGGCTTGCACAACTACCAATGAAGCAAGTTTCGCGAGCAACGCAACGGGCATGTGGAACGCAATACTCAACCATTGCATTTCCCGAGAAACCGTATCCCATAGGCCAGGATACACTTCGGGGAGAGGTTACAAGTTCGCCGATATCATAAGTGTTTGATGATTGGAGCACAGAGACGCACGGGGCAATGTGACTCGTTACCAGACACGCCCTTTTATCACCACACAAACCAAGACAAGGCGCAATCATAACTCAGAAAATGCGTGGAGGAGAGCTGAGCGACAGCTAGAGGGTTATTTGATAACTGCATGCAATGGCATCGAAAGAAGGGTTTATACCTAGGATATAATGGTCATCGGTCAAGCAAAAGTTTACGAGTATCATCGCCGCAACCGAACCATGGAAGAAAATGGGTGATAAATCCGTGCCAGGCATTCTGGTATATGTTGAATCAGGCAACGGCGGCGGTCCATGCGGCAAACAATAACATGCCAATGGCAAGCTGGGTTATTTAGTAGTAAAGAATTGGCGGTAGAGATTATCGAAATACTCCATAAGACGACCCGTTCGATGACGACAAGCCGAGGAAATACAGAGCATAATGATTGCCGTCGATCGCAGAAGCACGGTTTAAGGATCAGGTATCTGAGATTGTTAGGGATTTGAGATCACTGTGGAAGCAAGATGGTTGATGATGAGATTAGCTCACAACGAAGGCATTCTCATCTTTGAACATGTCCACAACACTCAATATCTTATCGCGACAGTACAATAGGTACACTTTCAAATGGTGGTTTGCTTAGCTAGATGTATAGCTATGTTGCCTTGATAATAGCATTTCAAGGTCAGGTTGGAAGAGAACTTGCCGAAAAGCTCATGCTGAAAGATTGCCAGTCATGTCTTCTTCATTCTACAAAACCCTGCCCCAAGGTATTCTTGAGGCAATTCATATCTTTATATAGTATTTGAAATCCATTCCCAACTGCGAGTGTTCGCTCAAGACCATTCTATCCCAGCCAAGCGCGCGTAACCAACTTCAACCCCTCTTTGATCGCATCATGATGCTGACTCCACTGTTCATGCAATCCATGACCACCAGGAGATAAAGACAGATGCACTTTAGCAGAAGGCTGCTTTTCCTGTAGCAATGCTATGAAATCCTGACTTCCCTGAACCGGTACAATGTCATCATCCAGTCCGTGAATGATAAACAACGGCGGGATCTTCGCCCCACGAGACACCCTGTCAAAGGGAAACAGTTTCTCGTCGGTCCCGAAAAACTCCAGAAACATCGAATTGTCCATCATGGAAAACGCGTACAGGAATCGGGAGATGGTGATGTCAGAGGACAGGATAGATTTCTTGTCTTCCTTGTTTGCGAGATAGTCTCGGACTAAAGAAGGGGGTGCGCGTGGGTTTGCATGCTGCGCTGTGAACGCTGCAGATTTCAGATCAATGCAAGGGAATTCGGAGATACAGCCTTTGATGGCGTTGGGGTAGTTGAGAGAAAGTTGCACGCTGAGGTAGCCGCCTATTTTGATGTTCGTATCATTGGAATATGAGACAGGAGCGAAGGGGTGGGGTGGCTCACCTGCACTTTCACCTGCAGTAATTATTCTGGACAAATCTGGCTCAATTCCGGTGGAATGATCACGCAAAGTGTCTGTTAATCTGGACGTGACCCAGGTCCACAGATCATCGATGTCTTCCATGATATCCATGCCGGTGGAGTCAGGCAGGAAACGGTAATTGGGTAACACGATGATAGCTTTATGCTGCAGGGCTAATTCTGCCTGCCATCTCGGAAACCAGTCTGGAAACAGACTTGATCCTGTTACCTGCAAATGGAGTTCAGCTTGATTGTTTTCATGGGATCGTGAACCTGAATACACACAAAACCACCTCCATGAAAGCGAATGATGACGGGATATTTGCCCGGATATGTGATGTTTTTGGGGACTAGGACATTGACGGCGATATCATGCTGGGAGACTGATTTATAGGTTGCCGAGATGATGTTGAAAGGGTCGAATTTCGGACTTGATGCCATTGTTGCGGAAAGTGTTGACGAGAGATGCTGATCGACTGACAAGGGGGTATATACTGGGAATGGAGATCCAAAGTTAATGGACGGGTTTTATACTTCATTTTGAACAAGGGCGTTGGAGACTTCGGCTAAATTCGCGGTAGATATAGTATGTGCAGTCCGGTACCTTGTGATGCTGGAGCAGCCGAGGACCCATTCTTGAGGCTGGAGGCCAGTCAAACAGTTCAAACAGACGACTTGCTCCACATCGGCCGCTCTGGACAAAACAGTGTGGAGCAATGCGAACAGCTGATTGTTAGGGATTGACAAGGATAGATTGCTGCGCCCATGACACCTACAGTAGACCACAAGCAGTACGAGCAGCGCTGAACTAGAGCAGGCTAACGTTGAAAGATCACAACTCGCTCTTGGATGGAATCACCCTCCAGCACCACCCACACCAGCTTCGATCGTGTCCCTCCTCTTCCCGAACCAAATACTGCCCTGTTTCTCGCTCGTCTTCGTGTTCAACCACGCAGGACCCCACGGTAACCCGTTTCTTGGCCTTGTGCTTGACCACGCCGCCTATCCCAATGATTTCCTGCCTGAAATAACCAGGCTCCTCTTCTTCGCGACTCTCCCACCGGTCGTTGGAATGGCTGTGCGACTCCCAGGGCTCATTCTCAAGACTAGGGGAATGACCATGGGGACTACCCGAAGACTCATCCGCTTCACATTCCACTTCCATTTCAATCTCTTGGGCGGCTAAACAATCTTCTCCGCGGCCGCATTTGACTCCCTGACAGCCCTCCCCGATGCCCGTCCCCAGTCCACCTAGATACGTGCTGTAACGGGTTCGCCAGTTCCAGACTCGGCGATATGTGGTGTCACTACTGCGGAGTCGCATACCACAGTGGTGACAAATCCAGAAAGCATCTGCGCACGTGCATGGTGTCCGTAAGAACGCCGGAGCTGTAAAACTTGATTCGTCTAATGGCGGGGATGCCCGAGGATTGTGACGGCGCGAGAAGGATGGGGAGATGAGATGATCGGTCAATGGCGCCGTGCGGCAAGTAGTACAGAGGCGACGGATGCGATTTTTGAGCATGCTGTTTGTTGCAGGCTTGGCCGTGCAGTTCTAAGGAAGCTGTTAATAAGGAAGATTCTTCAAATTTCTCGGGGAATAAATTGAGGCTCATACGCGACACACAACCGTGGAGCATCTCCGGCATTCCGCGACCATATCCCTAGCACATTTAGAGATTTTGCCGGTGGTGAGGCGCCCAGAGCTCATAGCTCCCTGGCTCAGAAGTCGGATTACAGATTTCACACTGTCAGATATGACAGTATCGCTCTTCAACAAGTCCACCAACGTCTCGACGTATTCATTCTCGCAGCGTAGGGTTTGCTTGACTAATTGCTGACGATACGGGAGCAGATTGGCATGGAATTGGCGACATGTCTGCGACAACGAGTCGAGTGTGTTCAGATCCACTAATCGAGCGATTTCTTTGATGACTCTGGGGTCTAGTTAGCATAACAATGCCGAAGCAATGCCAACGCGGCTCTAGTTCACGAATGCTCCATACGGGTAGCAACTCAATGCAGCAGAGAAAGAATTCCGATTCGGAATTTGTTTCTCTGATACTGATTGAAATCCACGAGAATCGACAGCCGAATCGGCGGAAAGATTATCGTCAGTCTCCACATCCGCAGGGCGCGAGACAGGCTCAGAGCTAGCTCCCACCAGCTTTGATACTGGAGGCTTTCCGGCCTCTACATAAGGGTGAAAGAGAGGGTCAGGACCTCTATGAAAGCTACGTTTGTTGAACGCATCGTGATCCAGGTCAACAAACACCACCATCTTGCGTAGAGGGGAGAAAATGCGAAAAAAGAGTTTAGAAAATATGCTTCGAGGTAGCTGGAAAACCGGCAAGGCCAAGGATCAAGTAAGCATCTGAAGATGGAAGTTCGCCGTCTCAAATTACAAGAAGAATTCAATCGGGTTGCTCCATGGCTTTGGCGATGAAATCTATTATTATACCGCGCAGAGTCTTTTCAGCGGTCACAGTGGGATGATGCGGTTGAGAAAGATCCCTCCGTCTTCGGCGCGGGGCCGTCCCAAGCAGTGGTGTGTGTCGGCGATCAAGAAGCCGACGACGTTTCTTCTGGGTCGGAGGCGCGAGGTCCCTCTGAATCCGGTGGTCCCGAGTGGAGGTAGTGGGGAGATGAAACAGGTCGAGAGGACTTGAGGTCGGCAAGCTTCCCCGGTGTGTTTTAATCAGGACCAGTCCGGATCTTATCTTGATTGATCGCCTTCTTATCAACCACCCCCTCGGTCACCTGATCTTCCCCGCCGAATCACGGGATGACACTGCACCAAGAACGGCATAGCGCAGTACCAGTCCCGATCAGGAAGGTGGTGTCGCTGACGTGATCGCAGGCATCAAGGCAGCAATCGGCGGCCGGCGCCTTCTCCGGACATGCGGCGCTTTCCTTTCTCCAACTTTCCGTTCCCCTCGGGGCCCTTCACGATTCCATCTGGAAGTCCAATCATATCCTCTGCCTTGTGGCTTCTCCAACCTGAATTCCCGAGGTCATTGGTGGGGCACGGTGTATGACACCGTTTGTTATCTTGGCTGAAATGACCCTCCTCCGTTTGACTAGTCCTATTATCTCCTGAGTTCTCTATTTAAACCGAAGTACCCCTCTACGGGAGGCTAAAGCAATTGAATCCTATCCTATCCCTGCTGTGCGACGGAACTCACAATGCCTCTCAATTCAAAGGCTATCTACTCCCGCATAAATCCCGACCTTACTCCATTTTCAAGTCGAAGGAGTACTGTACATAGTACGAATGGAATTGTCACTTCGACCCAGCCCTTGGCTGCCGCAGCGGGCCAGAGGATCCTAAAGGAAGGAGGAAATGCTGCCGATGCCGCTGTAGCTGTGGCCGCCGCATTGAACATCACCGAACCTAGCTCCACGGGGATCGGAGGAGACATGTTCTGCCTTTTCTACGACGCCAAGACGAAAAAGGTTCACTCTCTCAACGGGTCGGGAAGATACGCCGCCAATGTCACGCTAGAGAAAGTCAGAAAGGACTTGAACCTGGGACCGGACGACGTGGCCCAAGTTCCCTTCAGAAGTGCGGTTGCGGTAACCACGCCCGGGGCGGCTGCTGGATGGGTTGATACTGTCGAGAAATTTGGTAGCGGCAAATTATCTCTAGAGCAAATCTTGCTTCCGGCAATTGAGCTTGGAGAAGAGGGATTCCCTGTGTCTGAGCTGTCGTCTTATTTCGTACGTCAATGCATTTCTGCGCGACCCCGCGGGCCATGACTAACATACGATTTAGTGGCACGAACAGGAAGGTCTACTCCGTAAAGCGTCTCCGAACTCGCATGAGATGCTCAAACCCGATTCTAAAGCCAAGGACGGGTTCAGAGCCCCCCTGCCCGGTGAAATAAAGAAAAACCCTACCCTGGCCCGAACGTTCCGAGCGCTTGCAGCCGAAGGTAAAAAGGGTTTCTATGAAGGTCGGGTTGCAGAGGAACTTGTCAAGGTCGTTCAAGACCTCGGTGGCTATTTGACTCTGGACGACCTCAAGTATCACGCCGAAACGGGAAGCCAGGAGACAGAGGCTATTTCCCTGAAGTTCACCGGGCAGGGAATTGTCGAGAAGCAATCCGGTGGTACGGATGACGACGACAACCAGGGTGTAGAGATCTGGGAGCACCCACCAAACGGACAAGGCATTGTTGCACTCATGGCACTGGGTATACTTGAAGAGCTCGAGCGAACGGACAAGATCCCCAAATTCACGGAGGCCCAGCACAACTCAGCCGAGTATCTCCACGCGATCATTGAGAGTCTTCGCATTGCATTCGCAGACGCCTCGTGGTGGGTAACCGACCCGGACGTCGAAAAAGTCCCAAGCCAAGAGCTCCTCTCACAAGCCTATCTGGCCGAACGGGCAAAACTGTTCAGCCCCGACAAGGCCTCTGATATCCTTGACCACGGCAGCCCGGCTCATAATCACTGCGACACTGTTTATTTCGCGGTGACCGACAAAGAGGGCAACGGTATCTCGTTCATCAACAGCAACTATGCCGGATTCGGAACCGGCATCATCCCCAAGGGCTGTGGATTCACACTGCAGAACCGAGGCGCCAACTTCTCTCTGAGTCCCAGCCACCCGAATGTTTTGGCTCCTCGAAAACGACCCTACCACACTATCATCCCTGCAATGATCACCAACTTTTCCGATGGCTCTCTCCACTCGGTATATGGCGTTATGGGAGGTTTCATGCAACCGCAAGGCCACGTTCAGGTTCTGCTCAACATGCTTGCTTTCAACTACAACCCTCAAGCCGCGATGGATTCTCCTCGGATTTGCATCGCAGCTGCGCCGCCCGAGCTCCCCCAGGACCGCACAGTCTACGTGGAGGAAGGGATCAGCGACGAGGCCGTCACAGGTCTACAGCGGCTCGGTCATAAAGTCAAGGTCCTGAAGGGATGGGAACGGGGCATTTTCGGTCGTGGACAAATCATCCGCTGTCACTACGATGACGGCAAGCTGGTATACAGCGCAGGAAGCGATCTTCGCGGCGACGGAATGGCCGTTCCTGTGGTATAAACTCCCAAGTCTTGCAGACCCTACGACTTACGTTGTGCAATGATTGCCTAGCTTGTATATACCTTACTTACTATGTTGAAAAATCATTATTGTGCAAACAATTATATTTCGTCAATCATCAGGGGAAGATAACTATACTCGGTAATGGGGTGAAGGGCTTGTTCGGCATTAGCTGTTCAACAGCACAGCTCAGCCGCCAGAAAGAAAAAGACAAAGCCATGATGTTACAACAAAAAGACACAAGGCTAAGGATCAGAGTCGAAGTCGGGGTCAGAAAAGACATGACATGAAAATGAAGACGCAGAGGCTAAAGAAGACTGGGATGAAATGATGCCAAACAACAGATAAGATAGTAAGACAACAAGAGTATGAAAAATAGAATAGAAGGTAATAAGAGATGGCGCCAGGTTTGCTATGCTCCTCCTCCCTCCCTTCCGCTTGCTTCCATGCTCACTAAATGCTAAATAACCCGCTCAGATGCATGGACTGATGACCGTAAGAATTCCAAAAGGAAAACGACAAAAAAGAAAAACACATAGAAAAAGAAGATAAACAAAGAAAATATATAGACGAGAGAAATGAACAAAGGGCAGAGGGGCCATGAAACAATAAAAGGGGGGGGTGACGAAAGGTGAAAGGGGGGAAGACAACAAAGGTGGTCTAGAACGAAATAAGGAAAGCAGCTCGAGTGCTGTTTTGAAAAGTGAAAAAATATGTGGTGAATGAGCCGAACCTGTGCGGACGATCAATGCGCAGCAACAGCGGCCTTGAACATACCCTTCAGCTTAGAAGCACCTCTCAGAGGAGAAGGCTCGCGACGATGTCGATGATGCCGATGCCGTTCTTCGCCATCGCGACGGCGACGACGACTATCGGATTCTTCTTTCGCCTTCGCATCTGCAGCGGCCTTCATTTGTGCCTCTTCTTCATCGGCCTTTCGGCGCTCTTCCTCTTCGGCTTTGCGGCGAGCTCGTCGGGCTTCACGCCGGGCCTGATCTTCCTCCTCGGTGCGGTGGGAGCCGCTCGAGCGCTCGCTGGACCCTCGTCGGCCTTCCTGAGAGTGGCGATGGCCGTGGGTATGGCTGGTTGAGGAACGACGAGGAACGTCCACGATGTTGGCGGCGGCTTTGGCGCCGTTGATGACGAGGAGCGGACCGTTCTCGGATTCGCCGTTCGTCATGTACTTCAGGAAGGCTCGAGGTTTGGGCGTCGAGGACGAAGAGTGCTTGGAGGAAGAGCTTGGTTTGCGGTCACGGTCTCGCTGTTCGCGCTGTTCGCCGTCACGGCTTCCTGAATGATCTGAGCTCCGGTGATGGGATCTGCTGTGTCCGGACTCTTTGGCTCTTGGTGCGCGTTCGACACGCTCAACACGCTCTGCTTGTTCGACCCTTTCGACTCGCTCAGGTCGCTCGGTCCGTTCGGCGCGATCAGACCGCTCTCTTCGCTCAGTGCGCTCGGAACGCTCGACACGCTCGGCGCGTTCCGCTCGTCTAGCCTCTCTTGAGCGGTCCTTCTCCTCGGCGTGGTATGCCTTCTCGTAGGCCTTCTCCTTCCGTCGCTTCTCCTCTTGTTTAGCCTCGTGCTGTCGCTTGGCCTCATCTAGGGACCTGGCCCACCGGTTTGTGAACAGACCGCCCCGATCACTTTTTTGTCGTTGCATCTGTGACGACCGGTGTTCTTCGGTTGAGCTCTTCGAAGGACGCCTTTCGCCCAAGTCAGGCGAGCGCTTCTTCCTTCTCTTGGAACCGTGTGTAGCTCCTAGGCCTGCTGCGGTTCCGAGAGCTGCGCCTGCGACGCCTGCAGCAGCAGCAGCAGCAGCAGCAGCAGCAGGGTCTATGCCCTCGTCCTCTGGCAGACCCCTTTCACCTGCCGGTTCCGGCATCTCTTCAGGGATCTCTTCGGGGGCCGGTTCCTCGGCAGGAGGCACTTCGGCAGGTGCCTCATCCGCCGGCGCTGGCTGTTCGGCGGGAGCACGTTCTTCCATGGCGTCAGGCTCTTTAGGAGCACGCTCTTCGGTGGGTGGATCAGCTGGAGCAGGCTCAGCAGCACCCTCTTCAGCTGGAGCAGGGTCTTCAGCGGGCGCACGCTCTTCAATTTGAACTGTCTCTTCTGCGGCAGCGGGCTCCACGGCCGTAGGCTTCTCTGCGGTAGCAGCTGCAGGTTCTTCAGTTGGGGTAGGTTCCTCGGCAACAGGCTCGGCAAGGGCAACAACAGGCTCGTCAGCTGGAGTGGGTTCTTCGGCAGGAGCACGTTCCACGATGTCGACTGGCTCTTCGGCGGCATTATATACATGCTCATCGGTGGAAGGTTCCTCGACAGAAGGCTCTTCTACAGGAACCTCCCTAGTAACATTATCAACCCCCGGAGTAGGCTCTTCAGCAGTGGCAGGCTCCTCTACAGAAGGCTCTTCTGCAGGAATCTCCCTAGCAACAGAATCTTCTACCGGTGTAGGTTCCTCAGCAGCGGCAGGCTCTTCCACAGGAGCAGACTCGCTAACAGGAGTCGGTTCCTCGACAACTGGTTCTTCAGCGACGGGCTCTTCAGGAGCTGGGGCTGGCTCCTCGGGAGTAGCTTCAACAGGGGCTTCCTTGGAAATTTCTTGCTCTTCTGCGGGAGGTTCGGGATTTTCCGCAGCGGGCTCTTCAGCTGGCACAGAGTCATCAGGAGCAGGAGCCTCAGTCACCTCTTCAGCCGGAGGTTGCGGTTCCTCTGGCTTTTCTTCAACAGGAACAGGCTCTGCGGGCTCTTCAGAAGCGGGTGCTTCTTCAGGTTCAGGTTCCTTGTCCTGAGCTAGTTCCTCTGAGGTAGCCTCCTGGGCAGCTGGTTCAGCAGCCGCTTCTTCCTCGGCTGAAGCCTCTTTGGCGGGCTCCTCTTCCGCGGAAGCCTCTGCGGCTGGTGCTGCCTCTGCGACGGGTTCCTCGGCGGCAGGCTCTTCGGTGGCGGGCTCTGCGGCGGGCTTTTCTTCTGGTGCAGGCTCGTCTACAGGAGGGGTATCAGTAGATGCATCTGCTTGCGCATCTTCGGCAGCGGCTGGCTCTTCGGCAGGCGTATCCTCAGCCTGCTTTTCTTCCGTGGGAGCCTCTGTTGGCGTCGCGTCCGCGGCCTCTGCCGGGGTTTCCTGCTCGGCAGGTTGTTCTTCAGGCGTGCTTGAGGCGGCGGGCTCTTCGGTGGAGTCTTTGTCAGTGTCGGCCTCTGCGGCAGCAGGTTCTTCGGCAGGTTTTTCTGGGGATTCTTCGGCGGCAGCAACGTCTTCACTAGTAGGCTCCTCGGGGGCAGCCTCAGCAGCAGCCGGTGCATTTGCTTCCTTGCTTGATTCTTCCTCCGCTTTCGGCTCATCGGAGGGTGCCTCCTCGGAGGTAGCTGCCTCGGCGGCAGCTTCAGGTTCGGGCGCTTCAGCGGCTTCGGGTTGAGCGGGCTCTTCCACTGGGGCATCTGCCGTCTCCTCAGGCTCCTTCGGAGCCTCTTCTTCGGTCTTGACTGGCTCCTCTGGTTTAGCCTCCTCTTCTGTTGCTGCGGCTGGCTCTGCAGCTGGTTCTGCTGATGGCTCTTCCTTGTTCTCCCCATCTGCTGCAGGTTCGTCGGAAGGCTTTTCTGTGGCTTCCTCCGGCTTATCCTCAGCATCTGGTTGGGGGGCTTCTTCAGTCGTCGTAGGCGCCTCCTCAGCCGCTTCAGGTTCAGGCTCTGCTGCTTCCTTGTCTAGGTTTTCTGCGGCCGGTGCTTCCTGAGCCTCCGCTTGCGCTGGCTCTTCAGTCGCCCCTTCCTTCTCACTTGCGTCGGCATTGGCTTCCGTCTCGGGGGCGGCTGCCTCCTCGGCCTTAGTCTCTTCAGTCGATGCCTCAGCGGTGCCCTCTTCTTCTTTTGGTGCCTCCTCAGGAGGACTGGGGGTGTCGTCATCCGCAGCAGGTGCAGCATCGGCGGCTGGTTCTTCGTTCTCCTGTTTCTCCTCCGCAAGAGCCTCCGGTGTCGTCGGCGTCTCTTCTTCCTGAGCCCCGTCGTCGAGATCAATCAGTTCGTTCCCAGCTGCCGCCTTCTCCTCCGCCTCGGCGTTGGCGTCTTCTTCGGCTTGCTTGGCGGCAGCTTCTTTCTCGGCTTCGACTTCGTCAAGGCCTGCAGTAGGATCACATTCTGGGAAGTCATCCTCTATGTGTAAGGTTAGCTGACTTTGGGAACTTTTATTCTCCTCAAGCATACCATCTTTGCTCTTGTCGGCTTCTGCTTCTCCTTCCTTGGGGGGAGTAGTGTCCTCGTTTGCCTCCGCTGTAGCAGGCGTGCTCTCCGCTTCCTCGGTGGCTGCTTCTGCTGGTGCGCTTTCTTCAGCAGCGGCTGGTTCGGCAGCAGGTTCGGTAGACTCTGTGGACTCTGTTGACTCTGCTGGCGTCTCGTCTTTCTTCTCTTCTTCGGGGGCGGCGGCGCCCTCGGCCTCTGTCGTTGTCGTCGGCTCGGGTTCTGTGTTCTCTGCTGCGGCAGGTGGCTCGGCTTCCTCTTTTGATTCTGCAGCCGTCTCACTGGAAGAATCTATTGACTCAGGAGGCGTTGTTGCGTCCGTTGAATCTACATGAGATGTTTAGTTACGATTACATGGTACCATGGCATATACCAAATGAGGAGAGAGGGAGAAGGGATGATCGCTCATAAAGGGCAAGTAGGGCAGTAACCCTAGACGGGAATGGCGAAAGAAGGGTTGGATTAACGTACCTCCAGCCTCAGGCGATGATAACGAGGTATCGGTAGGAGAGTCTGATCCATCTTCTGTAGCTGGGGCAGGGTCAGGGACAGGGTCATCCTTGGGGGGTTCGGCGGCGAGGGGGGCGTCAGTGGTGCCCTGATCCTTATTGGGGGTCAGACCATCGGTAGATGTAGAATTGACAGGATAATATGAAAATTTAAGAGTATGAGGGTCGAAGGTCTGATAGTGACGCTCGATGGTCTGGTACTCAAATTTGGGGAGCTGTGCATACTGGATCGGCTGTGCCATTTTCAATAGATTCAACCGCCGTGTCCGGGGCCGGCTCGGTAGGGATACTCTCTGTATTGGAATTGGGGTTGTCGTTTAGCGGTAATCGTTTATTGTTGTTGTTATTGTTGTTCTTTTTGCTTTTTTTATTCCCCTTTTTGGCCATGGCACCGATTCAGTTGAGCATGAGACTAATACAGATAATCTTTCTCGAGGGGAGGAGGAAGTAGAAGAGGAATATAAATCAATTAAGGGAACTATGGCATCGGCCTGTCGGGGTCTAGACAGGGTCAGGGGGATCGAACAATGAGAGAAGGCAGAAAATAGGAGGCGACGGAACAGAATGGAATGTGAAACGAGATGAGATGTGAAGGGTCAGGTTCGAGTGATCGCTGATGTATTAGAGGGCTGGGGGACACAACGATATGTCCGCCTCAGTGCGCCAGTGCGCCAACCGAATAGTGGTTCCTTTTTTTTTCTTCATTTCTTTTTTCCTTTTTTTTTTAGGTACATAAAGAAAAAGAAAATAATAATTTTCTTTTTCGTTCGAGGACCAACGCGAGGCGACGTATCGTAGACTGGCCACTACCCAGTGGGATGGGACAATATCGAGCTGCAGTTCGGGCTTAGACTGGCGAACGTCATTGACGAACGCCCAACGGCAAGGTATCTCATTGGACCACGTCTCACGGGTCCCAATAGCCCTGGTGGACGGGGGAATGAAAAAAAGGGGGGTCTCCGGGAAGCATCACCGGGGCAGTACTCCGGGAGGATGGCGGAAGACAGCCATCTGCAGCAGGAGCTTGCAGTAGCAAGCAAGTGGCGGGCCCCGAGTGAGGAGACAATGATCCAGATGAGGATAAGGAAGCACCACAGAATCCAGATGGACTCCGTAAAAATTGGGTACAATTCGTCGTGTTAAGTGGGGGTGGTGCCACTGATCCGTCAGCGGTATTAGCCGGGCTAATCTTGTGATTTGAATTTTTGTTTGGTTGACGTCTTCCTATATCGTCGTCTATGGAAGTAGATCCTTCGCCCCTAGAGACAGATAGATTAATTATTCGCCGACAGGATTCCAGAAGTACTATACATATTGTCTGGGTAGACAAGGAAGTTAGCCAACGCGTCACGGGCACAAAAATTCGGTGGTAGCTCGAGAAAGGTTGCATGATAAAGATGCAAGACCAATGGCCGAAACCAATCCAATCCTAATAATCCTGCCCATGTAGGACTGGCATTCTATTAATGGAAGGGGCCCGATGCCATCAATGAGGAAGACCCGATGCAGCTGATGGCTGTGTTGATTATGCTGGGAGTGGCAGGCTCATTATCATGATGACCGAGTTAATCAATCGCCGATTTCTGCCCAACGCCTCCTGCGGACAGCGGCAGCAAATTGGATGCATGTTGCGTGGAGTTGAGACTGGGTCCCCGGTCCGAGAAACCAGGGAAGGATTGGCCAGAAGGTGTAAAGATGAGGCATTGGCCTGGGATTAGTAACTCGCACAAATCGGAAAATAATGATCAATCGGCATCGAACATTGAATCAATCAAGGCAATCAAACACCCGTTCAGGGAGCGAGAGAGGATGGAAAGATGGACCGGAGGAGGGGGAGACGAAGCAAGAGAATTGGAAGTCCGAGCGAAACAAAGAGAGAATCGGCGCTGATCACTGGACCCCCCAACCGGGACTAGCGCCCATCCTTGGGCCTTTCTTTCTCTCGCCTTTCGCCAGCAACTCCATGCATTCTTCGCTTCCATTCTGTTCTCTACCAGTCGCTGCATCGCATCGTTGTTCTCGATGGGCGTGCGAAAACTCATCTTCTCCCAACGGGAAAACAAATCGTCACCTCAACCCCCCAGCCATCGCATTCTACGGAGACAGGGCCACTATTGAAACAATCATTGCAGAGTGGACTGACTAAACACGGACCTGTCCCACTGAGGAAACAAAAAGTGAGGCGCAACGCTGTTCTGGCGCCCCGTGACTGGCTGCTTTTGCGCCCACTCCCTGGCCCATTGGGGGAGATTCTCCCCAAAGCCCTACCTCTACTGGCCGAACGAGAGGAGTAAAAAAGTGACAAGGAATTTGATACACTAAACTAGATGGCCCCGAAGCAGTCAGGTTCTGGCTACAGGAAAAGTAGACACCCACCCCAGACAAGCATGTTTTTATGCCCTCCACATAGAATTGATAATTCCGATGTCGCCTCCCAGACAGATCCAAAAAAGTACAGCAATCGACAGAAACTCCATCTTCCGACATAAGAATAACTACCATTCAGGATCAAACAACAAAGACACAAAGGAGTAAATCGAAAAATTTCGCCCAACAATGGATCCCTCCTGGGTCCCTGACCCTTTTTTTTTTCTTCTGAGTTGTTGTTCGTTTGTCCACTTACTTTCCACAGCATTGCCACTATTCCGCGTCGTTCAGGCGTTGATTTTCCATGGGGTACGCATATCCTACGTAACATGCGCATTTCCAACCCACACTACTGCTGTACACTGTACGCCTGCTGCAGACAGAAAGTCCAAATAAACAACCCTACCATCGAGAACATTCAACCCCCGATCCATGATTCAAGGACAGGACAGAATGAAAATCTTCCGGAGGGGCCCAATGGTCGGAGAGGCGTTTCTCGGACTGTCATTCATCCATCACACGGGCCCTCAAATGCAGCAGACCGAATCCAGATAGGATGACCGCTGAGCTGACCTCCTTGCGTTTGTTTGATCTCACCATCCGGCTTGTGATAATCAGATTGCGTCTGGGAATAGTTACCTTCCACGGATGTCAAATTCGCTCAGCAGGTTTTAAGCCGTCATGTTCCGGAATCCGGACTGATTGTCAGACTCAGCGATTGCCCGTCCGTTCCCTCCCGGTCCAGAGCCTAGGTTGTGGTCCTTGATTAGGTGCCTGCACATAGTCTAAATCATGTCAAGGATGATGATTCGTTGCCTCTCTTGCATAACTTAGGGGCCTCGTAGCCGAAAGAAGTAGGTGGGTGTATTTTTGCCATTGATCTGAGGAGCAATGATCTCAACCACCCAACATCTTACCCCTCAGTTCATGATCCTTGCTAGAACATTTCCTTGTCCTTGGCATCTTTAGAATAACGATGTGCTTGTACTACGCCGGATAATTGACGATGCCTTCTGGCATCTAGGATTCTAGGTGCTGACGATGAACTGTCGGCTGACTAGAACATGTCAAGGATGACCAGTATCAGAATGATGCCTGTGCATCGTTCTGGATCGCATTGGCTCTAACAATAGTCTCACATTGGGTATCCTCAAGTCGCTTCATCTCTTCAACCCTGGTATAACCATTCCATACCCAAAGCACATATGCACCACTCATTTGCCCTAGACACGTCCGCCGCAGTTCTAGACTTTCGAGAAGGCCAGGGGCAAATAAGATGCGATCTGACAGTGAAGTGGCCCAAATCGTTATATATAGAAGCGCCATGAACAGTTACCGCCCAACGGAACGAAGATGGCTGGCGGGAATAGTTTCTAAAGGCAGCTAATTCTGTGTCACCTTCCCCCCACTGTCTCCTAATTTCGGGCTCAAAAACGGAAGTTTCAATGGCTTAGCGCATCCATTGATTTTCTCCAACGAGGCCCAAAGATCTTCATGGCGAAGAGAACAGAGCTGCTAGCGAAGGCCACCAACCCAAGAATCGTAAAAAGCCACCCGTTTCCGATTGCATCGATGATTGGGGCCGTAACCAGGGACCCAACACACGAGAAGATGTTCCGCATAAAATTGTTTAAGGCAACCCCTGCAGACGATTTCTTGGGCATAAATTCCGTCAACATCGTCGTTGCCATACTAAAAATAAGCATCGACCCAATGCCGAAAAAGAAGTTGGCAATCATCTGCATCATAAAGTGTCAGATCTCGCAAGTCTCCAAAGATATAAAGATGAGAAAGACCTACCGGTGCAAGCCAAAACACCCCGCGATCCGCAGTCCATCCATACCAGATTAACGCCGCGGGATAAAGCAAAGCACCGAGCCAGGCATTCTCCCGCATACGGTCCTCGGGATGATATATCAGTTTGCCATTATCATCGTATCTCTCCGCCTTTCGGGCTTCGCGTTGCATGATTTCGTCCATCCATCGCCCGCCAAACGAGCTCGCTACCATGTATCCCACAGAGTTTGGGATGTAAAGAAGACCAACAATGATCGTAGAAAAGTTATAGGGACTGCTTCCAAAGGTATGCTCAATACTCACGTTCAATACATAGAGCGAGCCAAATGTAATGCTTGCATAGTACACAGTCAGAAATACAGGCGGATATCGTAGGTAGAGGACGATCTTGAGGGGGTCAATAAACACCATCTTGAGGATTCTCAGCCACTTGGTGGTGAACTGCACCACCTGCCGGGAAGACACTCGGCTCAGCTGACGCCCAACGGCTTCCTGTTGCTCCTCATCCGTGTTAGGAGTCTTCGACGTCACTAGGGTCTCAGGAAGAGCGAGGCATATGAAAATGACAGTGATTGCCCCGTATACGGCAAGGAACCACAAGGTGCTCCTCCAGCCCCATCTTTGAGCCAGTGCACCTCCAATAATTGGGGCCAGTAGTGGTCCGCATAGCGGGCCTAGATAGAAGATACTCATGGCACGTCCCCGCTCGTGGGTTTCCCAAAGATCAGCGATCGTGCCTGCACCGACTGCCTGGACAGAGGCGGATGCTCCGCCGCTCAACATTCGCATCATGATGAGCATGGCAATCGAGCTGGATACTGCGCAGAGGATATTGAATACAACAAAGAGGCAGAAGGAAACAACGTATATAGTGCGCCGACCCAACCTCTCACTGAATGACGACCACCAGAGTGGAAATATGGACATGCTCAGCATGTACAACGAGATTGAGAGATTTGCTATAGTGGTCGATGTGTGAAGTTCCTTTGATACCTGTGATAAAGATGCTAGTGATCCACGCAGCAGGTCAGCCTGGTAAATGTTGTAGTAAAGGGTATATGCATTTGCGGTTGAATAGAAAGAAGTAGAGGATATCGCCGCGACAAATTAGACTCGTCAACTTACGGAAGAATATAGAACTGCCCATAGGTGCCGTCGCCCCGGCTACTGCGACGATAAAAGTAATGAACCACTTCTTCTTGCGAGGGTAAGTCTTCGGGTTCTCAATTTCGGCGAGCAACGTGAGCTGACCGAAAAGGCCTCTACGTTTCAGTCGCGGCACCACCACCGGTTGCTTTTGTTCTGCCTCTGAGATCGGAGGGATGTCTGCTTCTTCGTCTTTTTGTTCGATGTCAAGAGGCGAGTTCGTGGGCGGCGATAAAGAATGAAAATTGGTATCCATGTCATTCGTTGTCTCTTTGGACGGTATGGTCTCCTGATAAGGGTCTTGGGAGAGATCTGCCGACGGCCTCGAATCGGCCGTCGGTTTCTTCTCCATGCTGGACGCCGTCACTCTTCGCAGGTATACGAGATTAAGATGCTGAAAAGTGGGTGGACAAATTGCGATTGCGCAATGGCGCGACTGTCGCACATCAAGGATCTATGGATCGGCTAGTTGTTCTGCGAACACCTTGTTGACCAAGAGGGTAAGATATTGATAGCGTGCAATGTCGAGTAAATAAAGTAAACAATCCAAGCTCCTCAAAGTAACGAAGACATTCAGATAAGAAAGCACCCAGCACCGATATCCTGAAGTGGGGTTCAATATTAGTTATTGTTGATGCAGAATGAAGTATGCAAGATAGACTGATGCTCTGTGGTCATCTTCTTTCCAATCGAACGAAGCCAAATACAAGCGAATGAAGATTAAGAGAGGATGAAATAAGAAGTGAGAGATAGGGAAGAAAGCAGAAGTCGCTATGGTTGTTATCTAACGTCGGCACGAGAAAGGCAAGAGTAGATCTCCCCGCTCGCAGGTCGGGTCCTTCCAAGGCATTGGAACTTGATTCATGAGTCGACGACAGGCACCGATAACGTGGAGGAATCTAGAGGGCAATCGATACGATGCAGTCCTAGGTAGCCATGCATGTCTACCTGCCTGATACTAATAGATGTTTGAATTTTGATAACACCCAGAATGAGGGGGAAACGGTCAAATCCCAGACACAAGGCCTTCGAACGTGGTCCTGTGTCCATGAGTCCATTCAAGAGTGGAGACGAGAGCAAAGAGTAAAGAGCAAAGACCAACGAAAGCGAGCGACGGCGTGCCGTTCCATCCGAGCCTCCAGTCACGGCTGGTCGGGCGTTTCCGCCTCGGCTCCATTTGCCGAGGTCAAGCCTTTGTAATATCTTCAAGGACTAGTTATTCATGGATAGGCATTATGGAAAAGTCAGGGTATGTCTTCAGATCTACAAAAGGAAAAGGCCGAATGAGATCAAAAATGTTTACATTGAACGTGCTGGAAGTGACACGAAAAGAGTGGTATGTAGGTAGCTCATGCTCATGTCTTAGTGCCTGAACCTCACACATTGCATCATCTAGCTATTGGCCTATTGCGAAGCATTCAAACTTCTCGGGATAACTTACCACGCCCATAGGTAACTATAATTCTTGGTGTGGGGCATTAAAATCAATTAAGATCTGGGATACTACCCTGTCCTACGGATAGCATCAAAATCGCCCAAAAACGGAAGGGATCTGATAGCCGCGGTATCCTGGACCGCCTCAGACCCGGAACATATCAAAGTCTGAGGAACCGAGACAAATTCCCCTTCTTCTAAGTTATTCCGCCGACTGACCAAACTCACATGGGGAATCATGCAGGGTTCTTCCCAGCTGCTACGTACACAAAGTACTGACAAATACTACACCGTATTACACATTTACCTGTAGTGCTACCCAATCGGGGAATTCGAGGTCGGCATACGTCCCATGGGAACATGCATACTAGGTACACCCCATTCAGTGCGCGTACAGAAAACCCAATGGTTTTGCCAAGAATGTCCGTTTTGGATATATCATATTGAGCTGCAAAAGCCACAAGCTCTACGTCTCCCGGACGTCACCCCGGAGAATTGATATCGCCCCCTTCTATATGCAAGGGCTGCAACAGTACAGATCGCGCAGGTAAATCGCCCTTCTAGCAAATGAAGTCCTCCTACTCCGAGAGACCACTAGATTTCCAAGCCCCTCAATCCCATCCACGTAAATTAATAGACGCATATTTCATATGCCAGAGCCAATGCGGTCTCGAAGTGGTGAAGCATTCCCTCGCCAAACTGACCTCGTTGCCCTGCATACAAACCTGATATCATATTCATCGTGCATTTATCTCCGTCAGACCTACGTACCCTATTCACCGACCTTGACTGCGAGAACATATCCAGTGTTCCTATTTGCGAATCGAAAATCGATACTTGAAGTATAAAGCACCAGTCAAAATGCTTGCTCATCTGCGTCTATCCGCAATTCTTCGGAATCCTTTATTCTGGGTACATCAACATGGCTACCACCGCAAAGTTCTTCACCAATTTCCAAGGCGAAAAGTATGTCGACGGTTGGGCGAACATATGGAGTCTAGGTGAGTTTCGGATCTGGGATAAGGAGTACCCTAACCCTGCTCTGGAGGATACCTTGGCTCAGCGGCGCGAGATTCTCGGCGATCCGGTCGTAACAGATGAACAGGGGAATGTGTACCGGAAGAAAGCGTTGGTGCCGGGTTGCGGAAGAGGCGTCGACGTGCTTCTGTTAGCTAGCTTCGACTACGATGCATATGGACTGGAGTGCAGTGCGGTCGCAGTCGAGGCCTGCAAACAGAAAGCGCTGAGAAATAGAAACCGATATCCTATCCAGGACCCCGTGGCTGGCCGAGGAGCAGCTACCTTTGTCCAAGGCGACTTCTTCAAGGACGACTGGTTGGAGAAGTTCCAGTTATCGCGCGACTGTTTCGATTTGATTTACGACTATAGAGTGAGCGGTAGCCAACCCAAGATGTTGATTGTCATCGAATAAGAAAGTCTATCGCAAGGGTCAAATGCTCGCTTGCGTTCGGGGGCGGTTCGAATTGTGAACGCCATATAGTTCGGAGATGCAAGAACTCTTTTGATAACGCTTTTTGTGATTATATTCTTCTGCGCACTGAATCCGTCCATGCGTCCAAGTTGGGCGCTCCGACACGCCAGCTTCTCGCCCTCTCGTTGCGTGGTAATCTCATTTGTCTCGAATACCCAAGGGACAAGGACACTTTACTTCCCGGTTCACCTTGGGGGGCATCGTCAGAGGCGTATATGGGACATCTAAGTCACCCCGGCGAAAAGATCCCATATGACGACCAAGGTCAATGCAAAATCGATGCATTCAACAAGCCAGGCAAACAGGGCTTCGAACGAGTCGCATATTGGCAGCCCGCTCGAACACACGACATTGGCATAGACGAGACAGGGAAGGCCCACGACCGAGTTTCGGTATGGCGCCAGAAATGACAGCCATCACCGCACCGTCTCAAGGCACTCGGCGAGGGGATTTCCGTTTTCGAGGACGCCCAGGTCCAAACTGATTGACGGCTCGAGTATGGACCGAACCATTTTGCGAATATTCCCAACCTAGGTCTTCTTTGCAAGGGCGTTATAATGCTCACCAAGCCCATATGTATGCCGATAATAAGCCAGCCATATAACACGCTTGTTCTCCGCGTCCAAGCTGTCGTCACCTGATTCGATTTTTTCAATCCGACCATCGCCTTGGATAACATTAATCTCCACGCCGTAAGCCCTCGCAATTGCTTGTAGTTCTAGCTGTCCTCCCCATTCTGCTGTAAGCTTGATTTTTCGGGTGTACTGATCCAACGGTTCCTCCATGAATGCCTCAAAATCATCCTTATGTTCAACAATGTAATCCGCCGTCACCGCTCGCACGGCTCTGTAGCCATCATGCATAGGAGAGGTCACTGTTTCGACTCGGGATTGCGTTGGAGGCTGGAGAACGATTCTCTTCGGGTCGGGTTTCAAGCCGAGTCCAGACTCTTCCAGCTGGCTGGCGATTGCCGAGTAGAGACAATGTCCATCCGGGTTGATTTCAATTTCCTTCAATCCTAACCGCTTGAAGACTCCATCCATGACCTCCTTCTCGTTTCCGCGGTGGTCTGTTTGTTTCGCAGCCTCCTCCGCGGCTATTTCAGCTTGAGCGGCTTGTTCCGCAGCGCGGCGGGCGAGTCGAGCCTTTTGGCGGTTCGGCTTCTTTTGGCGGGCGCCGGACGTTGGCTCCGAGGAAGGCAAAGTCATATCTGCAGGTGTTTCCGGCGTCTGAGGGGGTTGAGACTTGTCGGCGTCGTCTGCATTTCCATTTTCGCCATCTGTGTCATTAAGATCCAGATCCTCGAGAGCGTCGACGGGTTCGGTCGGTTCGCCATTTAGCTGTGCAATTTCGGACTGGTGGCGATCGGAAAGTTCTCTTTGTAGTCGGTCGCATTCATCGTTAATTCCTCGGCGGGTCTTCTTTGTGGCCGACTTTTTCTTTTGCGTGATTCGTGCCTGAAGATCTTTTTGTTCTTTGCGGTGCTTGGCCAACAGCTCGTCCATGATGGGAGGGGTAAGAGGATGTAGGGAAGACGTCGGCGAAGGGAGCGAAAGGATAATCTATAGTATCGACAGGATGAGATTCAAACGACGGACACGCCTGTTCTATATGCCTGAAAATATGTACAGTAGTTGCGCTCAGCAGACGGTTGTCAGGAAAACAGAGAAGCAGCTGTTGCCCCGCAAAACCCTTTCCAGGCTGCCCTAAAGCCTAAAAGGTCCCGTCCGAACGGGAATGGCGTGCCGCGGGCTGAGTTCGGTGCCTTACAACGGTGGCAAGCAACGCCTCGACTGCCAGCTACCCGGCATGGAGCAACGTTGTTCCACAGCCTCGGTATCTTTCGAGTTCTCTCGGTCGTCGGATATGCCAGCATGGGCCACGCCCCATACTCCGTATATGAATGCAGCTCTCCTAGGAACTCCCACTCACTCCGCATGATTGGCATGTCACATTAGATCCACCATCAACAACTCCATACTATTGAATTTTATATCCTTGTGTGCATAGTATATCGTTTGTAATTACTTACCTACTTTCAACATGAACTCCCAGAACCTTTTCGATGTCAAGGTCAGTACTACTCCGCGCAAACGGAGCATCCGGAATCACAATCAATCCTAACGACCGGTTCAGGGCAAAGTGGTGCTGGTCACCGGCGGAGCCAAAGGCATTGGTCGAATGATCTCTGAGGGATTTGTCGCGAACGGCGCTACGGTCTATATCTCGTCGCGGGATGCCAAGGCCTGTGAAGCCGCGGTGAATGAGCTCAACGCTCTTGGAAAGGGCAAGGCCCACTCCATTCCCGCCAACTTCTACAAAGAGGAAGATGTCAAGAAACTGGCCGAGGAGCTTGGCAAGCGCGAAAGCAGTAAGTCGAGACTCTCCGCTCGAGGGTGGTAGCTCTGCGGTCTAACTTTCAACTAGAACTCCATGTTCTGGTCAACAATTCCGGATCGAACTGGGGTGCTCCTTATGACGAATACCCCTCGTCTGCCTGGACTAGGGTCCTTACGCTCAACCTGCATCGGGTTTTCGATCTGACGCAGCTTGTCACGCCCCTGCTGGAGAAGGCTGCTTCGGCAGGCGACCCGGCTCGCATTATCAACATCGGCAGTATCGATGGACTCCGCGTTCCAGCTCTAGAGACATTTGCCTACAGTGCTAGTAAAGCCGGCTTGCATCACTTGAGTCGCGTTCTCGCAAACCACCTTGGCAAACGCAACATTACGTATGTGTCGCCCTTCCCCTTGTCATCCTTATCATGACAGACAGACTAAGACAGTACATGGGTAGATCAAACTCGCTGGCTTGCGGACCATTTGAGAGTAAAATGATGGCTGCTACTCTAGAATCCTACCGGGAAACAATCGAGGCAGGGATCCCACTAGGTCGTATCGGGACTCCCGAGGACGTCGCGGGTGCTTGTCTATTCTTGAGCAGCCGGGCTGGGTCGTATGTCAACGGCGCCACCATCGCTCTCGATGGCGGAAGTGCGATCGCCGCCAAGCTTTGAGTGACGATAGCTGTATTGAGATCCTGCAAAAATCTCTTTCTCTCTTCGTGTTGATCTACCGCTTTTCCTGCTTGTTCCGGAAAGTATAACCTTCGTATGCGCCCCCATGACCCCTGCTGTAGAACCATGCATCATGCAGCTCTAAAGGCTAGTCTCGAGCTTGCACTACAACCATCATTCTTGAATGCCATGGTATGGTCCTACCTAGAGGACTTAAACTTTGCGGCAACGGGGCTGTACAGTCACGCTCTAGACGCCACGAAGGCCAGCCAGACCCAAGTAGCTCGCCAAGTTGCGAAGGCGACACATGTGCGCTGATCCAAGGAATGCAGAAGAGGAGAAGATAAGAGGAGAATGTCGGGAAAAACAAAGAGATGAGATAAGACGTGACTGATAATGTCCAAAAGGGAGAACACGCGGTTGACGTCGGCCGGTTAGAGTTCGCGGATCTGTCCAAGCCACACTGCCCGCTGTGACGCCAGAATTATTGGACTGGATAATTCCCTCCTACAAATTCCTCGATGAGCTTCCCCGAGCTACCTTATATTGTCATCGTGGCACTACCATAGGCAGGCTTACGTTGTCTTCGCTGCTAGCATCAGTGATTCTTTCACTCGGGGTCCTTATCAAGTCTCAAGTCTCCATACATCTTTCAAGGCAGCTTCAATATTCTTTTTACCTACTTGAGCAGGGCTTCAGTTCTCGTTCTTGCCCTCTGAATCGACGAGTCTGAACCACATCACAAAGCGCCTGGGACGGCGAAGTATGTGGAAGCCTCGGACGAACTTTATCACCTTGCATTGTGCGTCGCGAACCCGCCGAGGTTAAATGAAGTTGTTGACAAACGAAGGCAGATGCGTACATCTTCATCCTCAGTCTCTTGGGCTTGATCATCCTCTACCCGTATGGCAACTTAAGTGCAATTGATGCCTACTTCTTCGGGGCCAGTGCTGCGACAGAGTCTGGCCTGAACCCGTTCGTCTATTAACAATATCTCTCCTTCTAACCGTACATTACTGAGTCGCGTCTTTTAGTGTCAATGTCAACGATCTGAAGACTTACCAGCAACTATACATCTACTTCGTTCCTATCGTATCGAACTTATGTTTTGTCAACATACTGGTTGTGGTTGTGCGGCTGTACTGGTTTGAAAAACGCCTGAAAAAGATTGGTACTGTTGTCGTTGGCTGCTAAGTATCAGAGCAATCGCTTACTAGCCGGACAGGACCCTCCATACTGTATCCCAGACCAAGCTCGTCAGGTCGCCCAGCTTATACTCATGATGCAGAAGCCCAGTTGCACAAAGGTGAAGAAGGTCACATATCAGGACAGGAGTCCGCCAAAACATTGCAGGACTCATCATGTGGAAATGAAAGTTCGAAGGAGGAATCGAAGAACCGGATATCGAATGTGTTAGTTGCTTGTGCATGCCATGTTACGGTAAATGATTATTGACCAACTCTTTCTTAGAGTCAACTACTCAGACTTGAACCAACCCAGCCCTTCCAATGAGGATGCTCCTCCTCCTCAAATCAATCGACGAATATCCTTTGCAGAAGATTCAAAGGCTTTATATATTCCATCGCCTCGCGAGAGAGACAGAGGTAATTAAAACCACCCTGAAAACAACTTGGCTCACGCTCACGCAAATAACAGGTTTTCCAATACAGGAAGTGGACGGGCCATCAAATGACCGTAAGCAAGCGTATCCGTGACTATAATCAGAGACTCGAGAAATAACCACTTGGCAACTACAAAAAAATCAGATCGCGCAGAATCAACAGAGAGAGGTGAACCAGATACCAGAGACGGTCGCCGTCTGCGCGACACTATTTCCAACAGCAAACCGCTTGAACGTGTTGCCTCTTCGGTATTTGTGCTTGGAAAGCAAACCAAACCATCCACCGAGCCACGTCTTCAGAGTACGATTTCACTTTCCAAAGACTCCAATCTTCCGGGCCTCTCGTCCCAGGCTACACTCGGCAGGAACTCGCAGTTCCATAACTTGACGGATGGGGATCGGGCAAAATTGGGTGGTATTGAATATCGCAGCCTCAAAATCTTGTTGAAGATTGTGATCGGTACCTAGCCCCCTCCTATTTTATGCTAACGGGATCTGATGAGCCGCAGGTTATTTCTTCGGACTGCATATATTTGGGGCGATCTGCCTAGTTGGCTGGATTCAATATGCAAATCCGAAGTATAGGACCTACCTTGAGGAATGTGGACAAAACCATATCTGGTGGTCAGTAATCTCTCTCACCCGAGGTTGCCACCATTATCATCTGTATTTACATGGTGTATCCAGGGCATTTTACTCGGCACAAACGATGGTCGATAATCTGGGTCTTACACTCACCCCGGATTCCATGATCTCATTCCAAGATGCGACCTTTCCCATGATAGTAATGAGTTTCCTCGCCTACGCCGGTAACACCATCTATCCATGCCTCCTCCGTCTCGTCATCTGGACGTTATTCAAATGCGTTCCGCAGCAATCGTCACTCAAGGAACCGCTGGCCTTCCTCTTGAAGTACCCTCGTCGGTGTTACACGCTCCTCTTCCGAAGTAAACCTACCTGGATTCTATTCGGGATCGTCTTCGTCCTCAATTTTGTCGACGTTCTTTTGATTATCGTGTTGGATCTCCACAATCCTGCCGTGAATAACCTCCCTGTCGGCCCCCGGATTCTGGCGGCCATTTTTCAGGCAGCATCGGCGCGACACACAGGAACATCTTCATTCAACCTGGCCAAGGTCAATCCAGCCGTTCAATTCAGCCTCTTGGTCATGATGTACATTGCCATATTCCCGATCGCCATCAGTATTCGCGCATCCAACACCTATGAGGAGAGTGCACTAGGCTTGTACTCAAGGGAACAGGAGATTGATGAGAACGATGGCACAAACTACGTGCTGGCTCATATGCGGAACCAACTCAGCTTCGACTTGTGGTACATATTCCTCGGAATATTCTGCATTTGCATTGCCGAGGCCGACAGAATTATGGATCCAGCTGAAGCCGTGCGTAAATATTCTTCAACAGAGGCTTGAACCAAGAAGCTAATGTGTCCCAGCAATCCTTTTCCGTGTTTGCAGTTTTCTTCGAAGTTGTTTCGGCATAGTAAGTTTCTCTACTTTTTCCGAACCGAAGCATAAGATGGTGATCTTAACGTCTTCTAGTGGCAACGTCGGTCTCAGTTTAGGGTATCCTACGGTCGCAACCTCGTTGAGCGGACAGTTCTCGACCTTCAGCAAAGTTGTGATCTGCGCGATGATGATGCGAGGGCGACATCGTGGTCTCCCATACTCGCTCGACCGGGCGATTCTACTTCCCAATGACCGACTGATCGCGGATCATAAAGATGAAACTCAGCCTGATGCGAGGGCGTGTGTCGACAACCGTAGTGGTCTGGGCTTGAATGAAAGCGGACAGATGAAGTTCAGACGGTCCTATACCAAATAGCATCTTCTAGCCAGATTATCATATAGATAGCCTTATCTTTTTCTTATCTCGCTCTTCTTATTTATTACTTGCTCTCCCAGGACACCCTGCTTCCGAGAAATTAGGCCACATAAGGCCTAGAGGGTTTTCCGAATTACTCAGGAATGCTTAGAGTAGACGAATCCCCGGTAAACGTGGGATCCAGGAACAGGGAGACCGACAAAGAAAGTGGACGCTTCCAGCACGACGACCCGATCGATATCCAGTGCACGAACAGGTCACGCAGCAGACGCAACAAAGAGTGGTCCACCGGACATCCAATCAAGTTGATATCGTGGCGAAGTGGAGTTTTGTGGAGCGGCGACATCATTGCTTCGCATGCCGTCATGACATCCCACTTCTGGTCTTTAAGCCGTAGCTTTCTTTGTCTCGAATCTCTAAACCTTTGTTTTGTCTTCACCATCACTCTTCAGCCCCGTACCCCTATACTTTATACTCTATAACTAGTCTTAACCTGCAGACCGCCTCCGGCCAGCTCGGTGTGACAGCAACCAATCCGACCGCCGCCATTCCGCCCACCGATCTTCCTTACACAGAGAGGCGCCACCAAAGCATCTTGACGTGGCCATTGGTCTCGCTTCGTTTGTTTTCCTTAACCAGCCCATCCTTGCTTTGTCCCATCTCCTGTTCGGGGTACTTCATCCCGGCCTCGATATTTTTATTGTCCTCGTATCTTTTCCCCAGTCCTTTTCCTTTCTTCTCCTCACCCACAATTTTTCCCGGACGACGATGAGCTCGCCAAATGCTCAACCGCACGGTCGGACGGGCTCTATCGATCCTTTTTCCCATCCAGACGTCTACTATGGGGATGACGAGGCGATCGCCCGCATCAAGAACCGCAGACGGGCTTATTCCTCGGTGGGTAGCGAGTCTGACGAGATCATGTTGAGAATTAGGAGGGTTTGATGCTGACTGAAGCTTAAGTCCTTGAAAACTTTCAATCGAGAGGATATCCAGGATTTTCTGGGTGGACATACGGCGAGAAGAGGGAGCCACGGTATGTACAGTCCTAATTTCTTTGATACAAGTTGATGGGAATTGGAAGCTGACGCGGGTCACACGGACAACAGATGCATCGTCGGCTCAGCCTCGCAAATTCCTGATCGATGTCGAAGAAACGTTGCAGAGTCTCCTGGAGAGGGAGGACACCGATAAGAACATGCAGATAACCATCGAGGATGTCGGCCCGAAGGTATGTGTCACGTCGACCGGCCTTCCTGATCCACTGCTGAAGTATCTGTGTTTGCTTTAGGTGCTTTCCGTCGGAACGGCCGCATCCTCCGGATACAACAGATTCGACTTGCGAGGAACGTATATGCTCTCCAACCTTCTCCAGGAGCTTACGATTGCCAAGGATTATGGCAGGAAGGTGATCGTGCTGGACGAAGCTCGTCTCAGCGAGAATCCTGTCTCGCGTCTCGAGCGTTTGGTCAAGAATAACTTCTGGTCTGCTCTCACTCGATCGATTGACGGTCACAATATCGCCCAGGTTGGAAAAGACCCCAAAGATTGGACCGACAACCCCACGCCTCGCATCTATGTCCCGCCCGGTGCGCCGGAACAGTTTGAGTACTACTCGAACATTGCGAAATCGCACCCCGAGCTTCGTCTAGAGGTGATCATGTTGGAGGAGAACATCACGCCGGACTATGTAAAGGATCTCAACCATAAGCCCGGCCTGTTGGCATTGGCGATGGACGAGAAGTACGACCCCAACACCAAGAAGACAGAGTACAAGGGCGTGCCGTTCGTGGTCCCCGGAGGTCGATTCAACGAGCTCTACGGATGGGACAGTTACATGGTATCTCTCGGATTGAATGTTAGTGACCGAGTTGACCTGGCTAAAGCCATGGTGGTCAACTTCTGTTTCTGCATCAAACATTACGGCAAGATTTTGAATGCCAACCGAACCTACTACTTGACGCGGTCTCAACCTCCTTTCCTGACCGACATGGCCTTGCGTGTCTATGAGCTCATCAAGACTGAGCCGGATGCTCTCGACTTCCTCCGAAACGCTATCCTGGCTGCCATCAAGGAATACTACAGCGTCTGGGCTGTAGAGCCCCGCCTAGACCCAGTTTCGGGTCTCTCTCGATACCGTCCAGAAGGATGGGGAGTGCCTCCCGAGACGGAGCCCTCGCATTTCACTCATATCCTTACGCCCTACGCTGAAAAGCACGGCATGGAATTCAAGGAGTTCGTCAACGCCTACAATGACCGCAAGATCGTCGAGCCCGAGCTCGACGAGTACTTCATGCACGATCGGGCCGTTCGCGAGTCGGGCCACGATACAAGCTACCGACTTGAGAAAGTGTGTGCTAACTTGGCCACGGTGGATCTGAACTCGCTGCTCTATAAATACGAAGTTGACATTGCTCGGGCGATCCGAACCTACTTCAACGATCGCCTGGAGATTCCCCCGGAGTTCCGCACCCCGGCCAGCAAGGATTTCACCAGCGAGTCCTCTTCCGTGTGGGACCGCCGCGCCCGGAGAAGAAAGCAGAGAATGGACACCCACATGTGGGACGCAGAAAAGGGGATGTTCTTCGATTACGACACCGTGAAGCAAGAGCGGTCCACCTACGAGAGCTCCACTACCTTCTGGGCTATGTGGGCGGGGCTTGCCACGCCCGTGCAGGCGACCCAGTTGGTCAAGCAAGCCCTCCCCAGGCTGGAAGCCTACGGCGGGCTTGCCTGCGGTACGGAAGAGTCGCGAGGAGCCGTCAGCCTGGAGCGACCCAACCGACAGTGGGATTACCCGTACGGCTGGGCGCCGCAGCAGATGCTCGCATGGAGTGGACTGCTGCGCTACGGCTACGAGGAAGATGCGCAGCGGTTGGCATATAAGTGGTTGTATATGATTACCAAGGCGTTTGTTGATTTCAACGGAGTCGTCGTTGAGAAGTACGACGTCACTCGCCCCATTGATCCCCACCGGGTAGACGCCGAGTACGGAAACCAGGGCGTGGACTTCAAGGGTGCACCTCGAGAGGGGTAAGTCTACCTGATCTATGACCTAAATATTTTTCAGGGTGTATGCTAACTAACCTATCCAGATTCGGCTGGGTCAACGCCAGCTACGTGTACGGCCTGGACTTCCTAAACGCGCACGAGCGACGTGCTCTCGGAACTATCACGCCCTACGAAACATACAGCAAAGCGTTGGCGGCACAGGACGGACTTTGAGCATGCCAGTTCTGGTTGATATTTTGACGAAGATGATGAAACCAAAAGAGCACGTTTTGATTGATATCTTTCTTTTCCTTTTTAATCTTGGATTTTGATTATAGGATGAATAAATAGAAACCATAGTTCTGAAATCTATGGATTTAGAGGGTCTGTGGAGGGAACGAAGCGACTCATACCTTGGATGCCAAAATGGGGGGAAAGATTCAAGTCTATTTGAGTTCATTGTCTTTGCGCTATGGATGATCGATGCAAATGAATAAATTGAATAGATGGGTTTCTTTATTCTTTTTGGTGTATTCTGTATAAGTCGTGGGGTTCTGTCTGCCTCTCTCGACATAACTTCTAGACTTTGAGTCATAGCATCAAGGGACAAGTTCTCGATGTATTCCGACGAGTGTTTCAGCCGATGCAGCCAACTACTCATAAAAGTTGCCTCACGCACGGCCGGATAGTTCTTCTACCGCACCTAACCGAGTAAGAGCAGCAGCATATAGTCGAATGAAAACATACGGAGTACATGTTTACAGATCACGCACATGACACCTTCAAGCATTCCACGCCGATTATGAAGTAGATTCGACATGTTTGCATGTGAAACCAGCTGAATATTACTGCTGAGCCACCTTAGAGGAAGTATACCTACCTTACCAACACTCCTACAAAAAATACCTCACCTACTAGGTACTCTGTACAATTATATCATGCCGCCATAGGAGTCACCACTCACCAATCATCTCCATGTCAACCTGTGTCAGGATCACCATTTACCCCCAGCGATCCAAGCGGCCTTCGGGCAACTTCCGAAACACGCGACACACGGCCTGCATAGGGATATACGTAGTCAGACGCACTTCGGAGTAGATGTAGTGGATGAGGCCTCATCCCTGATGCATGGGCTCCTTGTTTTCCCGAGGCCGGGAGGTTCTCGTGGAATCTGGAGGATCGACTCGGGACGCGTGATTGGGTGACTTTTGGACCGAGGTTCATGCCTGCTTGGGTTTGGCGTTTCGTCTCGGGTTCTTCTTCAGGGGTATTGGTATTGCGGGTATTGCGGGGAGGCAAGTCATGTTCTCAGGATGGACTGAATGGATGCATGAAGGGAAATGGGCCACGAGGGTGAAATCCTATTCTCTGTGTAGAACTGTAGAGAGTGGGTGTCCTCAGGCATTCCGGGGCAATACGGGGCCGTGACGTGCTGACTCATCCATCTGAGCGGAGAAGCGGTCATCCGTCACGCTGCGTACCGTCACGTTTCGTCACATGTCTCGACGTCATGCATTTTACACCTTTGGCCCGGCCATGGATCTGTCAATTGCCTTCAACATCAGAATGAGAACATTCCTACTTTCTCAGAGAGAGATGGGAACCGAGAAACAGCTATTGATTCACGTCTATGAAAATTGAAATCTCCATGATACTATCCACAATCCATGTACAATGAAGATGCAGGTTGACCTGCAAACTGGCAGAAGTGGCAATGGTCCATTAGACCGAGGATCTACTTTTCGCTCCATTTCCTCTCTTCCGAACACTCTCACGCCCTATCGGAATCTGGCTTGTGAATTTTTGGCTCACGGTTAACCTAATGCTGCTCCTTGGTCAATCTCCCCCGGTTGACCATATGCCGGTCCATCCAGGCCTCCCTTCTTGTCCCGCTGAGCCGAGCGTTTACCGACTGGCTCGCTGGCTGTGACGCATTCGCGATGCTTGAATAAGTACCTTGGTTTTTGGCTTGTGATCGTTGTCCTTGGGTTGGCTTTTGACTTTCTTTTTTTTTCTTAAACGTGGAATCATCTGTTCTTACTTTTCTCTTTCTCTCGTTCTTCTTTCCTCTCCACTCTTCTCTCTCTATAAACTTTTCTCCGATATCCCCCCATTGTGTAACTTATTGAGGGGTTTAAGACTTCAAAAGCTTACCTTTTTGCCTGTATACCACTCTGTCCGACTGCCATCTCACAATGGGTCTCTTCGAGGACGAGGATCAGGCGTACTTGAACGACGTCCAGGCCGTCAAGACCTGGTGGAATGACTCGCGATGGCGCTACACCAAGCGTCCCTATACCGCCGAGTCGATCGTCGCCAAGCGTGGCAACCTCAAGATCGACTACCCCTCCAATGCTCTGAGTAAAAAGCTGTGGAAGATCGTGGAGAGCAACTTTGAGGTTCGTGGCTCTTATTCCGGACACGTGCATGCGGTTGTATACTAATTGGTTATGTTGCCACAGAACAAAGCTGCGAGTTTCACCTATGGCTGTCTCGAGCCTACCATGATCACCCAGATGGCCAAATACCTCGACACGATCTACGTTTCCGGCTGGCAGAGCTCGTCAACCGCTTCATCGACCGATGAGCCCTCGCCGGATCTGGCTGATTACCCTATGGTAAGATGCTCCCTCGTCTTGGTGAGGAAAGACTCAGTCGGCTAACATTCGGACTAGAACACCGTCCCCAACAAGGTCAACCAGCTCTTCATGGCACAGCTGTTCCATGATCGGAAGCAGCGCGAGGAGCGTGTGACAACCCCTAAGGAGAAGCGTGCCAATGTGGCGAATGTGGACTACCTGCGTCCCATCATTGCCGACGCCGATACCGGTCACGGTGGCTTGACGGCGGTCATGAAGTTGACCAAGCTCTTCGTGGAGCGCGGAGCTGCTGGTATCCATATCGAGGACCAGGCTCCCGGTACCAAGAAGTGCGGCCATATGGCCGGAAAGGTCCTCGTGCCTATCAGCGAGCACATCAACCGTCTGGTGGCCATCCGTGCGCAGGCCGACATCATGGGTATGTATCGTCTTTGCGTTCTTGTCAATCCGATCGAAAAGTCCCGAGACTGACTGCTCTCATCAGGCACCGACTTGCTGGCCATTGCCCGAACCGACTCCGAAGCTGCCACCCTCATCACCTCCACCATTGATCACCGCGACCACGCCTTCGTTGTCGGATCGACCAACCCTAACCTGCAGCCGCTGAACGACCTCATGGTGGCTGCCGAGCAAGCCGGCAAGAACGGCGAGGAGCTCCAGGCCATCGAGGATCAGTGGGTGGCCCAGGCCGGTCTCAAGCTCTTCAACGACGCCGTGCTCGATTCCATCGAGAAGGGAGTGCACCCCAACAAGAAGGCCCTGGCCAACGACTACCTGAAGGCCGTCAAGGGCAAGAGCAACAGCGAGGCTCGCGCCATCGCCAAGGGCATCACGGGCGTGGACATCTACTGGGACTGGGACGCTCCTCGCACCCGCGAGGGCTACTACCGGTACCAGGGCGGCACGCAATGTGCCGTCAACCGTGCCATCGCCTACAGCCCCTTTGCCGATCTGATCTGGATGGAGAGCAAGCTCCCCGATTACAACCAGGCCAAGGAGTTTGCTGACGGTGTTCACGCCGCCTGGCCCGAGCAGAAGTGAGTATCCCCATTTTAATAGGTTCTCTCATCGCGAGAAAACTAACGCGGACATTCTCTAGGCTGGCGTATAACTTGTCGCCCTCGTTCAACTGGAAGAAGGCCATGCCTCGCGACGAGCAGGAGACGTACATCAAGCGCTTGGGTGCTCTCGGATACTGCTGGCAGTTCATCACCCTGGCGGGACTTCACACGACGGCGCTGATTTCGCATCAGTTCGCCAAGGCCTACTCGCAGCAGGGCATGCGCGCGTACGGCGAGCTGGTGCAGGAGCCCGAGATGGAGCAGGGCGTGGACGTGGTGACGCACCAGAAATGGAGCGGTGCCAACTACGTGGACAACATGCTCAAGATGGTGACGGGCGGTGTCAGCAGCACCGCGGCCATGGGCAAGGGAGTGACCGAGGATCAGTTCAAGCACTGAGTGCGTGCAAAAGTGCCGGTAAATTGATTTGGAACGTTTGAATGATTTTGATTTTGATTTTTGGTTATGTTTTTTCGAACACGAGTACCCCCGAGAGATTTATCAGAGATGAAGTATTGTACTGTAGATTGGCATCGTTGAAGTCTAAGAGAGTCATAGTTAGCATATTAAATCAGTTCTTCTGAATGGATTCTTCTTCCACTGTTCCACCAACCCCTGTCATCTTCAACAATAGCTGAACTACTCCGCACTGAGTTAATCCTCCGGAGTCGTGAGTAATCCAGAATCAGAACCCACGAGCTAAACTCAAGAAGTCCCCGACTAACTGCTGCTAGTTAACGCGGGCCCGACAAATGGAGAACAGCTTGCGAGCAATCCGTCGATCCACCGACCAAACCAGGCGCCGATCCCCGTCGAGGAAATGAGAAATGGCGACTACCGAGGGTGAAACGGGGCATGCCAGAGTCTGATTAGCTGCAGACCAGCATCTCGAGTCTCCGGCTGGTCTGATGAACCTAATAATAATCAGGAATATCCAGAACGGGTTCGTATTAGGGAGCCAGCGAACGGAGGAAATGCTGGGAATACCGCGGTCCAGGCGACGCCTCCGAGATGAGGGGAACCGCAAGGAGGGCATGTGCACTACGAAGAACGAGTTTCCGAGTGCCTTTTCTTTCTTATTAACTCTGGATCCTCGTTCCGGGCTCGATCAGGTCTGATTTTAATTTGCTTTGAACTGTCCTTTCGTGTGGTTTGAAAACTTTTGAGGGTTTGCCGCGCACCTGATCGGAGCTGTTTCTGTCCCTAATCAAGTGATCGTCTCCTTCCCCCTCCTTCATCTCCTTTTCTTTTCGCTCTATCTTTCTCTGTCGTCGTCCACTTTATCGCCATCAATTTGATTGCCCGTCATGGTGGAATCCAAGATCCCCGACCTCGAGTTCACTCCCATCGAGGAGATCCAGAGCCGCAGCTCGCTTCTCCGCAAAACCTTCCTCGAGCACAAGACCCGCGACGTCGAGTTCCGACTGGTCCAGCTGCGCAAGCTCTACTGGGCGTGAGTTACTCAATGTTTTCTTCTTTTTTTCTCTGTCGGACAATTTCAATGCGGGCTACAGGTCACTGACACGATTGGTTTCCCCCTTCCACAGTCTGAAAGACCACGAGCAGGAAATTGCCGACGCCCTGGCCCTGGACCTGAACAAGCCGCGCTTCGAGACCGAGATCGCCGAGAACGGATGGTTGCAGAATGACATCGTCTTCGTGACGCGCAATCTACACAAATGGGTGAAGGATGAGAAGGCCGAGGATATTGATCTGACGTTCAAGTTTATGAGCCCGAAGATTCGCAAGGATCCGCTGGGTGTGGTGCTGGTGATTGGGTATGATAGCTCCAGCTCTCCGCAGCTTCATGGTCCCTCTCAGAAGCTAATATAGGGTGTCCGGAACAGCGCATTCAACTATCCCTTCCAATTGACGCTCGGTCCGGTGATCGGTGCCATCGCCGCCGGTAACACGGTAGTCATCAAGCCCAGCGAAAATGCTCCGAAAAGCGCCGTCGTGATGCAGCGCGTCATCGAAGCGTCTCTCGACCCCTCCTGCTACACCATCATCCAGGGTGGCATCCCCGAAACCCAGGCCCTGCTGGCGGAGCGGTGGGATAAGATCTTCTTCACGGGCGGCGCCAACGTCGGCCGTATCATCGCCAAAGCGGCTGCTCCTCACTTGACCCCGGTCGTGCTGGAGCTGGGTGGTATCAACCCGGCCATTATCACCAAGAACGCCGACCCTAGACTCGTCGCGCGCAGAATGCTATGGGGCAAGCTGCTCAATGCCGGGCAGGTGTGTACGTCGCAGAACTACCTGCTGGTTGATAAGGCCATTGTGCCTGCGGTCGTCGAGGAGTTCAAGAAGGCCTACAAGGAATTCTACCCCCAGGGCGCGAAGTCGTCGCCAGACTATTCCCGCATCGTCAACGCGGGTGCATTCCAGCGTCTCAAGGGAATGATCGATAACTCCAAGGGCAAGATCCTCATGGGCGGCACCATGGACGAGAAGGAGCTCTTTATCGAACCGACTCTGGTTCAGGTGGACTCGACGGACGATTCTTTGCTCACACAGGAGAGTTTCGGTCCTTTGATCCCTATTCTTCCCGTGGAGAACCTCGACGAAGCCATCAACATCGCCAATGGTATCCAGAGCACGCCGCTCGGCATCTATCCGTTTGGCTCGAAGGCCGAAACAGAGAAGAGTATGCTCGCTCCGTCCTGCTGTTCCTAGAATCTGGAAATTGCGAGTCTGGCTACTAACACCTCTATAGTTCTCCGATCGACCCGCTCCGGCGGAGTTTCCGTCAACGACGCTGCGCTGCACATCCCCACTCTCCCCTTCGGCGGTGTCGGCGAAAGTGGCTACGGCGCCTACCGCGGAAGATCCAGCTTCGATGTCTTCGTGCACCGTCGTCCCATCACCACCAGCCCCAGCTGGCTCGAATCCATCCTCTCGATCCGCTATCCACCTTACGCTGGCAAGATCAGCACGTTCAAGGCTGCCAGCGGGCTGGTCCCTGATTTCGACCGCAGCGGACAGAAGGTCCGTCTCGGTTGGTTGCGCTATATTCTTACCCTTGGCGGAGGCAGCGCGAAAGCCGGGGCTGGCAGGGCTGCAGTTGTTGCTGCAAGTAAGTGATTAATTTCCCCTTGCGCTGGTTCCTCATTTTTTTCGTCCCCTACTCGTAACCCTACTCCATAATATCCCATTCTTATGTCCTATGTCGTTTCACGGATGGGCATTGGACCTGGGGAACTAAACCTAATCACCTCTGTACGACGTCTACTTAATGATTGTGTCCCTTCCATCCAAATACCCCATGCTTTTCTCTACGCGTTATTCTTCCCCTCTTCACCTTTTGAACCATGTTCTGCTTTACCCAATAAAGTACCTGTACATTATCAATCTACCTCGCAAACCCAATTCTTCCTTTCCCTCTAAAACCCTCCAATAGAGTTTCCTGCATAAACATGTGAAAAAAATACTAATATCCTCTAGTCGCCTACGTCGTCATGCAGATTCTCGAGCGCCGAACATCCAAACTCTAAAGTTTCCGTTCTTACTTAAAATGGACGACTCAAATTTAAGAATCAAGAAATTCGGGCTATATTAGTTTAGTCATCTCTATGTTTGGGGCAGGGGGGTCTGTCTCTTTCTTATCTTACCTAGGTGGGCTCAGGTACAGTACCTTGCTTAGGGTAGGTAGGTAGGTAGGTAGGGGTGTGTGTGTGTGTCTTTTGCATGTACGCTTGTATGGCTTGTATGTTTATGGTTAGTGTGCGAATATAGCGGAATCTTAATGTTATCTGTTCTGTCAGTTCTGGGGGTGGGTTTATACTTTATATAGCAGGTAGTTAGTTCTCTGGGTGTTGTAGATCGGTAGATTGGATCTACCTAGATTGTACGGTTTTGGATGTTATCTACCCGTCGGGAGTATGTAGGGTAGTTAGGGTAGGGAAGGATGTTGTTTATTGAAACCAAAAACGTAGATATAGTATCATTATTCATATCAAGCAGCAACAGCGACGCCAGACTGTCATCCACGAAGCTTATCAATAGTCTATGGAAATAAAGCTAAAGAAGAAGGTAAGAAAAGAAAAGCAAATATCATAAAAAAGCCACACTCATGTCATTCGGTTCAGTTCAGTTCAATTCACATATAAACCAAGATCATCAGTTCGATATATTTCCATCCAAAGTTTACTCTCTCTCTCTCTCTCTCTCTCTCTCGTCTCGTATTTCATTTGATTCCTTGCCTTCGCGACTCACAGCTCACAGCTCACAGCTCAACATCTTCGCTCGACTCCCTTGCGACTCACACACAGGTACTTGACGCCCTTGTAGGGCTTCACGCCCTCGCCGAGGCCGCGACTCCGGCGCGGGTCGATGTTCAAGCTGTCAACTTTGATGCCGGACGGGAGCCAGCCTCGGACGGAGAAGGAGACGGAGGCGGAGTTGGGCATTAGGTTGGTGTTGAGTTGGGATTTGGTCTTGCGGGGTGCGGTGTGGAAGATCGAGTCTTGGTCTTGTGGGGGAGGTGGGGGAGGGAGATGGGATGATGAGGAGTCAGGGTCTTGTTGTTGGGATGCTGAGGTCTCGGGTTGGGGTTCGGGTTCTTGGTGTTGGTGTTGTTGCGAGGAGTCAGGATCGGGGGTCTGGTTGTCTGGATCGGAGGTGGAATGAGTGGGAGGGAGGGCGTTGGCGGCCGCACGGGAGGACTTCTTGACCTTCTTCTTCTTCTTCTTTTTCTTCGTCTTTCGTTTCGTGGTGTCGGTTTCGGCGTTCTGGTAGGAGGTGGAGGCGGAAGCGTCGTAGTAGCCTTGGAGGAGGTTGGCGTCCTGGTCGACGTCTTCAACTTCGTCGTCGAGGTCGTCGTCAACGGGTTGATGACCCACGACGGTGCACCGCAGGACTGCGGTGCCCGACACGGTGCCCGCATCCTTGGTCGGGACGCGCCATTCGAGGGTGTGGCTGTTGGGCGAGAACACGGCATCGCCACGACTGGCTTGCATGTCTGTGATGTTTCGGACGGATTTCGGGATAGGCACCGAAACCACGACTTCTTCGAGAACCGGACCCGAGGAAGTCCCTCCTCCGAGGAACGACGGCGTCGAGGTACCGGATCCACCTCGTCCTACACCTGGCCGGTTGCTGGACTGCCCCGGGAAGTTGGTGTTGAGGAGAAGCCGGACCTCGAACTCGGACCCGGTTGTGCCGAGCGACTTGCGAATGTCCACCGATGCAGGGAGGAAGATCTTCTCCATGTGGTTGGGGGCCTGATCGAGGCTCGCATCTATGGGAAGGAGATCCACCTCGTACCCTGCCAGAATGAATTGTCCGTCCGGAGGCACGAAGCTGAGCTCCCCGGGCCGCTCTCTCCACCTGGCCAGTCGCACACAGGGATGGAACACAGGAAGGTCGACCTTGCGGGCGATGCCCTGTTGCCCACCCGGAGTTGTCAAGGACAGTAGGAGGTCGGGAACCCCAGAGATCTTGGCCGTGAACGCGATCGTGCCGGAAACCAGGGCTGACAATAATCGTCCCGACGGTGCCATCGTCACTGAGAGAGACTCAATTATATCCACGTATAGTTCATTGGAGGTATGCCGTACGCCAGATCTCCGCCACGGGATTGCCGGCCCTTGAGCGGCGGCATTGGCGGCTAACGATTGTTTGATGGGGTTGGATGGCCCTAATATGGGTGTTGATGAGCTGCATCCCAGCGCAACAAGTCAGCCTCCAGTATAATCACCGCCCAAATGACCGGATATATACGAACCCCGGTAAGCCAACACCTCCCAACAGCTTCCCCATCCATCCCGGCATTTCTACCACCTCCTGTATGGCATTGGACTCCGTGTTACATACGATGCCCGCATCGCACATTTCATGGAGAAGCTGTGCAACCACATCGTAATTTGCCTGCACCTTGGGCGAGAGAAGCGGTGCACCCACAAAATCCTCGAGTATGTCAACAACACGGTGCAGGAACTCCAACACCAGCAGGGGTTCCGTGTCGGTTTCGGAAAGCGCGAGAAACAGCAAGTTGGACTGGACAATCGAGAACACTGTGACCGGCGGTGACGCACTAGGGAGGTATAGAAGCGAGGGGCGGGGGGCCGGATGTTCAAGGTAGAGGGGCAGGATCGCTGCCGCGGAGGGCGGACGGGAGCGATAGACCTGCTCTACCAGCGGGCTACTATTGATGAGAGGTCAGTACGGGAGGAGGGAAGAAGACGGAGGAAACCAATGGCCATACTTTTGCTCGTCGTAGATGTACAGCGCATCGATCTCGCCGCTCATCATGCCGGCCTGGACTTGTCTGGACTGGAGAGAGAGGAGGCAGACAAGGCGATGATGAGGGAATCAATCATGCGCCGTTGATGAAATGCGCTCCGTTCTGCCGCCGATCGCCGCCTTCTGCGCCGTCCGATTAATTCATGTCTTTATCAGTGATCGACAGGCCGGCTGAGCTTCTCGGATTCCCGCGTGAATTCCTCTCCCTCTCCAGCATCGCTTGCCTGAATACCTCAATGGCCGGGTCCTCGGAAAATAAAGGCGCCTGGGACGTCCAGTCCGAAGATGCGAAACGCCTCCTAGCAGAAGATAAATACGACGACTGCCTGTCGTGCAGGGTTACCGGTGAGTTGGTACTTTGAGCTTCCGCAACTGGATGAAACGCTGCAGATGGTCTGACGCAGATGCGATGCACTCAGGTTCCGCTGCATTTATCGGTCTCGGAGTATACAGCTACTACACAGGGATGAGCAATCTACGAAAGCAAGAGACGGCGGGCATGCTGCATGCAACAAAATATAAGATGGGCTCCCGACAACTAGGCATCGCAACGATCTCTGCGACGCTGGTGGGAATGGGGATCTACAGGGCCCTGAACTGATGACTCGAGACGGCGTCACAATGTTATGTATACTACCAGAATCTCTCTATGTTACACATATCGCATACATGAATGCTGTTTGCTGTGGAATGACTTGCAACCCAATCATTAATAAAGAATGCTCGCAATTCAAGCATCACAACAGCTGCCTCATTGGGTATCGCCATATCTTAATAACCTCTATATGCTTAAACCTCATAAAGACAAAGAGAACGGAAACGAAGATGTTAGGATGAAGAAAGAAGACATGACTGGGGAAAATATAAAATGTGTAAATAAATGAAGATGAGGTTAAAGATGAAAACCATGATAAGAGACAAGGGAAATAATGCAACTCCCACAAAATGCACCGAAAATGTAAAAAGGGAATCAACCGCTGCGTAACCGTAAGAATACTATGTTCGTCCAACTTCGTCGAGTTTCATATTCTTTAGGTGAACCGCCCGCGTTTGCCGCCTCCAAATATATCCCTATTTCCAAGGCCTGATAGATCGAAAAAGTCGGGGACGGCAAATTTGCGCTTAGAGCCTATCCCCACCGAGCCCACCGAGGGCTCTCGCGTCGAAGATCGAGGGTTCGCTCGAGACAGGTTGTTGTGACGGTTTGGTTGGCGAGAGTTCCGAGGCAAGACAGAGACGCTGACAGGTGCTCCGTCGGATGTTACCCCGGCTGTACTATCTGAAGGCTGCATATCGACATCGTGTTCCTGTAGCTGAGGGAAGGAAGGTCCGGCTGAGAAGGTGAAAACGGTGGGTTTCTCTAGGGTGTTTGCTTCGACGACGGCTGGGTTGGCAGGCGTCGACTGTTGGGCAGGGGTCGGTTCTTCCGCCGAAGAAGATGCCGATTTAGCCTGTTGGCGAGGGGTTTCTGGCTCGTGGTGATCCTTACGAGCCTTCGTCGACGGAGAGCCATGGTGTTTCTCGACGTCGTCGTCGTCGCTGGGAGTTCCCGTTCCATCACTCCGCTCCGTGGCCCATTGTCGGATCTTCCAGCCCTCCCCATCACAAAGACCGATGTTCTCCCGGTCTAGAAATTGCAACAGATCCTCAATGGCTTCCTGGTAGCCAGACTGTTTGGCTTGGGCCTGCTCGTAGACGGCATTCTTGTAGAGGTTGGTGACTGACAACGCAGCGGCCTTGAACGATTGCAAAAGTTGCTCGGGGGGCTGGGAACGAGGCGTAGAGCTCGGTAAGGAAGTGTTGAGTGATCTCATGGAATCCATGTCGAGGGGTGCTGCAACTTTTGAGCTGCAGTATGATGTTTAAGCAACGAGTCCGCTAGTGCCGCTAGGAGGGGTGAGGTGAACCGTGCTTCGAAGGCAAATAAATGATTGCAGGTGGCCAAAATATTTGCCCAGAAATATAAGGGAGGACCAATTATACAAAGGAGAGGTAGTGAAGAGGTAAGGAGGGGGAAAGTTCCAAACGAGAGAGGGTCGGGTCGAGGACAAACAGAGGGTGAGGGCGATGAGGGATGGGTCACGACAATATGCTGCAGATGATCTTTCTTTGCTTCTGACCCGGTAACGTGACCCACCGCGGGGAAACTCGTCTTCCGCGGTTAGATGACTCAGCCCTGACTCAGACTGAGGTTCGCGTCTCCCGCCCAATCAGCGCGTGAGCTGGCCGCGCTTCTCCGGCAGAATTGCATTTGCCCTCCCGGCGCGCGACTGACGGCCGGCTTGCTTCTTTCGTCCTTCATCATCCTTTGTGGCTTACGATTCTCCCTCCCTTTCTCGCTCCCTGAACGGTCAATCCCTGAATAATTCCTTTCAAACTCAACCCACCTCCGGCACTGTGGGCTACACATCCCTTCTTATTATTTAGACCCGCTGTCTCTCGTCGGGTTGTTGGAACGCCTCGGGGCGTGTTGGACCCTACTTTCTCCATACACATATTGCGCTGAACACCAAGATGGCGCCTTCAGCTGCCCCGACCTCAGACCCGCCTTCCCAGGCCGATACGCCTATGACCGATGCCAATGAGGAGCCCGTCACGTCGGTTCCCGTCGATGGTCCGGATGCGCATATGACGGTATGCTAAATTAAATCTGGTTTTCGCGAACACCCAAAACTATGTGTCGGGTCACGAGCTTTGGTTTCCTCAATAGCAGATCTCGTTGGTCGCGCTCCGAGCGTGCAGGAAGGGGAGCCAAGGGAACACCAGGCTTCCCCGAAATCGTGTTTGGTCAAATGCGAACGTGGCTCAGATGCTAACTTGGGCGCAATGCAGGACTCCGATACCAACCCGAACACCACAGCAAGCAGTGTTGCAGGCGACACAGTCCACCTTGACGGGAGGAGGAAAAGGTCCGAGGCCTTTCATATGAGAAAGAACCTTCTGGGGAAAAAGCACGGTCGTCTGGATGAATCTAAGGTGAGTAACCCTCGTCGGCGGTGCCTGCCAATTTTCGTTGCGGTCACTGATCTGTTTTTGGCGGGGCTTTAGGAAGATGATTCAATTCGACGATTTCGTTACCTTCTCGGGCTGACCGATCTGTTCCGTCATTTTATCGAAACCAACCCCAACCCTCGCATCAAGGAGATCATGGCCGAAATCGACAGACAAAACGCTGCGGAAGAGGCAAGGGCCCGCAAGGGTTCGTCGCGGGCTGGTGGTGCTGGTGGTGATCGACGTCGCAGGACTGAACAAGAGGAAGATGCGGAGCTGCTGAAGGACGAGAGGAGTGGTGGCGAAACTGGAACCGTCTTCCGCGACTCCCCGCCATTTGTCCAGGGCGAGATGCGTGATTATCAAGTTGCGGGTCTGAACTGGCTTGTGTCCTTGCACGAGAACGGTATCTCTGGTATATTGGCAGACGAGATGGGTCTGGGTAAAACCTTGCAGACCATCTCTTTCCTCGGCTACCTTCGTTACGTCTGTGACATCCCCGGCCCTCATCTGATCGCTGTTCCCAAGTCTACGCTCGACAACTGGAAGCGAGAATTCATGAAATGGACCCCCGACGTCAATGTTCTTGTGCTTCAAGGCGACAAGGAAGAGCGCCACAAGCTAATCAACGAACGACTTCTCGACGAGGACTTTGATGTCTGCATTACGAGTTACGAAATGGTTCTTCGGGAGAAGTCCCATCTCAAGAAGTTCGCCTGGGAATACATCATCATTGATGAGGCTCATCGGATTAAGAACGAGGAGTCGTCCCTCGCACAGATTATTCGTGTCTTCAACTCTCGGAATCGCTTGCTGATCACCGGTACCCCGCTTCAGAACAACCTCCACGAACTTTGGGCCCTCCTGAACTTCCTCTTACCTGACGTTTTTGGTGATTCGGAAGCTTTCGACCAGTGGTTCTCTGGTCAGGATGCCGATCAGGATACCGTCGTGCAACAACTTCATCGAGTGCTCCGGCCATTCTTACTTCGTCGCGTTAAGAGCGATGTTGAAAAGAGTTTGCTCCCCAAGAAAGAGCTCAATTTATATGTGCCTATGTCCGAAATGCAAGTGAAGTGGTATCAGAAGATCCTTGAGAAGGATATTGATGCTGTGAACGGTGCCGCCGGCAAGCGGGAGTCGAAAACTCGTCTGCTGAACATTGTTATGCAACTCCGTAAATGCTGCAATCACCCCTATCTCTTCGAAGGTGCTGAACCTGGCCCGCCCTATACGACCGACGAACACCTTGTCTTCAACGCTGGCAAGATGTCAATTCTTGACAAGCTCCTGGCGCGGATGCAGAAGCAGGGAAGCCGAGTGCTCATTTTCTCACAAATGAGCCGTGTCCTGGATATCCTGGAGGATTACTGTGTATTCCGAGAGTACAATTACTGCCGTATAGACGGTACCACAGCCCACGAGGACCGAATCGCTGCCATCGATGAATACAACAAGCCGGGCTCGGACAAGTTTGTTTTCCTTCTCACGACACGAGCAGGAGGTCTCGGTATTAATTTGACGTCTGCGGATATTGTCGTGCTTTATGACAGCGACTGGAACCCTCAAGCGGATCTGCAGGCTATGGATCGTGCTCATCGTATCGGTCAGACCAAGCAGGTGGTCGTCTTCCGTTTCGTCACCGAAAACGCGATTGAGGAGAAGGTTCTCGAGCGTGCGGCGCAAAAGCTGCGACTTGATCAACTTGTTATTCAGCAAGGCCGTGCGCAACAACAGACTAAGAATGCTGCATCCAAGGATGAACTCCTTGGCATGATTCAGCACGGAGCTGCCAATGTCTTCGGCAATAACCCTAATTCGGCATCTCTGTCTGCCGAAAAGCAAATATCCGATGACAGTTTTGAGGATATCATGCGCAAGGGCGAGGAGCGAACCGTCGAGCTGAACAAGAAATATGAAAAACTGGGTATCGATGATTTGCAAAAGTTCAGCTCCGAGAGTGCTTACGAATGGAACGGCCAGAATTTCACGGAGCGCAAGAAGGATATTGGCATTAACTGGATCAACCCGGCCAAGCGTGAGAGAAAGGAGCAGTTTTACTCCATCGACAAGTACTACCGACAAGCTTTGGCTACTGGCGGACGAACTGCCGACCCGAAGCCCAAGGCACCCCGGGCCCCCAAACAGATAACCGTTCACGATTGGCAATTTTTCCCGCCCGGGCTCCAGGAGCTCCAGGAGAAGGAGACAGCATACTTCCACAAGGAGATCGGATATAAGGCCATTCTTGCCGATGGGCCTGAGGAAGAGCTCAGCGAACGTGAGGCCGAACGCGATCTGGAGCAACAGGAGATTGACAAGGCCGTTCCTTTGACCGAGGAGGAACAAGCACAAAAGGCGAAAATGTCCGAGGAAGGGTTCTCAACCTGGAACCGCCGTGATTTCCAACAGTTCGTCAATGGGTCAGCCAAGTTTGGGCGCACTGACTATAACGGAATTGCCACCGAAGTAGACAGCAAAGAACCCGACGAGATCGAGGAATATGCCCAAGTTTTCTGGGACCGATATACTGAGATTCAGGATTATCCCAAGTACCTCCGGGTCATTGAACAGGGCGAGGAGAAACTTCGCAAGATGAACCACCAACGCAAGATGCTTCGCAAGAAGATGGAAATGTACCGCGTTCCCCTCCAGCAGCTCAAGATCAACTACACCGTGTCTACTACCAACAAAAAGGTCTACACCGAAGAGGAAGATCGGTTCCTCCTAGTGATGTTGGATAGGTACGGAGTTGATGGCGAAGGTCTCTACGAGAAAATTCGGGACGAGATCCGCGAATCGCCTCTTTTCCGCTTCGATTGGTTCTTCCTCAGCCGAACCCCAGTGGAGATTGGCCGTCGCTGTACCACTCTATTGAATACTGTCGCCAAGGAGTTTGAGCCTGGTGACGGGAAGGCCAACGGCGAGAACAAGGGCCGTGGACGTGACGAAGACGTCGAAAACGAGGAGGATGGCCCGCCAGCCAAGAAGAAGAGCAAGGCTGCCGTGGTAAGTACCATGTTAAACACCACTGGCTCCCTTCCCAGAGCATCAAGCTAACTAGCATCAGAACAAACAGGTCAAGGCTGTCAAGGGCAGTGCCAAAGGCAATTCTCCATCCTCGTCACGGGCAGCTAGCGTGTCGTCCAACGCCGCTTCGAAATCGAAGAGCCGAAAGAGATAAATCCTTGAATAACCTTTGTTTTCCTTTTTTTGATCAACAATTTGTATCGTTATGACTGGTAGGTAGTCTTGTTGGGAATATTATATTGGCCATGGATTTCCATATACGTCGGGTGGGGCGTTGGCTGAAAGATGCCATTTGTGCTTTATGATTCTTTTAACCCAATTTTTCCTTGTTTCCTCCTTGTTCCTTGTACTATGAGAGCTATTTCCTATCAGATCAAATTCAAGATGTATACAAAAGCAATAGATTGCTAATATTGTGTTACTTCTATCTTGCCTACTCATAGCTCTATCACATCAAAGCCGAATTGGGAGTGCCCCGTTGTGTAGAAAGTCAAGGGCCGAGTTTATGAATATGAGGCGTTGAATTTCGCGATACAGACTCGTCCTATATACAAATTACCTATAAGTAGTACTCATTGGTATTTAATTCAAGACACTGCTTCATATACCGAAGTCCCTAGAACTAAATGAATATATAGCCGGGGTACATCACGTTAGTCGAACTTCATCAGATTGATCATCATCGAGCGATGCTAATTCGGATGGCAATTAATTCGCAACCTGCACTGCCCCAAACCGAAGATTGCTGATATCAAATACCTGCAAAAAGTCAAGATCAGCTCTCGAATCATGCAATGAGTCAACAGAAAAGCTTACCGCATAGATTCCTTCCAAGAACGAACGCCCAAGGACATCAAACTCAATCGATCCGCGACTCTGAACCGCTCCATATAAATAACCAGGCTTGGCTTCGGCGAACCCCAGACTACTTTTCGGGATGCTGAAAAGCCTTCCCCCAACTTCTAGCTCAATCGTGGGCAGTTGGCCCTGATCAGGATTGACAGGGAACAGAAACCCTTGACTTTCGCCGTCGTAGAACGCCCCCTGGATAGCATCGTAGATTGCCTGACAGATCGAGTCCTCAAGCAAGGTAAGATCTGCAGCGGTGTCAACGATCGCGATATTCTCGCGCCGGTCGATGGCTGTTCCCGCTATAGTTGCAGTTGTGGATTCGAAGGACCACAAGCTGTGGCTCTTGTTGATGGGCGCGTAGTGTATAGTATCTTCTCCTCCGATGCTGTTGTTCTCATCGATACCCCCGAACGCAAAGAACGGGCCTTCTTGACCGGAGGCATTCGACAGGGCGAATTTTGCCGTGAAGAGTTTGGCAGACGACGCTAGGTCATCTTGGCCCTGTATAGTCTCGACCAGGCTCTTGACTTCGGGCCGAATATTGGATGCAGCTCCAAATGCGAGCCCTAGTACGCCGTCTGCTGCGGTCTGGTCGAATCCAGAGGACAGAGTGTCCGCGATGGCGATATGCTGGAACTTGACCGTCAACTCCTCCCCGAGGATGACATTGTCTGCTACAACAGAACCAGACGCAGAAGAATTATCCAAGTTCGAAACTTTCCATGAGGATTGCTCGGCAATCGAAGAAGTGGTTGACTTGGATGGATCAAAAGCCGGACGATCCTCTCGCGAAGGGGCAATAGACCGTACCTGATGATAGTCAGTAGAGCTCGCTCATAAAACCACCAACTAGACGATAACCGTAACGATATATTACATACCCAGAGATCGCATGACCCGGTATCAGGAACCAGATTCAGGGCCTGCGGAGGGGATCCAATCGAAACCGGAACGAAGTACAAGCTCTCATTCTGGATATCATCGGCATCCACTTGGTGCAGGTCCCTCTCAGAGAATTGCTTCTGCATCACATCGTGGAAGCGGACCCTGCCACCGACTGGTTTGCTGGTGAAAGGCCGACCGGTCTGGTGGATCGTACGGCCGATGAAGTAAGGGCCGTCTCGAGTGGGGTGGATGTCGTATTTGCGTATTAGATAGGCGTAGGATTTAATCCCGGATTTGCGGTAGTGGGGGTTGTGGACAAGAGGGATTTTGGATACCATGGCGCAGGCGGGTGATGGTGATGGTAGATGGACCAGGGCTGCAAGCGATGCAGGGTATTTATTTGCGATGACGGCATCTGTAACAGGGGAAGTTATTGGCTGCTTATTAGCCTCTGAGTGCAGGGGCATGACGTTACTAAATCTTGTTATTCGCAAATATTCTGATCAGATGCGGTTGCTTATTTATTTACTAATATATATGGCTAACTATACAGCATCTTTATGTTGTTCAAGTGTATATTTCTTATGCTCAACGGGGAATTTCCTTCTTCTCCTTCTCCTGTTTCTTCTTCTAGGACATCTAATGTAGCAAGTGGAACCCGCAGGAACATCTCTATTAGCAATATAACTGCAACGCTCACATTGCCATGACAAGTATGAAGAAAAGGCAATCGAGCCCGATAAGATAACAGCTCTCGGGACAACATTGTTCCGACGTGGATTGGCGCGCGACGGCGCGTTTTAATCGGCGGCATTTTAAGTTATGCATATGAATGGAGGGCCAAATCTATCTACTCCCTGCTAGCGACCTCAACACCGCCTCCCCTCCCGAACCAGTCCCCCGATCGTTGCGGACCGATGGCGGGTCTCTTTCTCTGCGCATGGAAGTGCTGATTTTCCTTCCCTGTCCCTTTCCTACGCTTTCGGCCAAGCCGACCAGGCCAATATGGACTACGAATCGGCCGCCCAGTTGAACGACGACGCTGTCGCTCAACTGCTTGCTCAATTCAACAATGCTGCACCGACTACTGAACCTCAAGCTCCTCCCCAGGAAGAGGACTCCTTATCCGAATATGCATTGGCCCAACAGGCTTTGGCTTCACACGCTCTTGTCGGAAGTGCCTCAGCAGAGAATAGTCGGGTCGAAGATCCGGTCGAGAACGACTTACCCCAAGACGTGACCGAGAGCGCCTCAGTAATGGAAATCACCGAGACCGATGACACCGTGCGACCAACTACTGGCCGAGCAGCTACAGCTGAAACAATTGACCACGTACCTCGGACCTCGCAGTTGCCTCAGATCGAAGTCCCTGCTCTCAGCGACAGCAACGAATACGAGTTTCTTCCTGGACACTTTGAAGTTCGCTGCGTGATCAGTGAAACAGACTCTGTAAATGAGATCTACAAAGTCAAGCTACGGAGCAGAGAGGTCGAGACGGTTTGTTCCCTGATTTCACCTTACCTTACTCTCACTTCATATTTACTCTTTCTGACCCTTTGCTTGATAGGTCTCGTCTACTCAACTCGAATCCCTCAGCAACGGACAAGAAGCCTTGATTCATTTCCAACTTGGTGGACCGCGCAGTTTAACCCCATCCACGGAAGACGACTCCTCATCTGACCTGCAACCTCGGAGAAGGGTCCGCCGCTTAACTCGACCTAAGTACACCGAATTTCTATCTACCGAAGACGATTCCTCTTCTGACGCGAAGCCTCGAGGAAGGGGCCGCCGCTCGACTCGGCTTAAACAGACCACATTTACAGGCTACTTTGAGGACGGCAGTGACAGGATGAGTCGCTCCCGTGATTCGAGCGATGATATTATCGCATCTTCGAGGAGAACCGGCAAGCAGCGTCGATTGGGAAGAGGCCGCCGTGCTATAGATTTGGAAGGCTCGGATGTCGACAGTGATTTTGTCTCTGCCAAGGGAACTCGGTTTTCAACCCGATCGCGCAAGAGCGCGCGGGCGAATCTTCGTGATCGATTCGAAGATGACATTTCCGAGCATGAAGGAAGCTCGAGAAAACAGAAATTCTTCGGTGCCAGGGAAGCCTTCTATGCGATTCCATCGGATGACCCTTTCCGGCTCAAACATCGGGACTCATGCGACGCTTGCCGTGAGACTGAAGATGACCAAGCCAAAGGCCCTCTCGTATTTTGCCAAGGATGCACCAGTGCCTACCACCAATCTTGTCTCGGTCCCAGGGCAACACGGGAGCATCTAGTCACCAAGGTGTCGGAGACTCTCTTTCTCCTGCAATGTCGCCGCTGTCTGGGCGTGGCTCGTTCAAAAGATTCTATCAATCCTCACCTTGGCTGCTGTACCTCGTGCGATGGTAAGGGGAAAATGGCCGAGCCATTGAGGGAGCGCTTATCGCCCAAGCAGGAGCAGCAGCTTCGCCAGCAGAATGATGGGACAGATCCAGTTACTCCTGTGGATGAAGCCCGCGTGAACAACGTTGATAACGTACTCTTTCGCTGCATATCTTGCCAGCGGGCATTTCACTTCGAACACCTTCTGTCGTCGTCCGACGAAATGTGTCAGGACTGTGTTTCGGTCCCGGGGGAGATCGGTGCCATGGTCGCTTGGAGGCCAAAGGATCCAAAGAGTCTCTTACCAGGTTACACGGCAAGTGTCCTGGAGGAATCGGATAAGGATTACCTGATCAAATGGAAAAGTCAGCCCTATAGTCAGTCCACCTGGATGGATGGGACCTGGGTCTGGGGCGTCGCGAGTCACACTATGCGTCGTGCATTCCTTAAATCCGACAAAAATTTGACCCCTCACATGACAGTCGAGGAGGCCATTCCCGAGGATTATATGCGTATTGACATCGTTTTTGAAGTGCAATTCTCCACCAATAGCCCACGTGATCGGACTGAAGATGCGGACATGGCCCGAGTGGATCAGGTATCGAAGGTCTACGTGAAATACAAAGGCCTACCTTATGAGGAAACAGTCTGGGATTCACCTCCGGATAGAAGTCAAACCGAGCGATGGAATGATTTTACAGCCGCTTACAATGATTGGGTGCGCCGTGACTACATCCATACCCCCGACATGCAATCTCTTAAGAAACACCTTGTCCACGTTCGAAAGCAAGACTTCAAAACTAGCGTCGTGAGAGAAACCCAACCGGAAATCATGACCGGAGGAGAGATAATGGATTACCAGAAAGACGGAATGAATTGGTTGTATTACATGTGGTTTAAACAGCAGAATGCCATTCTTGCCGATGAAATGGGTCTCGGCAAAACCATCCAGGTCATTGCCTTATTTGCCACGCTCATACAGGATCATAAATGCTGGCCCTTCTTGGTTGTCGTGCCTAATTCTACTTGTCCCAACTGGCGGAAGGAGCTCAAGCAATGGGTGCCCTCTATTGGAGCAGTGACTTACTACGGATCCGCATATTCGCGACAGCTTGCTCAGACTCATGAAATGTTCGGTAGCACTGGCAAGCGTGACCTCCGGTGCCATGTCGTTATAACGTCGTATGAGACTATGACCGATGATGCATCTCGAAGAATCCTCTCTAGAATCCCCTGGGGTGGCTTGATTGTAGACGAGGGTCAGCGATTGAAGAACGACAAGAGTCAACTTTACGACGCTTTATCGCGGATCTCCTTTCCTTTCAAGATCCTGCTGACTGGCACTCCTCTTCAAAACAACATTCGAGAATTGTTCAACCTCCTGCAATTCCTCGATCCCACCCAAAATGCCGAAAAGCTGGAAGAAGAATTTGGCGTTCTTTCGAAGGAGAACATTCCTCAGCTACATGATATGATCCGACCATTCTTCCTCCGGAGAACGAAAGCGCAGGTGCTCACCTTTCTTCCGCCAGTCGCCCAAATTATTGTCCCAGTCTCAATGACGGTGGTTCAGAAGAAGTTGTACAAATCCATTCTTGCCAAGGATCCAAAGTTGATCAAAACGATCTTTCAACGAGAGGATGCAGGCGACCAGTCGCTCAAACAAACAGAGCGTCACAACCTGAACAACATTCTCATGCAGCTGCGGAAATGCTTGTGTCACCCTTTCATTTACAGCAAGGCGATTGAAGAGCGCAGTGCTAATGCGCAGGCGGCTCACCGACACCTGGTGGATGCAGCCGGAAAGCTTCAGCTGTTGGAATTGATGTTACCCAAGCTTCAAAAGCGTGGCCATAGAGTTCTGATTTTCAGTCAGTTTCTCGACAATCTGGACCTCGTGGAAGATTTCCTAGACGGACTTGGGCTCTTGCATCGTCGCCTCGATGGTCGAATGTCGTCCCTTGAGAAGCAAAAGGTTATTGATGAGTACAATGCCGAGGGTTCGCCCTACTTTGCTTTCCTTTTGTCGACCAGATCGGGAGGCGTGGGAATCAACCTGGCCACGGCTGACACTGTAATTATTATGGATCCCGATTTCAACCCTCACCAAGACATGCAGGCACTGTCTCGTGCGCATCGTATTGGACAGAAGAACAAGGTGCTTGTCTTTCAGTTAATGACTCGAGGAAGTGCCGAGGAGAAGATCATGCAGATTGGCAAGAGCAAAATGGTTCTGGATCATGTTCTCATCGACCGGATGGATGCCGAGAACGACGATGGCCGCGATTTAGAGTCCATTCTTCGGCACGGAGCCCAGGCACTGTTCGAAGATGACAACTCGCGCGATATTCACTATGATTCGGATTCGGTGGATAAACTTCTTGATCGCAGCCAAGCGGAGCAAGAGCGCCCTCGATCGCCTAATGAAGAAGGCAAGGCCGCCGAGTCACATTTCAGTTTTGCTCGAGTTTGGGCAAATGAATCCAACGAACTCAGCGACCAGTTACAGAACATTGACGAACCCCTGCCCAACGCAACTATCTGGGAGAAAATCCTTCAAGAGCGGGAACAAGCAGCCGCCGAAGAAGCTCGACGTAAAACCGAAACTCTTGGCCGTGGCAAGAGAAAACGAACCACCGTCGATTACGGTAACGAAGTGAACGAGCCGACCGAACCTTCTCCCGTCAAGGTGCGGCGCGTTCGCGATGCTGACAGCGACAAAGAATTTGTTGCCGGAGACGACGCTGTAGAATCGGAACCTGATTCCGCCCCCGAGGTAGACTCGGACAGCTTGGACCGGAAGGTCAAGGTTTCTACAGGTAATTCTTCCGCTTCCTTCTTTTGCCTTGCCCATCTCGCGGGCTGGCCTGGCGTGACATGGACTGACCAAAGCCACAGTGAAACCCTTCAAACGCGTGTCTCCCACAGCCGTTGCACCCCCCGCAGTGCTACCAGCCCTGGATGGCCATATGGACAACCGCCTTTTGTGCCTAGCCTGCAACCAAATCCACCCGGTTGGTCACTGCCGTTTGAAATTGGCCGGAGTCGAACACTGCGGGCTTTGTGGGCTGGCTCATTTCGGATATGCGCGCACCTGTCCTCACATTCGATCCGAAATTCAAGTGGGCCGGATGCTGAAGGCTTTGAAACAGAGCACCGAAGACCCCGAGCTTGTCCGCATGGCTAAGAAATACTTGACTGGGGTGCGTGGTAATCTGGTGCACGAGCAGAAGAAAAAGCTCGCCGCTTTGCATGGTCTCAGCCATCCTGGCACGCCTCGCACGCCCGGGACTCCGAACACTTCAGGTACCACCACTGCCAGCCCGGGCCCGGATCCACGCGTAATGGCGGCACAAGGACTACAACCCATGGGGCAACCCCAGCAGCCTCCTCTTGGGGGAAATCAGGGCAATCGCCAATTCTAGTCGGGACTTTTATGGTGTTATGAACTCTTTGTTTTGCTTTTGGGGAGATGCATGCGGCGACTTTTCTGTTCTTCTTGGTTTCTGGGGTTTTTAGGGCATGGGTTGGGAATAAAAGACATGGCTGTTGTACATACATAATAAATCTCAGGTTGTTGAATATCGATCTTGATCCTATGAGATCTATTGGTTGATCCAATGATGGTGATAATGACGGCGACGACGTAGTGAAATCTGAATGCAGCCCAAGGTAAGAAACGACAAGAAGCGCATACATACATGCATATATACATAGTCAGTAAGAGTCGCCAACCCAAAACAAGGACACCAGGACAAACAAGCAAAGCGATACAACCGACAAATGCAGAATTTCCTTTCCGGGAGTAGGTGAGGATATTCCCGAGTGCCAGTCCTACCCGGCTCCCCCCCAATCAAGACATGACATGACATGACGTACGGCTTCAACGGCCGTGCATCGCAGGCAGCAAGCAGTAAGGCAGCAGCAAGCAAGGCAGCGGTCAGTATGTTGATCGTTTGAACCCCTGTTACATAGGAGCCAGGCTCTTGTGGTCTGGTCTCCATCGATGGGATCTTCGCTGTCAAATTTCCCTTGCTTGTATAGTACGTCCGCGTCAGCCCCGTTTGTGTTCCCTGGTTCCTGCTGACCGATAGGTAGTTAGCAGCCATACGTCGGGTCGCCGTTTGGTGAAAAAAACGCATTCAACCGTGTGTCTAGGTCTAGGCTGCTTCCCCCCTCATCTGGAGACGGGTGTTCTACTGTCTAGATTGAAGATGAAAGGTTTTCACAGGAAAAAAAAGGTCGAAGACTCGGGAGCCTTGGGGTGTTACAAGTCTCTTTGAGGATCATTCGGGGAAGTCGAGGGTTCCCAGGAAAGGGAAAGGGAAAGGGAAAAAAGGAAGAAGATAAAGAGGGGGGGTGAACAGTCAACGCCAGAGGGAAGGACAGACAAACGGGCAGGAAATGAGCACCGAAGGGAAAAATCCAGGGGGCAGAAGAGACGGGGAAAAGGCCAACAGAAGGAAAAGAAAGGAAGGCTGCAGCCATCCGAGGGAAAGGTTGTACATCCAGACCGGACAAACACCTGCTGCTTCTTATACGTTCTTCTCTCTGCTGTTCTTTTCTTTCCTTCTCGTCTTCTCTTCTGCCCTTTTCCTTCTTATACACTCCCTGCTCTTTTCCTTCTTCTCTCTGTCTGATTTTTCCTTTCTTTGTTCGGCGGTTTCCTTTAAGCTTCCTTTCCCCCATTATTATTATTAATGCTATAGTCAATATTACTAGATTGTTGTCTTCTTACCGGTTTGTTCCATTATTTTTCCTATTGTCATTCTTATTAAGGGCATTGGATGCTCCTCTGGTATTTCTTCTCTGGCTGGCTGGTTTACTTTCTCCTTCAGATAGCACTGGATTTGCTTTGCTCTTCTTTGCTTTGGCACACCGTTGGCATCCTATATATCTGCTTGTTGCTTGTTGCTTATAGTCTGGTTCCTCCTCCCTACTCACCTTTGGTGCTTGTTGCGTCGCCCTGGGTGAATGTTGCGGCCACTTTCCATCTAGTTCTCGCACCCCCCGATTCACTACCTCTGACGCTACGTCGTGCCAGCAGGATCTTCCACTCCTCTCTTCTTCTCACCCTTTGATTCCTTTCTCGCTCTCTTTCTTGCATCTTCTTCTCTTTCTCATCCACCTCCTCGTTTCACGCTACGTCTCCTGAAAACATTCGCCGACATCATATCTCTCACCCTCTACTTTGTTTTCATTTCACTATACTTTGTGTCATCTTATTCATCATTCTTTCTATCTGAAGCTTCTCTTCTCTTTGAACAACTGCAACATGGCTTCTTCCATTCGTCCCCAGTTTTTTTGCACCCGCCCAAATGGCACTCTTACCCCGCTGATCGCTCTCGACGAGTTGCCTCCTCATGTCTCGATCCGCGGGGCTCCTCGTACTTTGTCTCCTAATGAGACTCAAGGAATGACAAGTTTGGGAACCGTCAGCCCCAGAGCTCAGTCTTACATTGTTGAGGGTGTGCCCCAAGCTCCGACCCGTGCCGCCTCGGCCAACGCGAACGGTCACCGTTCCAGAGACTTTGACATGCAGGCCGCGCTCGCGCGACTCGCTTCTGACGAGACCATCCCCCTGACCCAGCGTCTAGCTGTGAACACTATGCTCCAGCAGGGTACTCCCCCGAGCTGGTCCGCGGGTAGCAACTGGTTGGTACCTGGCGGCAGTGGTGGCTCGGGTGGCGGTGGTTCGAGACAGGTAAGTACTAGCAGTTGCTTTGTGTGAGCTTAAATGGAGCTGTGGCTGACATGTCTCACCTTTAATCGGTTTTCAGAGCAATCCTTTGACCAAGAAAGAGTTCTGCTCTTATTGGATTCGGCACGGTGAATGCGACTATCAGCAACAGGGTGAGATACCGCGCATTTAAACAACAGAATAAAGACAACCGTCCATCAGCTAACTTATACCCTGCAGGATGCCTTTACAAGCATGAAATGCCTAGGGACTTACCTACCTTGGAGAAACTTGGCCTGCGTGATATTCCCCGTTGGTTTCGCGAGAAGTACAACATCCCGAGCCTGGTTCCAAGCGGGCATGGTCATCCACGCGCTCAAGGTGGCCATGGACACCACTGGAAAGAGGATTTGCCAGACCGCACCGGAACGAAGACAATCCAATACCTGCCACCTTTGGATCCGAACGGAACGGTCGATAATTCCGATGCGGAGAAAGGGCCCAAGCAGAAGAGTCCGGGCTATGTCGCTTCGCAGCAAAGCCCGACGGTGATTCCAAGTGCTTCACGCTCTACTTTCTCGGCCTGCAACTCTCCCAAAGTCCCAGATCACCACAGACAGGCGGGCAAGTACGGTCCTCAGTTTGGCCCAGGCGCGAAAAGGCACGACCTCTTTCCTTTTGATCCTCTGCCGGAATATCCGTCTCTGAACGCCATGGGACCTGGTATTGGCGCGTTGAATCATCCTACTGCTCGAGATGACGCAGAGGCTCTCGACAGAGCGCAGCATGAGGAGTTCTTCCACAAAATGGCTCTCATGCCCAACGCCGAATACTTGCGCAATCCTTTTGATATGTCTCCCGGTCAGAGCCGTTCAAGGAAGGCCCAGAAGTCTCGCCGCCTGTATCAGCCTCGACCTCAAGCTACCGGAATCGAGGCTAGATTTGACGCTCCGGACCATGAAACTTACAAGAGTATAAACTCCCCAGTCGCTGCGGGCCCAAGTGTCGGTCCCTCCATCTCTAAAGACGGTGTCAGCTCTCAGTTCGCAACCCCTCTCACCAGTCCTATCGCGGAGGCTCCCAGTCGTGATGTCTCGCCATCTGCGCACTCCGGCTCCTCTCATGCATCCGAGGTCAGCCCCGGGGTTATTCAGCCCCAGACCAACGACCAAGACCGCAGTTCCATGCCAAGCCCTATTGGAAGCAAGAGAGCTCAGCAGAAGAAGCCCATGGGACCATCCAGCGATTTCTTCAAGCTCAACTCGAGGGGACATGAAAAGTAAGAGCGAATCAGTCTATATGATGTCCATCCTCCATCCTCCATTCCTCATGATAACCCGAAACACCCTCTAACCGTTGCTCTTCCGTTCTTCTATCCTTTTAATTATCACTGCCCAGGCTTTCATTCTCTTTGACTTGTAATTACGACCTTACCCAGGGGACACAAAGCTTCCTCGTCTCTTGATGCTACGATAAACCCGATCTCGAAAACCTCACCTAAATATACGGCCCTTTCAACTCGGGAAATGTTTACGAATGGGGCGGATGAGTTTACAGTACAACGAACGAGCAACATGACGATATGACTTTTTGTTCCCTATTATTTCCTATCGCTTGTTGGATGAATGCACCTCACCAAGGATATGATGTGATCTGAAATGATACCAAGGTTAGGATACAATGACATGTGCAATATGAACTGGATAGATTGTCTAGTTTGTTCTTGGCGACGGTTATTTCTGTTTCTATTTCTGTGGCAGGGTCAAGAATCTTCTTAATCTTCTGTCCTGTTTACCCTTTCGTCTTCTTGTGTTAGTGGGTGTTACCTTTTCCGCGTCTTTTTAAATATGATGTATGGGGTGTATTATAAGGGCCTTTTTCAAGGGTATATTTGCATGTCAAATAAATACTCGAGAGTTTCAAAACAAAACAAAAAAGAGCAAAAAAAAGAAGAAAAGAAAAAAAGAAAAGAAGGCGAAGATGGCCGGTGACAGGGATGAAGCCGGTACAAAATGTATTTTTTTTTTTTATTTCTGTTGGTGAACTTTCAGCTTAGGTTTCTAGGTATTTTCAATAGCAACATGCTCTTCTCAAGAGACCTTGACTACCAAGACTGTAGTGATTCTAGGTATTAGGACTTCGAACTAGATCAAAAAGATCAGATGGCTGATGGTTAGTCCTTGCAGTACCTGATGTTTCAACAAAGGTCATTGTGTATGTGTGTGTGCGTGCGTGAAGAATTAGTGAACTATCTTCATAGGCTTCGAGATATCTTTAATAGAAACCTCTTTCTAGGAAACTTCGATTATCAAGACCATTGAGTATGTAAAGTGTGAAGAATTGATGAGGAATATAATATACATTGAGATACATAAGTCTAACATGACCGTGCAAAAATGTGCGCCGCCCCTGATATTTTGAGGTACAAAAAACAAACAAGAAAGAAGAAAATAAAGAATCCCATCACATGGGAGACACCTCACACATCAAGTGTACAGTTAGTTAGTGTCCTCGCACCTCTCCAACCAAGTCTCTTAGCCCTCCGATTCATGCACTTCTCTCTATCAGCGCAACCGCTTGGCCCCAACCTTAACAGCAACCTTCTCCCGCTCCTGCGTCGCCTTCGCATTCAAAGCCGGGTTCAACGACGGCAAGCTCCGCACCGCCTCCGCAAGAACCAACTTCCCATCGACCAGGGCCTGCCTCTCCTTCTCTAGCTGCTGCCTCTCCGCGCACTTCGCCTCCAGCTGCTTCTTGCGCTCCTCGGTCATCTTCCAGGCCTCGGGGAAGCGGAGCTTGCGCTCGGGCTTCTGGTGGCGCAGATCGAGGGGCACGTCGCTGAACGAGTCGCCCTCCTTGGCCTCCTTGATGAGCGTGTTGATGAGATCGCCGAGGTACCGCTTGTTCTGGGCGCGGGTGGTGAACTTCTCGCACGACATGCGGATGATGTCGGTGTTGGGGTTGTAGCGCGGGCCGACCAGCTTGAGAAGTGTCTGCAGCTGCGCGGCGGTGAGGTACTTCGGTGCCAGATCCTGCGCGCTGACTTCCATAACCACCTTGCTTTCGGCGGGGTGCTGCTCGCCTAGGTACGAAGTGTAGCGGAATCGGAGGATGTGGGTGTCCGGGGGGAGAGTGAAGGGGCGGGCCAGTTCTGCACATTAAAGCGGGCTTGGTTAGCAAATCCGAGTCACGAGTCACGGACAATCAAAGAAAGAAGGGAGGGGATCCATACGGCTCAAGAACGGCATATCCCAAGCAGCAATACGAGTCCATTCTCGGATGTCGCGGTGCAATTCGACCTCCGCATGAGCCATGGAGGTCATTTCGTCCTCGCGGAACTCGTCGTCCGCGTCCTCAACAAGACCAAATTCGTCGTCTTCCTCCTCAGCCCAGAACCCGGGCCTCTTCTCGCGGACGTCTTCGAATCGCAGACCACCTCGGTCCAGATTGGCGACTTCTCGGTTCAGTTCGGCGAGGGCGTCCGCTCGCTTCTGGGGATCGTTGAATTCGGCCACGATGCGTCGGTTCTCGGCGTCGAACTGCACCCGCTCTTCCGCGGACAGCATATCGTACATCGACCGCTCCTCCGGGCTCAGCAGCTCTGGCGAGTATTCCGGCATGGTGGGCAGGTCGTCCAAGGTGGACGCCGACGGAGTCTTGGCCCGGGAAGTCGACGGCGTGACGGAGAAAGAACGGATGGGGATGGCGATTGGGCCTCGCCGGGTGAGCGAGAGGGCCAAACGGCCCATGGACCGAGCTGCTAAGGCCATTGGGGAGGAGAGTAGAAGGTATGGAGGAGAAGGGGGAGGTGAAAAGGCGGGATTAACCAGCTGGAGAGAGGCGGAGGAGGTTTATCGGAGCCCATGTTTTTCTGCGGCTGCGAACTTCGTTGCCGCTAAGCCGCTTCGGGAAGGGGGAAGGCAAGTCGACCCCGTCGGCTCGTCTCTTCCCTCTTCTTCATCTTCATCTACAACTCCCGGGCAAACATGTTTCGGCCCCCTTCTCGTTCTTCTATATTGTTCTTTCAAGAGTGAGAACTCTTTCGCATTCGAGAACCAACTATACCGCCATCCGGTCCCCCTAGACCATGGCCATAAGCCAACCCGCCAAGTTATGCTTCGTCACAGTGGGAGCCACGGCGTCATTTCATCTACTCCTGCAGGCCGTGCTCGATCAGCCATTTTGGGATGCTTTGCACCGGCTTAGCTATACGCATTTGCTCGTTCAGTATGGCAAGGACGGTCGATCCCTGTTCGAGGAATCCCTTGCCAAAATCTCCGATCGTCACGGCATCAAGCTCGACGGCTTCGATTTCAATCACGAAGGCCTTGATGGGGAGATGGGATTGACGCAGTGTAATCCATTCGAGAACCGCAGCGGTGGATTGATCATCAGTCATGCAGGTAAACACTTGTGTGGCCCGGAACCCTCTACATCTATATCCATGCCTTGAGGGGAACTGGCGAACGAATCGTATTCACGTAAAAGAAAAGGAAACCACAAGAAAGCAAAACTAATACATACCTATCCCACACAGGATCGGGCAGTATCCTCGGGGCCTTACGCCTCGGTGTCCCGCTGGTGGTGGTTCCCAATCCGACCCTGAAGGATAACCACCAGGAAGATCTGGCGCGCGAGCTCCAGAGACAAGGATATGTCGTTGCCAGCCCATACCAGTATGCTTGCCCCATCCCGAGAGTGTAGCAGTGACGAGGTCATTCCTTTGTTCTTATACATTTTCTTTCTTGTTCTTTGTAGGGACGTCGCGACCGCCGTAGAGCGCGCGGAGACCCTGAGGTCTCAGATGTTGACTTGGCCGCCTGTGAATGGCGCTGGGAAGAAACATCGTACGCTGGACCAGGTGATGTCGGACGAGATGGGCTTTTTGGATTAATACCTTCGTCTGGGTGGTTCTGTTGAGGTGTTTTGTTACTATTACGTTGAATCCGCTGCACTACTCTGTATACCCTGGGGAAAGTGGTGATTTCCTCCGTCTGAGAATGATGTGAAGAATAATTATATCAACTTCAAGCATGATAGCTACTATAATGAACCTGTGTTGGTTGTTCAATCCGTGATTGTTGACCTGCAAGAAGTATAGAGAAAGTGGCCCAAGCTTCTTGTTGACGGCACGGAACTTCTAATCTTCTCCGATCTGAACGCGACTTCATCTCTTCGCCGCCGCCCTCACCTCCCCGTCTCGAGCGCTGTCAATTGGGGTTGAAACCAACTGTTCGATAACCCTCTTTCCTCTGGGCCTGAATTATCTTTTTTTTCTCCCCAGTCGTGGGGCCTTTTCACCGCTCCTCAAACAATCGCGAAATCCCCTCAAAACAACAGGGCCTCGCACCCCCCGTTTCACGCCTCTCCCTCCCACTCCCCAATATCCACCACCCAACGCAATGGCCGAAGCCACCCTCCACAACGCCCCCATTGTCATCGACAATGGCAGCGGGACCATCCGCGCCGGTTTCGCCGGAGAGGAGATCCCCTCTTGCTACTTCCCGTCGTTCGTCGGTCGGCCCAAACACCCGCGGGTGATGGCCGGCGGTCTTGAAGGCGACGTCTTCATCGGCCAGCGGGCGCAGGAGCTGCGCGGACTACTCAAGATCCGGTACCCATTGGAACACGGCATCGTGACGGACTGGGACGATATGGAGAAGATCTGGCACTACGTGTACGAGAACGAGCTGAAGACGCTGCCGGAGGAGCACCCCGTGCTGCTGACCGAGCCGCCGCTGAACCCGCGCAAGAACCGCGACACCGCCGCCCAGATCATGTTCGAGACTTTCAACGTGCCCGCCCTCTACACCTCCATCCAGGCCGTGCTGTCGCTGTACGCGTCCGGCCGCACCACCGGTGTCGTGCTGGACTCGGGCGACGGCGTCTCCCATGCCGTCCCTGTGTTCGAGGGCTTCGCTATCCCCAACAGTATTCGGAGGATTGATGTCGCCGGGCGCGACGTCACGGAGCAGCTGCAGGTGCTGCTGCGGAAGAACGGCCATGTGTTGCATACCAGCGCCGAGAAGGAGGTGGTGCGCATGATCAAGGAGAAGGTCTGCTACGTGTCGTTGGATCCTAAGCGGGAGGAGAAGGACTGGATGAACAGCTATCACAAGTCGGAGTCGAAATTGGTGGATTACGCCTTGCCGGATGGGCATCGAATTAAGGTATTTTCTATTCTTCACCCCATTCTGCAAACATTCACTCAGAAGACTCATTCCTGACTTTTTGACTCTCCTGAACAGATCGGACAAGAACGTTACCGCGCCCCTGAAATCCTCTTCGACCCCGAGCTGATCGGCCTGGAGTATCCCGGAGTTCATCAAATTGTGCAAGACGCCATCACCCGGACGGATTTGGATCTGCGCAAATCCCTATATCTCAACATTGTCCTCTCGGGAGGATCGACATTGTGCAAGAACTTCCCCGACCGACTGATGCGCGAAATCAAGCGGTTAGCGGTGGAGGATATGAAGATCCGGATCTCTGCGCCTGCGGAGCGGAAGTACACCACTTGGATTGGTGGAGGCATTCTCGCCGGACTGAGCACCTTCCGGAAGGTAAGTCGTCCCACGGATCTGGGACGCTGTGTATGCATATGCTAATCAACCCCGGCATGTAGATGTGGGTTAGTGCGGATGAATGGCATGAAGACCCCGAGATCATCCACCGGAAATTCGCCTAAGCCTTTTGTCTTTGTCATTCGAATCCGCGAATATGTATCTGAGGGAGGGAAGTCCAAGACAAGGCTTCAAGCTCAAGACTTCCTCATCACTTTCAGCTCATTCCCTCGGACAACCGACGAACCAAGGCCAGCGAAAACAAAGGAGAAGACACATCCAGAAAAGGACAAAAAACAACAACCTTCAACCCAGATGATTCAAGAAATAGGTGACATTGCAACGTGGTCACGACATTAACTTTCGACCAACCCCTGAAGAACTAGCTGTTGACTTGACGCGCATTGATTGAGCGACAGCTTTTGATACCCCCTTCCTTCCCTCTCATTTCTATTACTCTATGTTTCTCATTGATGTCGATATTTATCCCCACAATTACACCCCTACCCACTGTTTCCACATGGATCTGCACCTAGAACATACCGTCAATCTGAGTCATCGACTCGCTTCGCAATTGGAGATAGCGATGACGATGACGATGCCAACGAATCGATCAATATCAAATCACCATCATTTCTCTACTATCTCCCTATGATCCGGACCTTACCGTTTCTTTAGGTCCAACCCCGAAACCACAAGGACGAGGAGCAAGCAACTAAAGCGAACAGCTCTAGGCAGATTCGAAATGAGAAACCATTTGAAATCAATGAAGTATCTACTTACTACCTACCTCCTTACATATCATCTTCATCTCACTTTTTTTTCCCCTTCCATTTTGGCTTGTTTAATTTCTACTTCAATCCTGTTCATCTTATGCCTCTCCTACCTTACCTTACCTGACTTACCCCTTACCTACTTGTGTAAATAAAGACTTTGAACTTTGATCAACTATGTAGCTGAACTTTGTATGCAATCAAGATATAGATAGACGGATAACTTACATAGAGCTTCTTTTTTTTTCTCCTTTCGTCCTTCACCTTTTATTCTAGATTGCTTGTAGATTGAACTGTGGCTGAGGCTGATATGGAGAACGTACTACGTAGTTGCCGGGATTTCCCTTGGATACATTTGCCATATAATATGATGCCATCATGCCATCATGCCACCAAGGCCACGGGTCCGGTATCCAGAATTCAGGAATTAGTTCGACAGCAGACATCTTACGATTCACATGCTACCGGATTACGGATAGTAAAGAGAGAAACAAGTTGACTTCCAAAATGTCCGGGTTCTTATCCTTCATTTCCGACGATATATCAAATCAAGACAACTAACATACAGGGAAAGAGTTTAAACGGGTAGGGATAAGAAACAGATGAGGGTGATCAAGATCATATCGAAGACATTGACGGAGCCAGAAAAAAAAAAAGAAAAAAAGACAAAAAGTGACAGTGAGAGTGCAAAACGATGTCCCCTCCTTGGTTCGCCGATTCCAGAATCCGGCATACACATTGTTGTTGAAATAGAAATATAGAAGGATTCAGGAAGGTCCAGCGATATGAAGATCCCGCATGTGAGAAAACACACAAGATTCAAAAAATTCAATCGAAGTGCCAATGAGGATTTCATGGCGAAGAGGGTATCATGTCGACATGGTTGTCGAAGGCAATAAAAAAAGAAATGAAAATGGAATAAAAAGAAGTAATAGAGGTAAAGTGAGCGGTCAAGATATAGTAGTCGAAACCACAGCTTCCCTCGATCAAATGCGAATGTCGGAATAGAGAAGAGAGATGATGTGATTATAATTGGCGACAGTCCTCGAGATTTCGAAGGTAAGGGGTGTTGAAGGAGTAGGATGGTGAAATCAAAAACTTTTTTAGTTGTCGTAAGGTCGTGAGTCATGCATGCGAAAGTCGAAAAAAATCAAGTTTCGAGACGCTGAATATGCATGTGGGTGTTGAAATCAAAGGGACTGGGATGTCGTAGATAAGAAAGCAAGCATCTATGCCATTCCTCTCAGCTTGCCCCAGCCCTTCTCCAGGCCGCGCATGGCCTTTTCGCGGGCCGAGCTGGTCGAACCGGCACTACTCGAGGTAGCATTGCTGCTGGCGGAGAACTTGCGCGACAGACTGCTGCCACTGCTGGAGGTGTCCCGGTGGACCATGTTGCCGGCACCACCACGACCGACGTGGTAGACGGGGGCGGCGCGACGCAGGTCCCGTTCTAATTCCTCGTCGAAGCTGAAGATGGCGCGCTCACTGCTGCTGTGAACGTTGCCGGCACCGCCGCGGCCAGACTTGAAGGTGCTGGGGACATGCGAGTCCAGGCGCGTCAGAGACGGGGGGCCGGTGGCCGAACGAGAGTCGGTAGTCCTGGTGTTCTTGAGGCTGATGACATTGCCAGCGCCTCCACGAGCCGTATGGAGAGCAGGACGGGAGGTATGAGGGACGGAAGGGTGAGGTTCAACGACCCTGTAATTGATAGATGCCGGCATGATTATGTGATGATATGGGAGAACGAATGCTCTAAAAGAGGATCGGTCTATGACGCAAAATGCATAGAAGGCTAATAATGCGCGAGGTCGAAGATCTAGATTCGACGGGTGGGATGCTAGTAGTAGAAAGGTCTGTCACGACAGTCAAAGACGCGCAGAACTACAGACTAGAGAAGGATTGGATATGGGAGAGAATGGGAAGAAGAAGAGAAGAGGAGAATATGACAGATGAGTTCAAAGAAAGGATCGTGAAAAAATCTTCTCCTTTGTTCAATTGCGATGGGACCACTATAAAGCGAGCCAAACATTGCGGCGGGGGCGGTGTTATATAGTTGGATCGGTGAGCCAACCGGTCACTGGGGAAGAGGCGACGATTGCACCATTCCCGTTCGGCGTGCCAGGCACGACGGTCAGTCCCAGGGTCACACGCTGGCTCGGCTGTGGATGCGACGGTGGAGCAGCTGCCAGGAAATTGAGCGCTGGTTGCCATTAATTCTCATTAATGCCATCGCTGTTTCCTGAGTAAGCAAGACCCGGAAGTCTATGCGCGCGGTACGAGCCCCCCCTTATGTCAGCTCGCGTTAGGGCTGGGCGGTTGCCGCAGCCATTCAGGGGGAAGTCTAGGTGGGAATCGGTGCACTATTGGCTACTAGAGACCCACCGCTCCTAAATCATCTGACATGTCCAAGCCCTGAAAAACGTAACAGAAACTCCCACAACCACCAATCAGGGACAAGTCCACGCCAATGTGTCCCAAAGCGAATTTCCTGGGGGTAATGGAAATTGCTGGCCGGTCACGAGTCGTCATCGTGAGCGGATGATCCTTACAGACTCCTTCAATGGTCTGCTTCACTTTCAACCCGGTCAACTCGTGGTTTCCTCATCTGCAGCGCCTTCATCTGGCATCCAACAGCCTCTTACTCCATGCTCCTTGCGGCTGACCGGTTTGCCAGGCAGGAAGCCAGGCAAATAGCCGGCAGATTATATAAGATGGAAACTATGATGGATGTTTCAAGAAAATAGAATTTAATGAAACATCTAATCCGTCATTCATCCCCCTTGTGAATCATGCCGGTCAATGAAAATGATTAAATTTTCTAAAAAAAAAAATTTTTAAAAAAAAAATGAAGAATTTTCTCCCCCGCAAGTTACTCACATTGGCAGCACGCACGATTGCATCATCGCTTCTGGATGATTCCAATTCCAGCATCTACTTCCGTCTCGTAGACGTCCCCTCATGAGTTTCACGTACTCCAATGCTTGTTGCCTGCCGTCATCCTGGAATTCTGGCCCGGTTCCTGACTTGTCGGTCTTGCCATCCCCATGTCGCATTGCCAATGAAACATGCGTTCGTGGTGATCTTGCGCCTTCACGACTGCAATGTTGTCTTTCTTGGCATGGGGCAGATCTGGCTAGAACCTCCTCTAGCGCCGGATAGTCGAGGAGATCTTCGAATAAATCTCTCACCGTCCTTCCCCTGGATGCATCGCCATGTTAGTCAGGGATAACGTCTCCTGAACTGTCGAGTGTCGACACATTGAACAATGTTGGCGGTGGATCGCATCATCGCGACTACCTTGTTGGGATTTCTATTACTACATCCTACAGGGTGTATCGTTCCGTACATTCTCCGAGGCCCTCCCCCGCATACAACCGGCATGGTAAAGAGTCATTATTGAATATTATTCAATCCTCGAAATCCAGACCAGACAAAAAATGAGCGCGATCCACTCGGGGGCCAGACTAAACCCGACGGAGACGACTTCCCCAGACAATTGTCAGGGCTGGACTGGAGCGAAATGACGCCAGTTCCACCGCGACGACAGAAATGCCTCAACTTCCCCCGTCGATCCGTCCATTCAGCGCCTCCTGAAAATTTTTTCCTTCCCCATTTCGGCCCACTGCGGATCTTTCAGGCGATTGGCCAGCTTCACCGATCCGGTCCTACCGGTCGCGGTGAACCGATTTTTTTCTCATTATTTTTTTTCTCGTCATGGGTTTTTTGATTTTTTTGCTGAGGAGGGGAAATCCATTTCCCCCCTCGGCCCTTCCCCGGATTTTGGCCCCAGGCATCGACGTGGTCACCTGCAGGTGATGGCAAGTGTCAGCAAAAGCGGGAGAATTCCCCCTCCTGCATCACAACCCAATTTCGACTTCCTGGCCTCGGCTGCGTTCGGCTACTTGCCCGTCGCTCCCTCTGCGCTCGACCGTTTCGCCATCCGGGATCCCCTGGCATGTCAGGCTGTAATCGGCCTGAAGAGTCGCTGCACTATAGAAAGCGTATTATCAACGGAATGGGGCTCAGTATGAGCGATTTACCACGTCGTGTCGCTCCCCGTTCGACGGAGGCCTGTCCGTCTGCAGCGTTTCATTGAAGATCTGCCCTGTCAATTCTGTTCAACTCTGGCTTCTAGCCAGGGCAGTGTAGCATTGACCTATCTGCACTATCACGGGCATGGAATTCTTGTTCTTTGATATCAGGCCTCCGTCAAGGTAGGTTTCTTATTCTGAGAGGCCATTCCACGGCGACTGCTTCATTTCGTCCTGCATTGTGCAAAGACTCGGCATGAACGGATAATGCTCTGCGCTTGCTCTTTGTTGACTCGGTCAACTTGAGCGCCTTGGTTCTTCCCTCGACTAATGTCTATAGCCGCTTGGTTCACTTGGTGGTAACACATCATAGTAGTTCCTGTTCTCCCACTGACACACGGCCTACTCCTACTCCGGTGTACGCGTATTCTTTCAACCTTTTGCCTGATCTTATCACCTGTATTTATACGCTAGAGAAATTTGCTCTTCGTGTCACTAACGTGAACAGGCAGCAGCATACTGGCGAAACAGCAATCAATGGGGCTCCTAAGTCTTGATGCTTCTTGTATGGCACTCAACTCAGGGGTGCATCGAGCCATAATTTCGGAAAGAGACGGTCCCAGTACAGAAATGATACGGGACACTTCACTTTGCTTAGAGTAGCCATAATCATAGAATATAGATGGAGTCGAAGTGAGATGGTATGTGTCATGCAGTCGCATTGCAACCGAGTTGTTGCGGTGTATAGTTGACGTAGAAACCTCACCGCTGATCAGCCCCTATGCCGTGTGTTTCATCCAATGCTGCAAGAAGCACTCAGGTTTTGCGACAGTTGCTCGTATTCGACGATAGAAAGCGGCCTTTGGAGTCTCGGATGTTCATTGACTGTAGGTTTCTTTCAAGTAAGTGGAGATTCGTGTTTGACGAAGGGCTTGCAAATCGAATGTTAATTACGAAGTCATATACTTAGTTTGAGACATGATCCGTTGTAGTCACAAAGAAAAGACCTGGATCGATCCGCAATTTATTATTGGCAGCTACCAATGCGATACCACCAAACTTGACGTCGGTCAAGGGCTAGAACATGACTCTAAGCAGATAGCGCGGCCTGATCTATCAGGTGTCAATAAGCTAGTCTAGGTATATTCTGCCATTTCACACCGCCCGAGATATCTCCGTCGCTATCGAAACTCCGCTTCATTATCCAGGACTTCATGCAAGTCTTTGCTTGAGCAGTTTCACCAACTACCCTGCCACGATTGTCGGTTCAAATATCCAGTCATCTGAATCGCTGCCTCAGATATATCTACCCCGCGAGTGATCTCGATCTGCGCCAGTCCGGTCCACGCGCAACGCGCCATCAGAGCGCCGCCGATCCAAGCTTCGCCTCGAACGCCCAAGGTCAGCGACGGCCTGAAGATTCAAGATGCCTAAATATAAGTGACTCCCTACTCCTCTTATCGGTCAACTAGAAGCTAACTGTCAATGCACTCTTCTGTAGGTTCTTCCATATCATGGCAGATCTTCCATCCGTCTCGAATCGCGCCACATCCATTCCGTCTTCTGGCCGCATCTTACTGATCCCATGCCCAATTCCATAGGCGACTACTGCGATGTGTACCTCACGCACGATTCGATGAGTGTGCGCAAGGCGCATAACTCCGGACGAAATCACCTGAGGAACGTGTTGGAATACTACCAGCGTATGAAACAAGCCCTACCGCTGCCCTCTCTCAGCTAGAGATTCCCATCAAGTGAAATATCTCTCACTCACATACAATCCCAGAAATCGGTCAAGAAAAGGCCCAATCCGTCATCGACTCCATCACCTCGTCCTACGCCGCTGAAGGTCAAGCCGTGCCGAACCCTGCCATGGCTCCCCCGGGTGCTTTCCCTCCTCCCCCGTTCGCCTTTCCTCCCGGTATGTCTTTCCCCCCCTCCTCCTTCCAGATATCTTCCCCTCCATCCATCGATATCACTAATCAGAACCAGGTGGTCCAGGTCAATTCCCTCCTCCTCTTCCTTTCGGAATGCCCCCTCCCGGCGCACCAGGTGGTGCCCCCGGCATGCCTCCTCGTATGTCTTGCCCCCATCTCTCCAGATCAAGGTCTCATCCCGTTCTAATCGATTCGAACCCAACAGCCCCCGGCGCTCGCGGCCTCCCCTTCCCTCCTCCCTTCCCCGCTGCATCCGGCGCTGCTCCTCCCGGCTCTCTCCCCCCGCCTCCTCTCCCCAACATGCCCCCAGGCCAAGGCTTCCTCCCCCCTCCCGGCGGCTTCCCTCCCAGCTTCCAGACCCCTCCGCCAGGCGCCCCCGGTTTCCCGCCCATGCCAGGATCCGGGATGGGTGGTCCGCCCGGCCCTGCGGATGGATATGCGCCTCCTGGTGCAGGACCGGGTGGTCTTCCCGGGCCGCCTCCTGGGTTGGGAGATTCGCGATGAGAGTGAACGTCTTGAGATTGTTGGTTTCGGGTCATTTGAGCACCAGGAGAAGGCGAAGCAAAAAAAAAGCAGAAGAACGAAACGGATGGCTTGCTTGCTTACCGCTTTTTTTGTTTAAAAGAAAAAAAAAAAAGAAAATGCATGCATGATGGGGTTGTTCTACGTGTCTTTGGTATCTATTGACATATCTCTTTCTTTTCTTCGTTTTTTTCTGTTGAACGGTTGTTTGTTTTATTACATTTTTTCCCCTCTCGATCATTGTATACGTGGGTGTTAACCAGTTTGTTTTCATTATCATTATACCTCGATATCTAGATATTCATTTTTTTTCCTTCGTCGATTTCCGTCCGTTCGTTATCTGTTTTCAGCGTTCTTCCTTTTTTTAATGGCATCGATTAAATGTCGCTCAATAGTAGGCGCTGTCTTGCATAATAAACAAAGTCACTGTTATGGATTACGGGGAAAGTTTGAAAAGGTCTGAAAAAGGCACGTCTCTTCCGGACGTGGATACTAGCATTATGACCTCCGTGCATCTAAAGAGAAAACCAAGACACGGACATGTCACAGATAATAACAGAGGGACAGACCATCGGATCAATCAAACAATAGTAGTAACAACCCTGTCGAGTATAAAGATCACATAGTCCACAAAATCAAGTCAAGTCCCGATCTCCCGATCCAATGCTTCAGAACGCCGGTTGATATAGAAAAAAAGATAGAAAAAGAAAAGAAAAAAAATGTTCCCGACAAGGTGATGAGAAAAACTGAAAGGAAGGAGAGATATTGATAGAATATGATACTTTTCAGTATATCCATTTATATAGGAAAAGGGATTGCCAAAAAGTACAGCCTACATCAGTAGACTAAATGGTAGTTAGGTGCGCAGGAGGAATAAAAAACAATCAAAAACAAGCAAGGGCTGGGCACGAGAGAGAAGTAATCTCGGCCTTTCCCACGCTGAAAGCCATAACTTCATTTCAGGCAAAGCTAGAAACAACCAAAAGAAAAAGTTTCTAGTGTTCGTATCCAGCACCTCTTTGCCACGGGCTAGACGAGTTCTGCGCCCGGTATGCAGCTGGGTTGTTGAATGGCGAGGTGTTCAGTCCTCGCTGAACTGGGGATGGCGATCGTGCATCGAAGGTGGGTCGTCGGGCCGGAGCGTCGTTCGCACTGGGGAACAGAGGCAGCGAAGGGTCGACAGGAGACACTGGAGGACGGGCAGACATCGGTGACGCATCGTGTGCCTCGAGGTTCTGACGGCTCACGCTCGCTCCGTTACCATTTGAGAACGAGCTGGTGCTATTGTCATCCTCAAAGGTACTCGATTTGAACGCATTCGTCTTCATGTCACCTCGGGCGGTAGCACCCAGAGCATCCAATTCGGTGGTAAGCTGGGTTTGCGACTTGATGAAAGATCCACGGTCATCACGCATGGGCTGGTAGCGTGTATCGGGGTTCTTCGATACGATGGCGTACACAGAGGCGACGAGAACCATGATCAGGAGAATGAGGGCAAAGACCGCGTTGATGACGAAGAATACGACACCCATAACACCAGTCACAATTCCAGGCTGGTTGAAGACTTCGGAAAAGAACAGCAGGAAGATGACGTTGAGGAAATTGATAGCGGCAATTGAGATGTTATAGATGTTGGTCTTCTTGTCCATCCACGGTCGCATAACACTGACCGCGATCAACATGGCAGCCTCTATGATGACCAAAGCGATGGTTTGAACGATGGGAGCCGGTTGACTGAGGCCGATGAACATGCCCTTGATCAGGATGTATGCGAGCACGGGCACGACAAAGTAATAAGCCGTGGCGCGATACTGCACGTACAAGAAACCCCACTTGTTCAAACAGGTGGGATCGGAGTAGAGGATATAGGCCGGGTTCTTGTGCATGGTAACCGAGCGCTTCGCAAGGCGAATGACCTTGAAAGCTGCCCAACTCAGGGCCGCGATGATCGACAACAGCATGATCACAGCAAGAACGATCTCGGCGGCCGAGTCCTGTCTGGTGAACTCCCACAGACAAAGGATACACATCTGCGGAAAACCGATCAGGGTAAGTCGAAAGAGAATTCCCCGAGCAACTATCTTCCATCCGTTTCGGAAGTCCTGGAACTTGTCGCTCTTCATTTTGCCGTGCTTCGCCAAGACCTCACATCCTGCTTTGAAAAGAGCAACTAAAATCATCACAACGGTGACGAAGAAAACGAAGAAGATCAAACCCGTCAAGAAGATGTTGGTCTGTTCGATTTTGGCCTTGAACCCGACACGCTCGATACCCTTGACGGTGATACTCTTGCTTTTTGCGCCACTCTGTTCTCCCTCGCGCTTGAACAAATGCTCAGAGGCGCTTCTGGCCAAGCCCACCGAGGTATCGAAAGATCGCTTTTTAAGCACCTCAACCGAAGTTGTTGAAAGCTGGGAGAGAATTGTGGATGGGGTACCTCCGGTCGCTCGCTGGTACCAGGTACAGATGGTTTCAAGGAAACCAATGCGAATAATACCCATACTCCATTGGAAATTCTGCGTCCACGCTTCTACAATCGGCGGCATGTGAACAGAAGTCATACCAATGATGGCCTGCGACTGCATGAAGCTGAACAGGGACAGGGCGTTCGCTGCAACATGTGCGGCTGTATTCGAGTGACCGAGCCCGGACGTGATCGCCGAAGCTGCTAGACCCAAGCCGGATATTATCGCTGTAGACCAACCAACTCCTTGTTGATAAACCGTTTTACCGTTGGATAAACTAGCCTCGAGACATGTGATACTTTTTCCCGTTTCCGTAGAGTTGATGTAGATGCGAACAGAGGCGTCAAGGTCGGGGACGGTATATGCGATACCTAGAGGGGTTTGTTAGTAAAGAAGGAATCCCTATTATCAGCGATTTTCCGAATACACACCGGGAATGCTGTTGACGACTTCTTCCGGAACCTCAATGGTAGCTTTCTTAACGTCGATCGGACCTGTGTTCATGGGGCAAAGACCTTGCAGGTTCTGCTCACACGGATCGATTTCCTTTCGGAGAGCCTCGATTCCGTATGCGTTCAGGATTAGCTCCGCAGTCATTCTTCCCGAGATGGAGGCCACTCCATCGAAGCTGAAAGCCAGAGAACGGTTGTTGGGGGTGAACGTGACGGCGAAATAGGTTGCCGTGAAATTGTTGCTGTCTTGACATAAATTCAAGGCATTGGATTTGATGAGCTTGATCGCAGACACGGAAGGTGCCGCGAGGAAAGCGAGGAACACGCTAAATAGAAGCGATAATAGCCGCATGATGGGAGGTGTATTGTCGGCGTCAACTTCTCCAGTCGACGGCGGATATACTCGTCAATTAAGAGGAGGTTCAAGGGCCGGAAAATGCGGGCGGTGGTGGTGGTGAATTAGGTAGTACTCCAGAATCTATTAGGTTGGTATCGGCCGGATGCGGAAGGACTAAGTTTGAGGCGCAAAGGTTGGCAATGAAACCCTGACTGTATTACCGAATGTAGTGGATACTGGCGTGGTGAGGTTGCAATTCACAACGTCATTGATGTCTAGTCAAGGAGTCGATCGAGTACCAGAGCGATTGTTCGAGAAAAGGCGGATAGGCGGATGGGATGAACGACCGAATATAATTAGATAAGTGGAGTCAAACGAACGACGAAAAAAACGAAAGAAAAGAACTGAAAATAGTTCAAGTAAGGAATGTTGGATAGTGTAATTGTAATAGTCGAAGGACAGACGAAGTTGGATTGAGAGAGTCGAATAAAGCGAGCGGGACGGCGACACACAGTATGCCTGAGGAAGAGGAAGGGAAACAAGGGAAGGGATAGACCAGGAAGCGGATGGGGAGGGATTCCTTAGTGTCTCCTCACTCCCTTTAGAAAGCGGAACAGAAAAGAAAAGAAAAAGAGGACTCGTCCCTCAGACAAAGGATTCCCAGTCTGGAATTGGCGAGGAGAGATGGGGGGGGGGGGGGGGGGGGGGGAACGAGTGGAAGGAAAGAGAAAGGAGAGAAAGAAGTGATGAAAGACACACTTGATTTTCTACTTCCCGACTTTCTTTCTTGAAGGGAAGGAAGAGAGAGAGAGAGGGAGGGAGGGAGAGAAAGAGGGAGGAGAAGGGGAGAAATGGAAGACCCGCCTGGACAGTTGATGCCTGAGTCAGCAGCTGATTACCGTACCGTTCGTGGTATTTTTGGACTTTGCAGCAGTTTAAACGGTTCGAGACCCTGGATTTGCCTCTAGCAGTACTTAGCAGGCAAAAAGAGAGACATCGAGGGGACTAAGAAAGAATGCTTTTTGCTAAATGGGAAAATGCCAAATCAAAATAAAGAAGAAAATGAAGACATTTTGACGCCATGCATCTCCCTTAACTAGCTCCGGTGACCAGTCCTTCCCCTCTCTCTTTCGCTCTCTCTCACTCTCTCACTCTCTCTCTCTCTCGTGCTAAGACGGGCTTTCCCCCAGTCCCAGCGCACGCGCGTCCCTCAGGGGGGTTGGCTTATGGGCCCCAAATGCGGTTGATTTTACGTCTTGTCCACCACTTCCCGCTTCTGATTTGCTCCCAAGCTTGTCGTTTGGACGGCCAAGGAATCGGATTTTGGCGCCCAAGAAAATGGCTGGTATGCAACCAGGTAATCATTCTGCCAGATGGATGCCAGGAATTGATTGTAATTATGACTCCATAGTGATTGATTGCAGCCAAGGGCCCGATGTCACTCTTCCAACTTCCGGTCGAGTCAAAGCCAATAGGAGCCCCGACAAGAGAGACATAAAGTGATGATGGATCATCCTTTCCTGCCACACATCTCGTCGACCTTTGTGTTCGGGCGAATTTCTGACTGTCGACTTGGCTTCCTACTTGAGGAATAGGTTCTTAGGAGTTCGAGGGAATCGACTCCATCCGTTAACCGCCCGCCCCCCGGGTCCCGCCATGGAGAAACAAGACACGCCGACTGCTTGCATATGCGATGTTTGATGTTTTATCCTTCTGCCTGCCAGACTG